AGACCTCGTATAAAATTTATAAAATATAAATATAAAAGTCTTAACAATTGTTTACGCTTAAATTTAGTTTTAATTTAAAATGTGAAAATTTACATTTTTTAGCAATTTTTCAGAAACTGTGAATGAACAACATAACAAATGATGTTGTATTTGAAACTTTCATAGAAAATGTCAGTTTCTTTTATTTCGAAATTTTATGATTATAATATAGTTCGAACATTTAAAAAATATTGAATGTTTTCAAATATAAATTGTTTTAGTCCGGAACTTCGTGTTTTCAGTGCTAATTTTGTTACAATTTTAATAATGTAAAATGTTGGGATATATTATTTAGATCACCATCATCTTGTCCGAGAATTAAAATAACGACTAAAAAGTGATGTAATGAAAGTTATATGATTAGAATACAGAAGGTTGCAATAATAAACCCAAATATAAGATTTTCTAGTCTGAAATTCGGATTTGGCAGATTTTCGAAGATTATGGATTTCATTCACATCGTATTAGTATACGAACATCATCTCTGTGACAGTCAGATTATAATGTTTAAAGTATTAAATGTATTCTTTATTGATATGCTATTAATAATTGTTAAATTTTTCCAATCTAAAAAACAAAAATCAATATTTTTGTATTTATAAATATAATATGTATATGTTATGGTAATGTATGTGAAGTTGGAACTACGAAGTTCGTAGAAAATTTCAAAATAATATATTTTACCACAAATATTAAAACTCGAACTTACTTATCATAACTTAATTAACACAATACATTATTAGTAAATAATAAATTAATTTATATGTTAAATTCAATTAATTACTGTGTTAACTGTTAAAAATAAAATCATTCTTTTGACATCGAAGGAATATCATCTATAGAAATAATAAGGAGACGTCACAAACCAGTAAATCAGTAGGTACCTAGTTTTTCACTTGGCTCTTATTTTGGGGGGGGGGAGGCAAAAATTAATCACAATTTACTGACCAATTTAAAAATCTACTCACGTTCAACTTATGTAAATATTATACATTTTTACATACTTATGATACTATGAGTCGCTAGGCGGCTCGTGTTACGTTCCGTTACCGCTATAACCCCATCACGTCCGTAAACGTGTTTGGAAATTTGGGAAATTGCGGCAATGAGAAAATTTCACTTCACACCGTATACCCTCTGAGGGTCGTGGATACGGAGCAGGAGAATCATTTTGACCTACTTCTGATCACGCACGAGAGGGTAACCATTATACGTTTATCTCGAATTTTACCCGACTCGTTAGCACGCAGATGACCACGCGAGAACATAGCGTTTTCGTATGCCAAAAATGTTTCACCCGTTTCGACAACCAGCCTACGCGCTATAAGTGTAACGGTGCGGCAGCGCTCGCGGACCATATGAAAATATGTGGCCCGCACAAACCGATAGTACTCTTAATGCTGTTATGTGCATATATATTATAATGTCACGGGCATACATTCTATCACATAATGTTACAGATATATATAAATACTAAATCGATTGCATTACAATAATACAATGATTCCACTATGGCGGGCATGTATAGTTATTACACATTGTAGTATACCTACACTTAGGAATATAATAATCAGGATGCACTCTTGACCACAACATAAGGATGTTACAATCAATGCATATATTTTTAATGCTTGAATGCATATGAATGGGAAACACAGTAGTGGACAATAGTAAATATATTAAAATAATGACTAATTGAATGAACCAGTTAATGATAGGCATAAATCACGTATAAAATAATAATCATATGGATAATATATTAGAATATATATAAATGCGACAAATAATCAGAAGTTACACGTATGAATTATTAAACATAGGCCACATCCTTATCTAACAGAGAAAACTCCATACATGGAATTCGCGTATCAGTAACCACATCCGGTGGTGCATACGTAAATTACCAAACGATTAAAGATGTCCATAAGATCAGGGTATAAAAGGGGGTCCTAAACAGGCCCCATTTCAGATGTGTGTTAGTCTTGTTAATGCACGCACCTTTACGCCAGTTTGTTTTATAAATTAATTATTTGGACTTGAATAATCTTACAAATTGAAAAAATTGGAGTTGGAAATATTTCAATAAAGTTAATATTTTAAAGTCTTGAGTTATTTATTTCAACATTATTATTATTCTACATTGATTACGAAGCTGAATAGTTGAGTGTACTCATATCTCGTTGCACTGTCCGGTACCCATACACCGGCACGCAACAACGCCATCAGAGAGGCTACGGTGCGATTCGAGGCGTGGGTTAAAACGCAACGCTTACCGTTCATCATATACGCCGACTTCGAATCGTATCTCCGTAAATCGACCGAGGCGCGAGGCGCTAACACACGCGTCTCGCAAGAATACTGCCCCATGAACTACGGTTTTCTGGTAAATGCCGTGGATGGCGTGCCCGTGGAATTGCTCGAACGGTTCGAGATTCCGAGCACACCGGTCATCGTTCGCGGATCGGCTACGCGAGGGGACGTGGCGCGGCAGTTCGTCCTGGCGATCACCGAGATAGCGGGTAAATTGTACAAACTGTATAAGACGAGAATCACGGCTATCGTATGGAGCGTTGGTGAGGAGGAACTCGCGGTGCACGTGGCGAAAACGCATTGCAATCTGTGTCGCACGGCGTTCCGTGAGGAGAACCGCAAAGTCGCTCACCACGGTCACCTGTCCGGGCGTTTTATGAAAACATTGTGCAACACGTGTAATCTAAAACTAAAAAATGCCCAATTTTGTGCCATGCTTTTTGCACAATTTGTCAAAATATGACGCTCATTTTATCGCGACCGAGTTAGGGTACGATACCGAGAGGATCACCGTGATACTCAACTCAGAGGAGACGTATGTGTCTTTATATCACGTATCTTTTTTTTTTATCGGCCGGCACGTGTCGGTCGTGGTTTAATTAAATCGATAGTGGCTTATTAAAACTCTCCTTTCTGCGGCGGCCGTGTTGACCTTATGGTAAACTAAAAACTGCCCTTATGGGGTATCGTTTTGAGCAAACCGACTCGATACCGACACCGGTCTGCACGCGCATTTTTTATACAACTTTTGGTGTTAAAAACACGAAAAACGGCCTCTTGTTTCCCGAATAGATTGGCCAAGACGGTGATAACACCGCAATATCATTGCCACCCTACAACCCGTACACACCTGACAGGATAAACGCGTCCATCCGATCGTTCAAACATCAAGTTAAAACTGTTGTGACTATGAAAAAGACTGAACCGTTCGGATGACAAACGCTGTATTTTAAACGACCGTGTGCACACTTTGGCACACGGTCATTATGGTATTGAATAATTTACCCATTATTATCATGTAACATATACGATTTAATGAGCATGCTCATCTAGTCATTAGTTATAACAATTATTATTGTTATTGTATATAAATTGTATATATATTGTAATAAATGTATATTTTTATCCGTTATCATGTAAAATAATGTTTTATTATTATATATAAAGATTTTTATTATTATTATTATTTTTTTTTTTTTTTTTATCACGTATCATTATAATTATTATGTATAATCATAGCGCGAGACTGTCTTACATTTTTCTACATCTAAAATAAATTAAATCATCTGAACTATGTTCATAATTATTATTATTTTATTATGTATAATTTTATTAAAATACTGTATTACATTTTAATTCATCACTTGCCAAAAAAAAACTATACAAACCCTGTGTAAAATATATTACTATTTTATAGTAATTGCCTTTGTTATTGTTGTTTTCCATCTAGAATATAAATCTAAAACCCTAAAATTATTTGATAAGTAATAAAATATATTTTTTTTATTTCCCTGAAAACCATGATAATCTCTATAAAACATCACCGCTGTGTACCTCATGTATAATTACATGGCATGTTTATTAATAATAATATTATTAAATAGATAAGGTAATAATAACAATAAAACAATGGGCTTTAAATTAAATTTTTTTTTATTTATTAAACAAATTTAAAATTAAATGACTGACCTCGTTTATCTAAGTAAACAAAGCACAGCGTTTTTTCTACCCTATCATTGTATTCATCGATCTCGGTGTCTGTTATAACAATTGATTTTAGTAGAAATACCTCAACCCGTTCTATTAGTGATTCCTCCATCGTCGCCTTGACCGACCAGTCAAATTTGGTCTGCGCTGCATATAGTGAAATTATTCTATACTTATGATCTAAGAGTAAATCACCTACACTGATTACTGCCATTTCTTTCCGCATACGTTCGCCGAATGAATCCATACTATGGTATAGAAAAGAAAAAAAACCAAGAAAAAATGAATAAAATTATAATTACATTTTAAATGAAAAACTTTTCTTCAACAAATTATATTACAAACGGATAGTAAAGGATGGAATACTATCTAGACATTCATATATAAATTTATTAAACATAGTTAATTGTGAAAGATTTTCGTGAACGTAACACGTATATTCTACATTTATGACGTAGGTCGCGTATTGTACTGTAAATCAGTGTGTAGGTCGCATACTGGACCTTAAATCAGGGTGTAGGTCGCATATTGGACCGTTACCCATTTTTTTTCTATTATTGAAGTAATTATACCAGTTGCAATCAGTAGCGTACATACGGGGGGGGGGGGGGGCAAACCCCCAGGGCCAAAAAAAAATAAAATTGTTTTATTATTGATGACGTGTAATATATTCGTAGTTTCATTATTATGCTTTAAACTCAAAATATACAACTATACAAATATTATGATAATTAAATAATTATATTGATAGATATTTAAAAAGGTTTTGTCAACTATGCTGTTTTTATATTCCAATAGCTATTAATTTACTGTAATGTAAAAGTAAAATGTAAATTGGTAAAAAATTTGTATAAAATAATATCTATTTATAGCAGTTATTTATCTTATTTATTTGTGCAACGAAAAAAAAAAGATAACGATTATTTTTGTTAAACCTCCCCCCCTCCAGAGCAAGATAGAATGTACGCCACTGGTTGTAATCCATTGTTTTGGTTTAAGTTTTTTTTATTATTGAATTTTCTTACAATTTCAGTAGTTGAGCGTAATATAGAATTATCGATTTTACTATAAAATATATCGACTGATTGATAAACATTTTTGTTTAAAAATAGCGAGTTCCAGTCCTTATTTTTTATAAAATAAATAATATTTACAATAATACAATTATACAATTAAAATTAACAATAATTTTTCCAGGTATAGGTATTTACTAAAAACTTCCTCTTTTTGACACTTAATGGTTTTTTCTTTTTGATTTTTTATTTTATTAGTTTCTTCAAATATGTCTTTAAACCATGATTGTTTTTGCTTAATTTGTATCTTTCAGTCGTCTTTCAGATTTATTCAACTAGAATTGTAGATTTGATGATTTAATGATCAATTATACATAGTTTTATCAAAATCTCAAAAAGTAATTTTCAATAACACAAAATAAATAATATACATAACATATATACATAATATATACATACATAATATACAATAACATAAATAGAAATAGTGCTCAACAGGGACTTAGAATAAACCCTGAATATTAATAAAAACTGTATTGATGATAATTAATCTTATCAAAAAAAATTATAAATTGCTTGGATAATGAATGATATTACATAATATATTTATTAATTTTATATACACAGGTGTAATGACCTTAATTCTTTATGATCAGTATATTTTATATATAACTGTAACTAAGTGAATTAATATTACATTTAAATTTTTCAATGCCACTACGATATAAAAGTTAATTTAAAATGAAATATCTAAATGAAAATTTAAAACCCAGTTTAAAATTTTATGAATTGAAATAACAACCAATATTACTTATTTTTGGTAAAAAGTTTAACATTAAACAACCAAGTAAAATAAAAATAAACAATAAATAACATATTAACATAATATACTAACAGTAAATACTGCACCACAGAAAAATAGAGTCCAATCTAAAATATTCAGTCCATTTTTATAGAAAAAGATGCACCACATGAACAACCATCTTGTGCTTTAGGATTCCCAACTAATTTGAAAGCAGATCTAATTAACTGTTGTTCATAGTCCACTGTTGATCCTTTGACACATTCTAAAGAAGTTGAATCCACCACTATTTTAATACCTTGCTTATCAAATACACAATCATCTTTAGAAATATTTGTGTCTAATTCAAACTTGTACTGAAATCCAGAACAGCCACCACTTTCAACGCTCAACCGAAGAAATTCATCTTGATCACATATGGTTTGGAGACGTTTTATACATTCTTCAGTTACCTTTAAGTCATCTTCAACAAGTTTTGATGAAAATTTTTTTATATTCTGAGGACTTATTAATAGTTTGAAGCAGTTTTGTATATACTTGACAGTTAGTACAGGAAAAGTCATTTTACCTTTTTATTGAAGTTGTATATAATAATAAATAATAATTATTTGAGTGAACTTCGAAAATCAACAAATAAATCACAATTTATGCACTTAGAATTAATTCAGAATTATCATTTATCATCTATGAATACGGTTTTTATCAGCATAAGTACATAAGGTTAAATGTATCCTTATCATCAAATGCAAACTTGTTTACATTGAAAAATTGAGATAAAAGAATTTAACAGTCACAAGGTATTTAAAAATAATTATTTTTTTGAAATGTTTAAATTATTTCAATTTTTATGATAAAAATATGTGAACTTAAAAAAAAACGTTTATTATAATAATTGTATGTCAATATTTAATTTTATAACATGAGAATAATTTGTTAAAAATACAATTATATATTTTATCAGAAATTCTAAACAGTCTTATGCATTTCCATAACTTTTTTGTTCTAACCAAACATTATAAAGTTCTTCAGTATTATCATATCCATGGCTAGCTATAACATATTTATAACTACTTGGAGAATAATATTTTTTATAAAAATATATATATTTACAATGAAGAGGACTTATGTTTAATTTTTTTGCTAACAGGCCTAAGTATATATCATCGAAACGGAATAACTTGGTGTAATAACTTCCATAGTGAAATTTAATTAAAACTGCATGGGATAGCACATAAGCACCAGCTGTGACATAAGGGGGCCACATATGATATGGATATTCATTAAGAGAAACATACCTGTGAAAAATAATAAAATATTAAATACAAGCCCATAACAATTTGATAATAATACAATTAACTTACCATTTACTTATTTGATGTCTTAGTGGATAAGAATTAAAAACATATCCAGTAAATAATTCAATATCTGAAGGCAAGTTATGCTGTGATTGCTTTCCTTTAATCTCTTGGTTTAAATAATGTGGATATTCAAATGGATTTCGCAAATAACGAAGTAAATTTTTTATCGAAACATACATATCATCATCAGAGAAAAAATAAAATCTAGAATTATTACAGTGTGTCGATGCCCATTTAATTGCATTCAATGTCTTAATTGTGTTATTGAAGTATTGATCAATAAAATCATACTGCACTATATCACCATATTGTTTATGTTCATCTGTGATGCGTTTTTCTAAATCAATATCATAAGATTTTCCTAAAACAAAAACTGTTTTAGTAAATACATCAGAGAATCGACTCTCGAAACCCCATGTCTTCCGAATTACACTTCTTCTTTCAAAATTATTTAATGACGACTTAACCAAAATCAATAGATGAATGTTCTTATCGCATTTATTATTATTTGCTAACAGTAGGTCATATTCAAATGGATTAATTTTAATACAAGGTAATTGATCAGAATTACCGGACCGCATGTTTATTATGCATTTCGATATATTCGTTCCCAGCGGGTACTCAAAATCAGTAAAGTAGTCCAACTCGAAAAAATGAGTGAATACACCAAAATAATAAATTAAAAATAATATTATTATAAAAATATATTTTAAGTATTTTTTCAAACGAAATAAATTATACATAAAGTAAGCCATATCTTTCACTGGCATTATTTAACACAATTATTGTAAGAGCCTAGTAGAAAACTAGGTAGTTAGCAAATCATAAAATATACTGTTTAATGTTAACTATTACTTAGAATGATAACAAAACCAATGTTATGATAATAATATCACAAGCAAATTATTTTATTTTGTCTGATAATATTATGGACTCGTATAAGACTATTCTGTTGTAGTATAAGACTATTACGGTTGGTATAATTATATACAAAATTTCTTTATAAGTTTAAATTTTAATTTATTTAATAATTATTTCAGTTATAGTATTAATATTTACTTATCCTTTCATGTTATGTTACATAGATATTATTAGTCATCCTTATTATACTTACTGTACCTATTAAATATTAGTATGGACTGTGGTTCTAATGTTTAATAGTATTAATTTCAAATTAACAGTTATAAATTATCAATATATAATTAATATAATATTAGAAAATATCTCATGCTACAAATCATTATATTTCAGTTGAAACCAACTTGTGAAGAATAGTTTTTTTTTTTTGGTAAAAAATACAATACCTTTTGGTATTATTTGAATTATGTATAGTGCTTGAATTGTAAAAAATTGAGTAGAGGAGCTCAGTCCAACAATTTAAAAACTGTGTTCCATGGGCCCGATTATTTAAAACTGCTCCCACACTCCCTCTACCAATCTTACATATATTTTAAATACCACATTTCAGCTAGACAAATGCTAAGATTTCAAATATTAATTATTATCAATAAAACTAATAAAGTATATACCAGACATACAAGCTCTGTCCTTCTGTGTACCCCCCCCCCCTATTCGATTATTGAGTACATCTTAACATTCATTTTAGATACTTTTGTTCAGTAAAATTATCTTGACTGAATCCATGTGTTGTGACTATACCTTTGCAACACATGTTTGGTGACCAGATATTAAAATCTAAAAATAAAAATACATTTTTATAATTTAGCTCTTTTATTCAATGCATTAAGAGCATTTTGAAAAGTTACGTGTTTCCAGCCCAAGTGAATAATGTACAATTTATGAAAAATAATAAAATATTATAAAATTTCTATGAGCTCGATTGAGAACAAAAATATTAATAACCTTATAATTTTGCATTTGTATAATTTTAAATATTGCGAATGCAGTAAGCCTTTCTTTTGACTTGTGTTATGTTGAATATGATTACATTTTTTTTTAAAGACTATTCGGTGTATTTCAATAAATTCCCTTTTCTAATATTTTGCCACCAGTGGGCAGTTGCCCATATTGTCTGTCTCTATTTGCATTCATACCTTTATCACTAATAAAATGTTGTTTTTTGAACAACTGTTCAGTAGTGGTTCATTCATACAATGCTGAAAAAACATATTAGGTATGAGGTATTGTGGTGGATACTAGTGTACTATAATGGTACTAATATATGCATAAGGCTGAAGGCAAATGAATAATTAAATTTTAAAAAATAATAAAATTAGCCTAATATTTTAAAAAAAAAGAGTAAAATTGCATAACAATAGGACACGACAAGAAAATTAGGTAGATTTACAGAAAGAAGTATATCTGATCACCAGAGGCCGGATTTATATGCATTTAAAAAGTGTCAAATATAATGCAAATATGCAATTATATGCATTATGTTAGACTTTATAAAATGTTTTTTTTTTAAAAATACCACACTTTTATACCAAATAAAATTCTAAACACTTTATCAAAAACGAAAAAAATTATAATATCCACTGCCTTATATTTCAAATCATTTAAATCAATCTTAAACTTTTAGGAAACTTAAAAACGAGAATACAAAAAAAAAATACTAATCTTTTAAAATCATATTTTTGAAACTTAATACCTATCATGTCTATTTTTGCTCTATTCGAGGAAATTACAAAATGTACTGTAAATTAAAATAGTTAATTTATTAAAAACCTATTAAATATGCATTAACCTTCGAGTTATGCAATATAAAATTTGATGTGATATGAATCGTGGACATGTTAAATCTCCATAGACGTGCTGCTTATACGTGATATATTTAGTACAAACATGATAATGCATATAAATCCGAGCTCTACTAATAATCACCATACGTATAGTCGGCAAATGCACATCTGAACTATAGGCGCATTAAACTCTTACTATTTTCATTATTGAATATAAAATTAAATTATCTATTCTGTGATAATACTGTCCAGATGTTTGGAGGTTAGGTTCTTTTTTTTTTAAAAAAAAAAGCGCAAACGAAATTCAGGAGTTGCAGTTGTCCGAAAAATGATAAGGAACGGAATCGAAAGACGGTTGTATAAAATGTGTGTCCAACATAAAATTTCTAAAAATTATATTATAAAATTATTATTTTGTTTAAGAAGTTATACTGTTTCATTTGAATGATAATTATATTTTTTGATAATAATAACATATTTAGTTACATATAAAATAAACATAGGTATCAATTATATGAAATAATTATACATTTTTGAATGCTTATTTTTTACTACATACTTAAAACTAAAACATGTAATATTTTATATTATTTACATACTAGTACATAGAATATTAAAAAAAATTATGAAAAACATATATATTTTACGAAAGGTTCACATACAGTTAAATATTAAACTAGATATTTATAAACATACATGATATATTACATAGATATATAACATGGATATGTTTTTAGATGAATATTAAGAAGAATTGCAAGAACAGAAAAGCATTACCTTTTCCAATTACAATGGTTACTAAAATAAAACAATTCATAGTTTTAACTCGAAGACATCCATGATTTAATGTTATACCTACATAATTATTTGTTACCAAAGTTGTTTAAAATTTGGTACATTTTTATTAAAAATATGCAAACAAAAAAGTAAAAAAAAGAATAAAAAGTTTTGTTGGAAATATTCAAACAAAAAAATGAAAAGAATTAAAATTTTTGTTGAAAACAGTATAACCAATTAGTATTTTTCCCGCTTTGAAAATCGGGGGATATTGTATAACTTTTATCAATAGAAATTATATAATTGGATTTTGTAATTTTCAATTTAGTCAGTTGGTACTGCTTTTTCAAATTTCAGACCTTATCATTTTTCGGACAAGTGCCAATCACTCTCTGTCCAGATATTTGGAGGTTAGGTATGTTTAAAAAAAAAAAATGCGCAAACGAAATTTAGCCCATCAAATTTATAGATAGATACGAATTGGGTGAATTTGATCATTTCTTTACTAAATTACGTGCTGATGATAAATTATTCCATTCTTATACACAAAATTAAATTTTTTAAATACAAAACTACAAATTTTTGTCTTGGCAGAATATTAAGTTGAAATATAGTGTATGTTGTATTTTGGTATTGTGTAAAACACATCTACCTTATCGTATTGCCAGTTTGAATATGTTTGTATTTTGTAACAGTTTAATTCATTTGCATGCCCATATCAAAAGGATTATATTATATTCAATAGATTCCTCTAAGAAAGTTTAAATTAAAAAAATTACTTAACATTTTTATTAACTAATTTTTACTAACTAATTTAGCTAAGTTTCATTTTGAAAACTGATAAAATGAAATTGTGTTTAAGTACTGAATTAATTTTTAATTTTAACTGTTAATAAAATGAATGTTGCACATGAGTGTGTAGTCATGACATTTAAACTTTTTATATGACTCATATAATATTGAATATGTATTATGAAACAATTTTGTAAATTAGTTAAAATAAATCAAAATTTCAACTTATTCTCATATAGTAAATAATGATTTACATGTCCTATTCAAATGCAAAAAATCCAGTTAAAATATAAAAATATCATTTTTCTAATAACATACTTTACATGTATATGTTAAAAAATAACAAGTATGTTAAAAAAATATATAATTTTACTTAATATAAATTAATCGTTTCAATTTTATATAAATTGTTAACAGGTTCATCTCGTTTTTTTCTATTTACATTTTTATTTTTAACAACATGCATAGTATTGTTTATATTATTAATTGCTTCAACATAGTCACATTTACTATTAATTTCTTCTTGAACTTTTATTAAAAATTCAAGAACATTATGGTCGTTTGATTGTAATATTTGTTGATATGAGCAATCAATCAGCAGTATCATCCAATCAACCAATCTTTCTTCAATAAGTTTGTCTTTTATCAGTGAATATAAAGCATTTAAAATTTTTAGCATATTCTCAAATGATAGCTTATCTCGTAAGCAAGCTGGCTTATTTAAAGGTGGATAAGCAAATATTTTTACCAAAAGCATTGAATGTTTCACTGTGTTTAAGCTGCAATATGATATTATTTCAACCAAGGAATTATCAGTTATATCATTATTTTCCATTAGTAAATTAATTAATGATTTATCATCTTTTTTTTTAATATAATCACTGATCGTTATTTCGTTTAGTCTGAAAATATATAAATGAATGAAAAAGCGAATCAATTAATGACAAATAGGATTCTTACTTTGATTGAGATAATGCTGAAGTTGAAATTTTTTTATCGTTACACATTTCTTTTGCATAGACATCCCATTCAATTTCTTCATACTCATCATTTGGTTTAGTTAAATTATTGTCCATTAACAGGGATAAATTATTTCTTTCACAAGTAAAAGGAATCACAGCCAAGTTTTGACCAGTTACTAAAAGTAAATGATTTCCAAAACACCATAAATTTGGAGGGTCCGTATAGTTTTTAAAATGTTGTACAGCAACTACCATATTGTAGTGAAAATTGTATATTACTAAAGCAGCTCCTGAAATAAATATAAAAAAATATATTAAAAATGTAATATAATAATTCAACACATTAAAAGTAAAAGTACAATCAAAAATATGTATTTTATTAAATTTGAATTAGAAAATTCAAAATAGAAAGTCTAATAGATACTGTATTTTTATTTATATAGACCAATAGAGTTTCAATAACAAAACTAACCACAGCCTTTTGGTTCTGCTCCATAAAGACCTATACAGTCAGAACTGAGTTGAATTATTGTTACTTGTTTGTTTGAATTAACCAATGATATTTCAGTTAAACGTTTCCCAGGAAAGTCATTACATTCAAATTCTGCATATAATTCATTAGAATACAAGAATCCATTAGACCCTAGAAATATTACAAAATTAGATAATATAAATATAAAATTATTATTTAAATAGTGCTATTATATAAAGATCAATACAATACTTACAAAATGTTAAAACACTAAGCGAATCAGAATTTTCTCTTACACAATATCCAAGTAGTATATCAGTTTTATTCTTAAAAGATATTTGTAAATTAATAGGCAAAAATGTGTCCTCCAATGGCACTGATCGTAAAGTTTTCACATTCTGTAATTAAAATAATTTAATGAATACATAGCATATTTTTGTAAAAAAAAAAAAAAAATTACTTTGCTATCAACAGATACAACAATACATATAGCTTTTGTTCTGAGTATACATAATTTGGTTAACTCAATTGTTTCACCATCATTAATGACGGAAACTCGGACTTTTTTTCGATTTCCAATTGCTTCATATAAACATTCACAATGTCCATTTTCAAAAACAGCGATAGCTCCTTTAAAGTCCAATCTGGTTAAAAGTCTTATAATTTTAGCAGAAAACTGTAAGAAAATAAAAAAACATTCATCATATGTAAAAAATTAAAATATATTCCCTTTTGTTATATTTATTCATTTCATTAATTTAAATTAAATTTAGAATATATTTTCATAAGTAAATTTATAAAAATTACATAAGTACAGGAATATTATTATAATATTAATAATTATATTGAATAAAAATATAAAACAATAATTTAGTGTAGTAAATAATATTTAACTATGGCTCATGAAAGTATTTAGTTTCCAAATGTAGCACATAGATAATTTTTCATTGTTTAGGCATGTGGCCAGGTTAAATTATACAATTGGGGTGATCATAGCTCATGTTTACATATTCACTCTTCATAAAAAAATATTAGCAATACCTATACACAAATGGGCTGCTGAGGTTGAGGTTAGATTTTCTGAAATTTCTGAATGCAGTATATTATGTAAAATAAAATCAATTATTTTTGGAATCCTGATTCTACAGTTAATAAGTTAGTTAGTATTTGATTTTAAATTTCTTAATCATCTGTTATTACTGGTATTGTAATTAGTACCTGGATTGTTAACTGTCTTCAATGGTACAAGCCAAATTATTTAAATTTGTGTGTTCCATTATTTCTTGGCAGAAATATAATTATGCATAGTTATCTTTTCATAATAAAAAATGTTGAAGTATTTACAATTAATAAATATATAATTATAAACATATCACACCATACACAAACTATCAAAAGGAAAAAAATTAATTTGAAAAACCACAAATATCAATCCAGATCAAGTCTAGAAAAAATTAAGAAATGAATAATCATTATTATACAAATATTGAAATAGAAACAAAATTAAATTTTCTATTAAGAGTAGCGGTATAGGGTTACAGGTATTGATAAAATTGTATACAAAATGCATTAGTAGAAATTTTAAATACTTATACACCAAACAGTAATAAGAATTAAGAAAGTATGTTAATGAAATAGTATGATGTACAATCTCATCTACAACACATAATATAATACCTAGTTAATATTAACTTAATTACTCAAATTTTGAGTATTTTTAAAGTAGAATGAAGTGGTCAGTATTTTCAATGTTTAAATATGGTAGACATTAAACAAAATTTATTTAAAAATATTTAAAGAAATAAAAAAATTAAAACCTGAATCAAATTTTTAAGTTAATTTCAAGCTATAAATTATGATTTACTATGAAAATTACTCACATTATATTTCTTCATATCTTTCATTGTTAACGAATTACGTAACCACTTCCCAATTCTTGTATAGTTAAAAACACCATAATAACATTCACTTATAGGATCAAATATTACTTCTGAAGATAATTTATCAGAACTGCTCCAACAACGTACCTGATTTTGACTGGGCATCTACACAATGAAATATGATGGAGATGTAGCAAATAAAAAAAATCAATTATAATAGTTGATATTAAATACGTACATGAAAACAAGTAACCATATTTTTCGACAAAGTTACAATTACATTATCGGGTTCTGCATCGTTCGAAATCCCCAAAAAATTTGACTCAATAATTGAACCTAAACTAAAAGATGTATCTAATTTTATCATGATGTATTAATAATCATTTGCACCACTAAAATTGAAAAATTTAACTAAAAGTTTGTTGGTCGAAGTAGAAATGTTATCGATAAATTTTACTGTTAGACAAGAAATCAAACTACCGAATTTACAAATTTATACAAGAAAAACACGTGTATAAGTCTTATCATTTTTTTGATAATTATTAGCAGTGTGGGTCACCGAATAAATAAATTTGTAACATTTTTATTGTAAATTATTTCATATTATTCTATTAAAATTATTTTTCTATAGGTACAAGCAGTGGCGCATTTAATATATACTCGCCCCAGGGCAAAATAATTTTTCCGCCCTTCCCCTTTATCAAATATATATATATATATAAATATTACCTAGGTGACTAAGTATAGTATAATTTTTTTAATTTCTTATTAAATGCTCAACAATATTTTTTAAAATACTAATCAATACCGAAAAAGGTGTGAAAATTAAATAAATCATGAATACATCAATAATAAAAATTAGAATATTTTATCGCTCCCAAAAATTTGCCGCTCGGGGCATTTGCCCCTTTCGCCCCCCCCTTAAATGCGCCACTGGGTACAAGCATTGATTACAGAGTCATATACCGGGTTTACATTCAGCCACGGTCTTAGAAGATAATTATATGTTAGAAGATATCTTCTAAGTAGGGGAGGTTCTATGGGGAGACACTAGGGGCTTCGCCCCTTCCAAGTTTGTATTTCTAAAAATATTTTATTGTTAAAAAAAAATTACAAATACAAAAACAAAAAGAACATACTATTATACTATTTATTATTATAGAGACTTAAAAGTATGTAGTTGGAGGCAATAGCGCACACAGAATTTTTTTTCGGGGGGGGGAGGGTCAAGGTAAAAATATAACACATTTTATAATTAACAAAATTATGCAAATCCTTAATATATTTTGACTTTAATAATAGCATTGATAATAGAATAGACTATTCTATAATCAATGATACTATAGGTATTCAATACTAGCTCTTCATATTTCAAACTTGTAAAGTTTGGAAATTTTAACCAAGAAATCGGAGAAAATTTCGGGGGAGGTTACAACCCCTTAACCCCCCCCCACGTGCGCCACTGGTTGGAGGTAAGACTTATACCAGCTATCTATATTACGTTTAAAGCGTATTAGCGTAGCACACATTTCTGTTTCTTTACGGAGTACGGACTACGGAAAACGGGAATACTAAATAACTAGGGACATACTAAGGCCGTTTTCACACACACCGATAAAATTGGAACCGGAGCCGGAGCCGGAGCCGGTGTCGGATACAATGCAATTAAGTTAGTGCTTTCACACATAGACCGGACCGGTAAATTTGTCCGGTGGACGATTCCGGAATTCGTAGTCGGCATTGAATTCGATAATTCGAATGCCGGACTGATCTCCGAATTATCGATTTCAATGTTTTCTTATACAATCGTATACACACCGGTTGGCACAAGTTTTGTCGGTACCCGGGGAAAACCTAGAAATAGTTATATTAATATTATATGATTCCTTCCAAGTACCTTACACTTAATATAGAATGAATCCAATATCGTCTTTTAATGTTGTATCTTCGGTAATTCCTTCGAAGATACAGTGGCCCAAACAGATGGCGTTTATTAAGAGCAGCACACATTGTTGAGAACAACAGAGAAAAACTAAAACACGACTTCACCCAAGTGAGTACAAAAAATGTTTCCTCGCTGTATGTGAAATGAAACCGGAACCAGGTTAGGTTTTACCTTGTACATGTGAGAAAAGTGAACAACCGGTTCCGACACCGGCGCCAGTTTCAGTTCCGATTGATCGGTGTGTGTGAAAACGGCTGATATCTCTCGATAAGAATTGTATTGTTATTATTCTATAAATAATAATGTTGTTGGACCGTTGCGCATCGGCTTCGACTATTGGAACGCATTAACGGACCGTCCAGTGGCCTATACAGTATACACTAGTGGTGATAAATTGTGATTTTTTTTTTCAGTTGCAGTTGCATCTACTACTGAAAAAATAACAGTGAAAATAGCAGTGACTGCTTATTGATAATTTTTATTTTAGAATCACTATATTAAATAACTGCTACTTGTCCGATATTGTTATTCCAATTAACTGTTACTTGTTAGGTATTGTTATTCTCAGTGCTTGATTTGACAAAATTAAAGAAGGGGGACTCTGTTTGCTTAAAAAAAATTGCGTCTCCAAAACTTGTTAAGCGTTATAATTACAATGTATTAATAGTAGGGGGACGCTAAAATTTCTAAAAGTTAGAAGGGGTACTTCGTCCCTCCTCAAGTCGAGCATTGGATATTCTAAATAACTGCTACTTGTCAGGTATTGTTATTTCAAGTAATTGCTACTGAAAAATAGTAACTCCTACTATATGACCCATATATTAAAATAATAAAATGATTATAAGCAGTGGCGGATCTTATGGTGGGTGTTATTTTGATAATAATAATAGTCTTAAAGTACTTATTATGCAAGGCTTACAGATAATAGAGGTTGCCTAATACCGGGATTCTGTTAAAAATGGAAGTGGTGGAAATTGTACTATGACGTCAGCCGTCGTACAAAATTGTTTATCATAGCACTAATGTAAAATGTTAATTGTTAATACTTAATAGTTAATACATTGATAGTTGATTTACGTTTTACAAAGTGTTTATTACTTAACTATCAGCTAAATAAGTTTGTTTTCATGGCAATTCTAAAATCAAAAGGTGGTTCATGTTGTGCAGTTGCCTCATGCAAATATTATTCAGGCAAAGCCAAAAATACTGGTAAAACCGATTTGTCTTTTCACAGGTATGTTATACATTTTTTTTTAACTACATATTAGGCAATATTAAATTATACATATCTATTATATTTCTATCTATTAGTTTTTATTTATAACAGAAGTTTATTTTAATTTAAAAGGTTTCCAAAGGATGATTTGTTTCTTAAAATGTGGTCGAATAAACTATATACCTAATTAAAGTATTCTAAAATACTATGTCATGTTTATATTTCATAACTTAAATTCCTTGCCTTAAGTCATCACATTACAGGCTGTTATCTTTATTCCTTTTTTTACTTTAACAATGGTATTATTTTATTAAATAATTTTTATATTTTCTATTTTAGGCGCACGATGAGATTATCACTTTGGCTCTAAATGATAATGTATTATCTTCTTCTACTCAAAATTCAGAATGTGACCTAGAGTCAACTCAATTATTGAACTTGTCACAACCTCAAGATTATGACTATTCATCCAGATGAAATATTTAAATGAGCATTCCAGCAAATTATTAAAAAAAAGGAAAGCAAAATCTCAACTTGAAAAGCTCCAAAAACTAAAAAGACTAATGACGTATTTGTGGCAATATTATTATGTATTTTATATTTTTGTACAATAGTTATGTAATATACTATAAAATTGTTCTTTTTATTACATTTCCTACAATCTCCAAAAAAAATAAATATATCATTTGAAATTACTTAAATTATATTTTAGTAGTATAAATTCTTGATACTATTCTTAATGAACAAAAATTATTCATAAGAATGGTATAAAGTGTAACCATAAAATGTTATTATAAAAAAGTTAATAGTATGTACTATGACACTATGTAGTAGGAATGTGTAGTTCATGAGTTAGTCGACTCTTAAAAAGGAACTGGACGAGTCGAATCAGTGTTACAAGAGTTGACGACTCAGTGACTCAGTTAAACTCACAACTCACAACTGTACTACTGTAGATACACGAATCGACTCTCAACTCTGGATTCTTTTGATAACGGTTTGCGAATTCAAACGGAAAATGTAGTACCAACTTTAACAATAGTTCCCCTCGGATTTGGTTATTAATATTTTGTTATTGTTTCTTAAAACAAGATTCTTGACTTTCTGAGAAAAATTCGGAACGTTGTACGCTTAGTCATAATTAGTTTCATATGCGATAAGCTATTCATGAATATGGACTGTGAACTTGTGAGTCGAATCAAGAGTCGAGACTTGAAGAGTTGATTAGAGTAGTGGTAATCTAATTCAAACAAAAAGCTGGTAGTCGACTCTTTGATTCAACTCATTACATTGAACTGAGTTGAAAGATTCAGTTCAGCAGAATGAGTTGGAATTCCCATCCCTACTATGTAGTAACTCAAAAAAACAAAACAACGCATAAACACACAACCATTGTTGCAAAATAACTAGTTTACCAATTTACGAAATCGAAAGACCTATTAAGTTAATCGCAACCTGAACGCCGTGAACGATAAATACGATAAAAATGACAAATAATAGGAACCTATAAGGTAATAATCAACGAACTATAAAAGATAAAACTACGTTCGATATCGTATCGTTAATTGTGTGGGTGTTGGCGTGATAGGCGTGTGTGGTCGGTGCGAACCACTCACCACAAATGACTATCAGAAGGGTAGTCGTAAATAAGTACACGAAAGCGATGTTTTATATGAAAATGTGTAGTATAATAAATAAAGAATTTGACGGAGTAATAGTTAGCAAAATAAATCGTTCGACGGAACAGAAATATGAAATAGATATATAAAAACAAAAGGAACAAAATGGCGTAATAGACACAAGGCGAAAAAATAAAGACGTCGCGACGCGTCGGCCACGGTCGACGAATCGGTGGCGAGAGCGAGCAAAGCTCGACCGAGCGATCGCCGTAACCGTCGAAGCTCGCAAAACAGGCCGCACAACATTCACACTAACAAGGAACATAAAATAATTTAACAATAATAAAATACACAAAACGGGGTGACAGTTGGTACGAGTGATAGTGGGGCTATGCGCCGTATCTCCTAAATTGTACACTTATTGAACACTATAGTTAAAATTGATTAAATATTATGATCAGAAATATAACAAAAAATATATAGTAATAATATTTTAAATATATATAATATTTAATATTATACCTATGACTCACGGCCTAGTACCATGCTACTTGCGGCCCTTAGGTTGGGAACCGCTGCTCTATACTGTATAAAAACTTGTATATATTATAATATATAACACATTCGTCATTTATAGTAATAATTTTGTAACAATATAGAGTACAAACTACAAGTAACTCGTCACAATCAATGTGCTGTCTCAAAATGTGTACGACGGGTGACGTCACGGTCACGATAAGTGCTGCGGGGAGTCTAAAATGTTTACATGACTATGAGGCAACCTCTATTATTCATAAACCTTACTTATTATGTACAATTTGGGGGGGCGGAAAAAAATCTATTCTATAATCGGGCCGATACCGATACCCGATATAATAGCAGTAGCAGTTAAAATAAGTAGCTATAACAGAAAATATATATTATATTTACAATGTAACCAACTAATAATTTATAATAGTAACAAAAGTAGCAGTCACTGTCATTTTCATACTAGAGTGATTACTACTTTAAAATCAATTGTGAAAAATTACTGCTACTGCAATTTTATCTCATCACTAATACACACTTCTAGTTTACACTATATTATATAATATTATTTCGGCCTCTGCCAAAAAAAGTTTCTCTACACTTAGAAGAGTTAAACCTTGGCTTCGGTCAAGGATGGCCGAAGATAGACTCTCTGCATTATGTCTAATTGATATACATAACAAAGTGAACGTTTTAGGTAAAATAGATCATTTTATAGATGCGTTTGCAAATTCAAAAAATAGAAAACTGGAATTTGTGTTGTAAAAATTGTTAATTTGTATATGTTATTAAATTTTGTGGAAATTATAACCTAGGCCTTCCCCCGAACCAAGTCTCTAGAACCGCCACTGCTTCTAAGACCGTACATTCACCCATTGCCGCAGCTCCTCTCGCATTTTCCTTCTCAAAATAATTTAGTGGCAGCATCGAAAGCAGTGAATTTTTTTCAATGTCTAGCTAATTTTTCAGCAACCTAACCCGCAGTGCAAGCTTACATAATGTTCGATCAGTTTCCGTTAAAGTTGTTTTTTTCGTAGGTACTATTTACGTATTTTTTTTTTATTTTTTTACTTTTGTGTGCGTGTATTCTAATTAACTTTAAAAATGTAAGCTGATTGAAGTAGCGAATCAATAATACAATTTTTAGTACTACGAGATTGAAAGAGTCATGTATGTATTTGAACTCTATAGAGTGTCAAAACTGCAATTATTTCAGTATGCTCCATTGAGGGAGATAGAATACAAACTTAAATGTTACTAGTCAACCGTATGCACGAAAATAAAAGTAAAATCGCAAAAATTACGAACACACGATGTTCTTCGAATATTTGTGTGGTAACTGCATTCGAACAGAATGTAAATACGTACTAGCACTCGCGTTGTCGGTTCTATGCTTCTCGCTCAGTTTACCGCTGTTGACAATGCAAGGATTATACGATCAGCGTGAGCTACGTGTTTACATACTTGGCGCTGTCGGCTTTCATGTTCACTTCTCTGTTTACTGCCATGGCAGAATTTAAACGAAGTAATAAAATCGTAGAAGTCTATAATCAATGGTACAAGCCACGATTTCTTTACAGTTCTGTATACTTATTTCAATATATTTATCTTCATAGTTCATTTTTTCCGTGTTTTCACTGTTCACATATCATGCTTTTTGCCTTGTTGCCTACATACTAACCTACATAGTTCGTGGACCAAATGCCATGTGTTTACTTCAGTTTTTTTAATACAACTCTATGGTATGTGGCAATTTTTAATACCTATATGTTTTGCCATAAAATACAATTTACTTATTATTTTTATTTCGATTATATCGAATTGGCATAAATTTGGTTGTTAATAAAGGACTGGATCATAATAGCACTTTGTTATGAGATTTTATTTATTTATTATTCTACATTATATAAAGGATAAAGTATATTTTTAAATCAATAATTGGCATATTTAAGTTCTAGGTAGGTATTGAGCATTGATTTTAGAATTAACCAATTGTTTTAAATCGATTAATAAATATAAATTTATAAATCAAATTTTAATTAACAGTTGTAATAGTATTCATTTAAGTGTGCTGATGATATCGGATCGGGTTACTTCGAGTTAAGGTCCTTGTATAAATGTTTTATAGACATGTGGTTTTCTGTAAAATGTTGAGTTTAATTTAAAATTCAAATAAAGGCGTTCGTCTCATGCAAATATTAAATAGTATACATTTATTTTAAAAAGTGTAAATAAAATAAATAAAATATATAAAGAAATTTTAAAATAGTAACAATACCAAATTATGTAATAATATATATAGTTGTACTCTTATATTTGAACTTATAATAAAATAATGTAATTATTGTGTAAAGCAAAATAATGTATTGTGCAGAAAAAAAATTTGCTAAAATGTTAATATTCTATTCATTTGAAGTACTTTTTAAAGTCACAGGAGTAATAACAAACCGTTTTGAGAATGATCTTGTACTATTAGAGCCATAATTTGGATAACTTTCTTTTGGAGATTTAAAAATGGCTCTTAAGGATCCGGGTGATGTGTCATTAGTGTATGAATCTAAAATATTAAAATTTTATATATTACTAAACATTTATACTCTATAATATATTACTGCTTATTATAAATTGTAAGCATAAATTATTTAAATTATTTGTAAGGTATAATAAACTTTTTAATAGTATACTTAAATAGTGTAATGTAAAATTACAAATTTTTTCTTACTAATTTAAATTCTTTTAAATAATAAAAAAAATTTAATGAATGAAGATTTTAACTGACAAAATATTGGCGATAAGTTAAATTTTATAAATTACCTGTACTTTTTATGTGTGTATTTATTAATTTGGATGCTTCACTATCTGTAGTTTGAGTCTTCGAAAAAGATTTAACATTTTGCTGTCTATTGTATCCCGGTGACCACGTAATAAAACTTAACTGATAAATTCATCCAATATTAGTACCATTGCAATTATTTAAATAATTTATTTTGTATATTTATACTCACATCAAAAGGATTAAATCTTGAATTCAAACAGGATCCTCCGATATTTAAAGTATTTTGAGAAATTCCAAAAGCATATTCCTCTTTTAATCTAAAGTCCGTTAATCAATACATAAAGAGTATTATATAGATTTAAGTACAATATAAACTATATAGGAGGTTAGTTAATTTAATTTATGGTGTATATTAGGTTGCTACTATACTGCAGATATTTTAAATGATTATTAACATTACCTCAATGTAAGATAATTTGTTTTTTCTTCGTTTAATCCAGAGTTTATTTCTTTTATCACATTTAAGTATTCATTCATTGATGTTTTTATAGTATTATTATACTTTTTTGGTGCAACAGCTTTTATCTATAATCAATTAGTATTTTAATAGCGAATAAAATCATTGATTATTGAACATATTAAATTCTATAACCAATAGCTAACTAAAAAATAAAATATGTTTTAAAATCTACAATATAGTATAAATAATTACTATAAACACAAATTATATTCATATAATTTAAGTATATTTATACATTACTTTTAATATGACAATACCACAAGTGAATATACATATAATGTTGATAAATGTTAGACACATGCTCATTGCACCTTTTATAGCAAAGTCAACAGATCTTGTAGATGAATATTGTAAATTAAAAGTATTTATTGAATCTTGGTTAATACTTCTTACTGAAAAAGCCCATAATAGGCCCTTTAAAATAAATGAGACTATTAATTTATTTTTATTAACTAATATTTATTTAAAATCAATGATGTAACTATTAAAATTAAATAAAAATATTGACTACACGAAAATTTATTTCTATAAATAAAATTACCTATAAATGATAAACATAACCTTTTAAATATATAGGTGTAATTTTGGCAATTAAAAATTTTAGATAATTTTTCAATATTATATATTATATAATATATTACTATATTATATATGAACATACATTTATCTGATTAAAATCACAAAAGTATAAAATTATATGGCTGTTATACATTAACAAAATTTTTCTTCGGGGCCATTGGGCCAGGTAGCATATTAAGTGCAGATAAGGGCGCCCCCTTGCTATTAAAACACTACGCCGCCCAGGGGAAATTGTCCCTTTTGATCCCCTTCCCCATAACATGGCCCTGGGTGGATGTATGAAATTAATAAGACCCCTAAGAATGAATTGCTTATCAAGCAGATTGATTTTAGTAGGGTCATATTTTAAAACGATGGATAAATTGAATTAGATTTTGTTTTGTTCACATTTAACTGGTTCCATTAATAAATAGATTCTGAAAATAAATTTTGGTTTTACAGAAAAAGCACATTGAATACACTTCTTTTCAAATGTACTTTTCAGAACATCATGCAAAATGAGTACTTTCTGTTGGTAAATTTTCTGTAATAGTAACATATAATTTTGTTTGGTAATAACTATTATATATAAATAAATATATAAATACATAAACATTCTTTTACTTCTGTGTACGAAGGCAATAACTGTTGGTATATGTAATGGGCCATACATGAAGAATCTATTATAATTAGGCCATCTGGCATTTTATCAAGTTGTTTGTACTCTGAAATAATAGTCTGCATATTTGCTCGTTTTTATATAATTGTGAATTTATGCCATCTCTAATTGCATCAATAACCAATTTAAATAAATGTCACTATCAACATACGATTCATTATTTGAATTATGCTATCAAATGTGCATGTATTTGTGACGCTATAAAATGTATTATTGACTTCAATACTTTTTAGATTTCATAATATCTTAATCATATTTTCTTTATATTATATGTATAGATAATTTAATATATACTCGTATAGTTAATAAATAATTTTTAAAAACGATATGAACATGTTATTAATAATTATACTCGTGTACACATAAAAACTCCTGGGCCTCCACACAAGAATACTCAATGAGTCCCAGTATTCTTTTCTTTAGAAATAAATGAATAATAATTACATATATTATTTAGAAGTCCAATAACTCTACTTTTGGTATTGCTTGTATCATTTGAGTATAATATAGTAGGAGTTTTGTCTTAATAGGTCCCATTTCTTATTTTCTTATGAACTTTATACCTCAATACTTTCCATTTCTCAAGTACAATAAAATAATCATACGATATGTCTATAAAGGTTTTTAAATATTTTGATGATACTGTTTTATTTTTATTTGCTTTTGACATGTTTTTATTTAGATCTTTAATTCCAATGTTGGTTGAACCGGGTTTTGTTCATTCTTAATTATATATATTGATGTTCTGGTACCTATTGTTTATTTCTTCATTACTTAATGACTTTTCATATTGAATTTTTGGTTTATCTGCTAAAATATTATTTGTTTCAAGTGTGTGAATTATATGTATTTTTAAAAATTCGTCAAATCTAAGTGATAATGGCTTGTGTTTTAAAATGATGGTTTTCAAATCCTTGAATAAACTTTTTAAAGTACAGCTAGTTTTAATTGAATTTCCATACTTGAAAATTGGAATCATTAAGACTGACCAATATGATATAAATTTACAAAAATCTAATAATAGTTTTGATATTATTGTGATCCCCTGCACTACCTGTACTATTAGTTTCGTAATTTGAACATTCAATATACAGAGGTCATAAATACATTTGATTTCTTTGTAAATAGTATATCTATATAATTTATTTTTACAGACTCTTCTTGTAAATTTGTATTGTCTTTGTGGCTGTCGCTATTTATAATTGTCTGACCATAGTCAGTCCCGCATTAAATTGGATCAATAGGAAAAAATATCCTAGCCTTAGGTTTGTGCATCGTTGGAAAAATCCAAATTCATCATGTCGACAATCACCGGTATATGGTTGCATAACTTATGTAGACTATATTGTCAACATTTTTTATGCATTATAATTTATTGTTGTCAATTATCATAGGCATTTCCAGAATTTTTTAATAGGTCGTGTACAAGAAAAATATACAAATTCTTTACTGGATTACTAGAAGGAAAGGAAAATATGATCTTTACATTTTTAAAAAATCATTTTTACATTTTGATATGAGTACATACACGAATATAATTACAATTTTTCTCAATTCCTACTGTAATTTTAAACGTCGTTTTGTTGAAATCCTAAATTTAAACTAGCAGTTATTGATTCATTAAATTATTTAATTAATCAATTAAAGTGAAATTTTGCAGGTCATACCTGTGCATGAGAGCCACGACCCATAAATACGCTTATGACAATCACCACCGTTGACAATCATAGTGAGTATATCACTTCTCAACTATGGAATTTTATCTTAACATATGCATCACTTAGCCAGTGGTTACTGACTATTGACCAGTTAGTTATATACAACTTATAGTTATAAGTACTGAATATAAATTTATTATCGGTAAAACTTAAATTATTAAATACATACAGCATTGACAGAAGGTGGTAGAAGAGATGTAGATATTGCTACTCCAATCAAAGAAAATGTATTGTTTCCTAGTAAAGCAATGGGTACAGCAATCCCAACGAGAAACGCAAGTACAATACTGACCCATAAGCTACCAATATCTGTCCTATATGAAAATATAAGATAGAATAATATTAAAACCGATAATTTAAATCTAACAACATTATTTTTACTAAAAAACTTAACATGTAAGCCATTTCATCAGTTACCCACTGACTAGCATCTCGACCATCAAAATACGAAGTTATTAATCCATACCAAAATCCAATTAGTACACAAAGAATCAAACCAATTATTTCATTTACGATTCCCATATTTCTAAGTTTTTTATCTTTGATCATTGTTCCAAAGGTAGCAGCGTTTATCGGTCCCTGAGTAAAATAAAAATGTTGACTATACTGTTTATAATATTACTTTTTTACATAAATAATAAATTATAGTAGCCTAAAACTATTAAGTTTGAATAAATTGCCAATTATATTTATATACTTATCTAAATAATATAAAAGACCTTTTTTAATATTTATTTTCCAATAAAACTATTGAATATTTTTTATATTTATTTTTGATGATTTGTTCCAAATACTCCTCCAAGTGTTACTGTTTCTACGTCATAGGGAAAGTATTCATATATACGCCTTCGAGTGTTCTTTTACGTTAAATAAAACCAATATTCTGTCAATTAGAATTTTACAGTCATTTTTTCTTCAACTTGACTAACTTTAAACTTTAGAATTAAATGTATAGAATATACTAAGTTCTAAGAGTCTAAAAATTACCATTTATTTATTTAAATTCCATGGCTTATAAAATAATTTTTTCTAGGATCCAGGGGCGGATTGGCAATTATTTTCGGCCCAGGATATATGAAACAAACCGGCCCACGAACCGCAAATTATACTATTTTACCCCTCCCCCTCCCAAAAAAAATGCTTTATTTTGCATTAATTTCAAAATTTGTTTAGTTTCTAAATTAGTAAAATCTACAATAACTTTACTACAATTATAGCTATAATAGTTTTGGGTAAGTCACATGATTAATCAGTTCCAACTTGAACTTGAAGTTTGATCTTAATGCATCTTTAATTGTATATTTATTTTTTTGATAATTTTTATTTATTCTACAAAATAAAACTTCTTTTTGGTGATTATATAATAATATAGAGCGGCCCAAATAAGGATCGGCTCATTTGGAAGATTCCCGATTTCCCGATAGGCCAATCCGCCCCTGCTAGGACCAATAAGATTAATTTAACTGAGTTATATGTCTTTTGACCACACTAATCAATAATTTACTTGCCCAACATGTCGAATTTGGTTCAATCATTTCGTATTGTCAATGAATGTATTATGCACTACAGTAAAACTTCAATAAGACGGAACTTCGGTAAAACGGAAACCCCGGTAATACGGAAAATTTCTTTAGTCCTTTTTTCAATTTCATATAATTTTAGCCCGTTAAGACGGAAACCTCAAGAAGCTGGAAATGGACACGTTTTTGTATTAAGAGTGGATAAAAACTCTCGCTAAGACGGATATATGATTAACAAACATGATTTTTGTGTCACAGAATAAAAATATTTTATTATTTTTAGACAATGCGCAATGTCATCCTTACATTTAACTGTCTCAATAAAAACTATGAAGAACAAGTACTTCCCTTAACTACTCTAATAGAAAATGGCCTACAGAAGAAGCTAAAATTCAGTTAAGCTTTCATTTACCTATCAGCCGCGTACGATACGGTCTGGAGACACGATTTACTGTATAAATTTAATAAGGTCATAAAATGCCGATCACTACTGACGCTTTTAGAAGAAATCCTAGCAAACCGACGTTTTCAAGTATATCTAGGCAACAAAGGAAGCAGATGGAGGACAGTGACTAATGGGTTTCCTCAGGGTTCGGTACTAGCTCCTTATTCCATTTATATAAACATGACATATCAAATATGGCAGGAGTCAAGTTTCAATTTGCGAATGACATAGTAATCGCGTACCAAAGTAAGAATCTAAATGATGGTGTATCTTTAACTAATGACCTAGAGGTAATGAACATTTATTTCCGCAAATGGCGCTTAAAGCTGAATCCAGCGAAAACTGAAATTTGTGCATTCCACCTCAACAACAAACAGGTTAAGGATAAACTTGAAGTAAAATTTGACAAAATAAGAGCAATCCATAATATCTGTCCTAAATATTTAGGTATTACGTTAAATCGTGCACTGACATTTAAAGCGCATCTGAGTACCTTAAATAAAAAGATTCGATTTCGGAGTAACCTCGTACAAATGTTGGCTAGTACAGGTTGGGGTGTCGATACAAAAACATTAAGAATACTGGGCTTAGTATATAGTACAGCGGAGTTCGTGTTCTAAATTTGGTGTAACAGTGCCCACGTTGATAAAGAGTAGTTACGCAACTGAACAAGTTTATGAAAACAATCAGTGGAACTGTAAAATCTACATCACTTCAATGGTTACCGGTACTGGCAAACATTAAACCTCCAAACATACGAAGAAGGAAAAGAAGGGTTTGTAAAAACTGTTGTGAAAGCATGTGTTAACCTAAAACGTTCATTCCTGTATCAGATGCTACTCTAAACTCCGGAAAAAAAAATTAAAATCTAGGAATTCACCTGATGAGACTGCCAGGAAACTGATCAGTTCAAGGTACAATAGTGCTGAAGATTGGCGTTAACAGTGGGCTAAATTTTCTGCACCAAATCGCAAACTAATACCTAACTCTAATGAAGGAGTCCTAAGGATGAATCTTCCTTATAGCACTTAGTCTACATTAAGCAAGACTTCGAACAGGTCATGGCCGATACGGCGCTCTTCTATACAAATGGGGGTTCCAAGACAACCCAATCTGCGACTGTGACAGCGGAGATCAAACCATGAATCATGATGGAGAGCCAGGCCAGGGAAGGAAATTTAACCAAGGGTTCGAAGGCACACTATGGTAACTCCGGAAGCAATAAATTGGATTATAAATCTCGACATAAGCCTATGAAGATCTTAAGGACTCTTTTATCCTATATTTACGATTTTCTTACTTCCTTTACTTTTGATTATGACTCTAATTAAGTTAAACCACTATATTTCTATACGTATTATATACTACTTATTAATTTAAATCTTAAATTATCAGGTGAAGTCTACTAATCTAGGTTGTTCATTTGTTTTGCTAGTTTTGAGTAATTATACATTCATTTGTTAAACATTTATATTTTTGATACTTTTATTTATTTTAAGGATGTTTATATTTTATATACCTACAATAACATTTAAAATTAGATATATAATAAACTTATACAATTATTACATTCATATTTTTTGATTAACTCACCATCAGCGGAGACAAAAGCATGCTAGAAACAAATATTGTAGTTTCTCCTTGCATTAAACCAAGGGCTGCAACAGTTCTATAAATAATTTAACACATTATATTATCCCATAATTATAGTCTAAAAGGAAAATAATTTCTACCAAAGTATATATTTCTAAGCCAAAATAGTGTAAAATTGTTTAACAATAATTATAAATCAAATTAAATTATAATTATACTGTATAGATATTGTAAGAGAGAAAATAATTTTTTTTTATCAATTATGTTTGTAAAAATATATTTATATTATTTTACTTACACTGAAATAAGTAGAAGGATTAAAAAATCAAAGGTTAGCATTGCACCCGTTTCTATACCTTGAACGACTTGTGCAACGGCTAACCGAGATCTTACAGACTGAAGAAATTTTTTCCAGGATGATTCATACAATTTAGTTGAGCTAAAATAATACATTGTAAATTAAACTTAATTTTGATTAATTTACTGAATATTTTTCTAAAATTCTAAAATAATAAATCAAACATTTATTATATGGGTGCATAATAACAATAATTGTATTTGTTTTATTAATTTATAACTATGTATATCATACTGTATTTGATTATTGTTTATAACTATTATTGTATATTAATATCTTATGATCATAATAACATTATTACGATTATAAGTTATTATATACATTTTTAATGATATACAAAACGATTTTTTTGTGCATAACTGATAATAATATTACCTATATCAAAAGTTGTAAATATTGTTTATCTCAGGATTATTTGCAATCATAGGAGTAAATAGTATTTGAGAATTGAAGGGGGGAAGCTGGAGTATACAATATAATTATAATTATTTCTTGACTATGGCATAATGCCAAATTCCTGCAAAAATATGTACTTTTGCTTAAACTGAAATTGAATAAAATTAATATTCTACTTGCAATCAAATCAATTCCATTCACAAACTTAAGCATAAATAAGGGGTGGTTGCCCCTCTAGATTGATATTAATTGTTATTATATTAATTGTATTTATATTATATTATATATATTATGTATTTATTTAAAAATAATTAATATATAATATATAATAATAATATATAACAATTTTTATATTAATTGTTATTTAACTTAACTTACTTAATTTGTCTCTGTTATTGTAAGGTTGATTATACATTTAAAAAAAAATGTTTAAAAAATGTAATTAAGTACTACTAAATAATGAAAGTTAAAGTAAGGAACGGGGACCAAATTCTAAATCTCTCGTTTTCCAAACAATTGCTCATTCACTGAGCTGCTTGATTTTTTTTTTTACAATTTTGCAATTTCTTAATAAATGTCTAAAAATTATAAAATAGTAACTAATAGAATAGTTAATAATATAAAATCTTAAAATAGTATAATAAAAATAAAAACGCAACAAATCTTATGATGCAATAAAGACATAATTGCAATAATTATTTGATTCTGAAAACCTTGTTATGCGTTTTCTTTTAAACACATATATAAAAATATTTAATTAAGCTAAAATATCACGAACTTCTCATTTTGATTAGTTTCAAAAACTGGTTGTGTAGACTCGATATCTTGGTAATACAGTGAACAAGGCAAAACTCTAGAAAATCAAAATATATAGATATGGAATAAATTAATAAGTGTTAGAAGACTTCAATTAGTAATACATATTATATATTATTAATTATAACAGTGGTCCCCAAACTTTTTTTTATTTTATGCACCTTTGAAAAATGTAAAAAAAAAAACTGACGCTCCACCTACCCTTAAAAAATTACTTTTATTTGTTTTAGTAATACAAAATAACTATATATTATACAAATTACCATAAGGAATTATATGTTTTTATAATTTTAAAAATCAAATGTAAATTATGAAATATAAATCTACTTATGAAAAACATTTTTTACATTTTTAATTACAATTTTATAAATGTTTATACTATACATATATTAAATAAAATAATTAGGGAAAAGATTGTTTTTTTTTCTAAGTCCATAATTTATGGGAATATTTTAGAAAACGCGTAATGTACATCATTTTCCACATTCAACCGATTTCTTTGTTTCCTTTTTTTGTATAAGTAAGGAAAAACGAGACTCACAAAGATAAATAGACAGAAATGGGATTAATATACTGAATGATTTTTCTTTCACTTTTGGATACGAGGTACTTAACCTGCGAAGAAGTCAATCACTATAAAATACTAGTAAAATTATTATCGATTGGGGACCGGCTGAAAATTAATTTAATGTTTTCAAATTTATTGATTGTAAAATGGTACAATTATATGAATGAAAAAATTATTGTTATTTCATCAGTACTATATAATCCTTGTACAGTTTATAAAACTTTCCCCGCGTTGGGAACCACTTATCTATAATATATATATATATATAACTCATATCAGAGCCGTAACAAGAGTAAGGCACCAATGCAATGGGGTTGCTAAACTATGAAAATTGTTTTAAATTAATTTGGACAGTTAAATAAATTAATACTAAATTCCTTTTATCGGTAATTGAAAAAAAAATTGAAAAAAATTATGTCAATACCTTAAAAATAAGACTTATATTTTTTAAGTTTGCCGACAAAATATTGAAATTAATATTAGACTGTCGATTGACGATTGTCATATTGATTTCTAATGAGCAAAGTATAATATAACAAAGATTAGATATTATGTACTTTTACCTACAGCATAATTTCGACTATCACTTCTAGAAACTGTGGTAAAATATAATCGAAAAACCTTGAGATTTATTTCTAGATATAAACAATGCAGACGCAACAGGTCTTTTTTTTAAAGTTATTCCTCTACTAAGCCACTAGTTTTAAAACAAGAACCATGTGCTGGAGGAAAAATTTAGAAGATCGCTCAATCACTTCATAGTGGCTCATGTGCGGAATATAGTTGAGGAAATTAGGAAATCCTTGGTTATAGGCAATTTTAAGAAACCACGATGAATGTTTCTTCATAACCAGTCATATGGAAATTTAATAAAATATTACATTTTTTTGCATTAATAAATAACTGATATTATACATTAATATTATTCTAACGCAGGTATGGGATTTTAAAATAGAAATGCTCCCTTATATTCTTAGATACTGCCATGTCACACACAAATTGCATTAACATTTTTAGTTAGTACATAAATATGTTTTCGAACATTTTTTTCATCCGGATTATGATCATAATATGATGGAGCCAGGGGTGGATCCAGAGTCGATGAACTGTGGGTCAGCCATTTCAAGAGGCCATTTATTAGGGATGAAACTGAATTAGAAATGAATACCTTGTAAAAAAAAAACACAATATGCTCATAAAAGTGTAAAAGTATATATTTATATTACATTTTAGAATTAGTGATACCACCGTTAATGACTTATTTACGATTAATAAATATAATCTAATTTTATCAGTGAAAAAAACGTACGGAATAAAATATGATTTACTTTCTACTAAAACAATATAATTTAAAATATAAATTATGAATTGAAAATTTTTAAATTTTAAATAAACATGACATTCATTTTTCAATTAACTCCGATGGGCCAACTGTCCATAATTAATATTTTTTAACAATATTGGCCTCTTGAAGACTTCTTATATTTTTTAAGTGTGACTATAAGTTAAAGTTAAAAATAAACTGAAATATGACCCAGTTTCCTCTCACCCCCAAATGGGCCGTAACACGATTACGCTTGTCCTACCTTTTTATATGAAAAAAACACAAAACGATTACGCCCAGCTAATTAGATCGATAGCACAAGGTTTTACCTTTTACCTGCAAAAAACGCAACACGATTGTGCTCAGCAAAGTAGCTCGATAGCGCTCCATGAAGTATAAGGTCTTGCCTTTCTAACAATTTTCAAATATAGTATTTAACGGAGCGCTATCTAGCTAATTTTCTGGGCGCAATTGTGTTGCGTTTTTTGTAGGTAAAAAGGTAAAACCGGGTGCTATCGAGTTAATTAGCTGGGCGCAATCGTGTTGTGTTTTTTCCACGTAAAAAGGTAGGACGGGCGCAATCGTGTTTTACTGCCCAAATGATGCTACTCAGGGACGCCCGGATAGGTGGGGCTATCGCCATTCCTGAGATTTTTTTTGTCGGTTAAAAAATTTTTACAGATTTTATTCAGTATATAAATTAAAATTTAACAATGACTTTTTTACTATGTTTCAGCACTTCATACCGTTTAAAGAACCAAAGATGATAAAAACATTTTTAATCAAAAATTGTATGATTCAAACAATTTATTTACTACTAAAAATAGGAGATTTTTATTACTTTTTGAATAAAATAATTAAATATGATGTAAATTTGATCAAATAAAGTTATTTTTTGCTTAAATTGTATTATATTTTTTCTTATAAATATTTGAGCTGATAGTGTAATTTTATATTAACTTAAATTAGTTTAGATTTTTAGAACATTATTAATAATAATATTACAAAATATGAATATATGAAAGAGGTAGTGAAAAATGTGCCCATAGATTATACACACAATTTTTTTTGCCTCCCTGAGCTATATTTCTGCGGGCATCCCTGATGCCACTGATTTAATTGTATAGTAAAATAAAATATCTCTATGCCAAACACCATGTAAGATACCATAAATAAGATAAATGTTTACAATGATAATTATGAATAAACTTAGAAAACAAATATTATATGATCATATTGTTTTTTTGTTACAAGCAATACATTTATAATCCATTTTCAGCTCTTCTGGTCTCTTGAAATAACCTGAACCAAAGTTTTCTAACTGTGGATCCGCTCCAGGTTGGGCCCTTATTTTAAGAATAAATCTCAAGGCCCCCGGTGATTGCCGAGTATCCGGGTGGGCCAGACCGACCCTGGTGAAAATGGTGAACCATTGTTAGTGCTCGAAGATTTTAAGTTTAAAAAATGAACTAAATCAAAAATGGGTATTAAAGGTACGGTATCCAAAACACAATCTATTGCGGTGACATGTCGTTAGTAACTTCAAGCATGAAAATCATATGGACTGGTTTGCAACGCGCGGAAAAACACGACGACCTAATTTTGGGTTGCTGCGACCAACAACAATACTGCTCTGGGAGCAGTACTGCGCGATAAATCGCCACGAAATTTCAAAGCGATTGTTGTAAATTTTCCACGTAGTGGCTTCCACTTTAGTTTTTTCTGCATCCGAAAACGAAATTCTTATACAAAAGGTACAAAATAATTAGGTTCTTTATAACATTAGAGATTAGGCGATTGTAAAACTAACTGATTTACTACTAGAGATAATAAAAAATCGAACTGTTGACAATTTAAACGGAAATTTGGTACATTGTATTTTAAATATCTATTAATAAGTGTTTCATAAAATGCTTCACTTTCTCGATATTTAAATATTTCTTATATAGGTTTTATAGTTTTTGGTAATGAAGTAACATCCATAATTTGGTCTTCATCTTCTAATAAAAGTGTTAGAAAAATGTTTTTATTATTAGAAATATATCTATTCATTGTAAAATTTAACTTAAAATACGTTCATACTCTGACAAGTTTGAAAATAAACTAAAACCGTATTATATTAATTATTATTAAGTTAAGTATGAACGCTGATTGAAAAACAGTTGTGCCGCTGTGACATGTCGCATCTTGGAAACCTTAGTCCTTCACTACATGATTTTTTTATTCTAAAATAAAAAAAAATCTTATCTTACAGATTAATACCCGTAGAAACCAATAAAACTATTAAAATTATTCAGTTTTAAAATCTAAGTACTCAATTTTACACAATTTTTAAAAATATATGTATGCACTACCAAGCGTTATTAATATTTTTAATAATCTTATATTTTTACAATTTATATAATATTTATTAATGACAAAACAATTATAAAATCAAGTTATATAAGTTGTAATATATTGAAGATGTACTGTTAAATTGTGTTCTTCGATTTTTTTTTATGTGATGCAAGTAAAACGGTGCTTTTAAAATGTAACTTAAATCATAACCACGAAGCAAGTGTTCATATTAATAGACAAGTTGTTGCTAATTAGTTCAAAAGAAAAGCAACAGAACAAGTTGCAACACGACCATTAAAATCATTTTACAATGCATGAAGTGCAAGAAATGAGTTAGATTTGACCAGAGGCGGATACACAGCTAGAAAACAATGGTTCAAACTATTTTCAAAAGGCCATTTATTAGGGCTGAAACTGGATTATAAATGTAACCTTGTAACAAAAAAAAAAACAATATAAGATCATATAATATGTGCATTTAAGTTAATTCATAATTCTCTGTGAAAACATTCACATTTATTTTATTTTATGGAGTCTTGCGTGGCTTAGAGATGTTTAACTGTAGTATGGCGTCATTCAGAGGATGGCAACTGAGGAATTTGTCCCAGTATAGTATTAATTTCGACCTATAGTTGGTAAATTTAAAAAATAGGCTGTATGTTGATTGCGGCAAAATTAATCTTTTTCTAAAAGTCGATATGTAAACTGCGGCAAAAAAAAAATTTAAGATTTTACAATCTGCGAGAAAACTGATAAGATACATTATACAAACGGCAGTAATTTATTTTATATACATACCTATTATATATACTATTTATTATATTATCTAAATTATATATACCTACCTATGTGTACCTATGTATGTATATCGTTTAATTAATTATGAAATGTTGCGTCTTGCATACAAAGTGATATGGTAAATCCAAATATATTTTTAAGTTTTAATGAAACATATCGGTGTAATATTGGTTCTTTTACTTTTGATAATACTAATTATGTATAAGTTGACTCATATATAAAAATTAAAAGTGCAGAAGAAGGGATAATACAAAAAATAAATAAAGCGACAACGCAAAAATACAAATTTATCAACGAACAGCGACAAATGAAAGAAGATGGACGAATTTCAAGATATGAATTTTTGAAAAAAGTATGTTTTAAAAATAAACGACAAAATGTTAACCTTTAGCTACACGCAATCATTAAGGTCTCTTAAAATAATTTTTAATAATAATTATATTTTTCAATTTTAAAAATTGGTTTTTGTGACTAATACTCTAAGAGTCTCTAGACTAATAGCTGTCAAAAGACATATTATTCCTAATTAAACGATAAAAACGATAAACGTGTATATAACGTTTTTAAGGTTATCATAACAATATGTATATATAGTATATATAGAATGTATATATAATAAATTGTTGCAGTTTGTATAATGTATCTTATCGGTTTTGTCACTGATTGTATAATAATTTTTAATAATTTTAAATAATTCTTAATTTTTTTTTTTGCCACAGTTAATATTTAAACTTTTAGAAAAAGGTAAATTTTGCCGCAGTTTACCATCTTTCAAAAAATATAAGAAGTCTTAAAGAGGCCGATTTTGTCAACAAATATTAACTGTGGGTCAAGTGACCTCCCATAGATCCACCCCTAAATTAGACGATGTGCATTCTAATACGACGAAGCGTTTATCGTACTCGTAGAAAAACATTACAAATATTATCGAAAAATGAAACCAAAGTGCAGACAGCATTAAATAATTTGGATACAAATACATATAAGGGTGAGAATTTAATGCTTATAAATGACAATATGTTGAATATAACATGGTTTTTTTTACAGAACAAATTTTTAATTTTTATGCCATTGTGCAAAAATATTTGTTGTTGAAACTTTTGAATTTTGTCCTAAATATTTTTATCAGCTTTTTACGAAACATGGTTTTAAAAATTGGCACTTAATTTCACTAATATTTTCTTTCCTACTGTCAAACAATTTATCAAGTACATACAAATATTTATTTCGAGTTTTGATTAGTAAATTTGCAATGGCCAATTTGACTTTAATCTAAAATCAGTCGTTATCGATTTCGAACAAGCTATACATTTTGCAACTAAACAAGTCTGATCTTCAATATTTCTAATGGGGTGAAGATTTAATTTATCACAAGCTTGGTGGAGGAACATCCTTTGTTTTGCATTATAGATTTAATATAAAAATCCAGATTCTGACATAGGAAAATGGCTATATTTCATTTTTGGTTTGTCACTTTTTCCACGCGAAGTTGTGGAGGAATGTGTTTGTAGAAAAAATAATGGCAATTCAACCATTTAATTCAAATATCTAACCAAATTCGTTAATAATATTGTTGAAAATTATATTTCATCTAATTCAACATTCCCTTTCATATTGTGAGCCCTTAATTCAATAAGTTTTAAATTAATGCACGTGAAGCTTTTTACGCTTTATTTTCTTCGAACTTTTATTCTCCCAATCGAAATGTTTTTGTCTTTTTAAAAGCAATACCTAATCGAAACACAAACAAGCACATTTATAACAATAAATAGTACAGAACAAGATAAATATATTTCAAATAGAACATATTCAACAAAAAAATTAATAATCAATTCTATTATTGAGAAATACAAATCTGGTGAAATGACCAGAAAATAATTTTTAAAATAAATTTTTATTAATATAATAATATCAAATATTATTATTGTAAAAAAGTTTAAATGTGAATTAATGTAACTGGTATAACTTTAAATTTGAATTTATTTATTCATATTATATTATGTATTAATAGCCAAAAAAAAAAATCAGTTAGTTTATCATTTATTTTTATTATATTTTTAATTATATCTTAATTTTGAATAATTAACGATAAAAAAATAACTTGTTAAATGTGAAAAAAAATATTCATTTATTTATATTATATTAAGTATTAATACTCAAACAAAAATTGGTTAGTGTATTTATTTATTATATAATTATGAGATTTTTTTTTTTTTTTGATAAAAGGAAAGGGATGCATACTTTACTTAGGTACTAGAAGAGCTTCTTACGGCTCTGACTCATATTATATATGTATAATGTATATTATAATATGTGTTATATATAAATATTTAAATAATACAATGAATTATAATTACACTACTGTTGAATTTAATTTTACTCCGATGTCATTTTCGATAAATAAATCCAAAATATGTTCACAATGTTCATTTGAAGCAATCGTAAAGGTTACCTGAATAGATTGAAAATCAAAATTTTCAATAATTTTAGAATAATTACTTTTATAGTATAGTATAATATGCAAAACAATAATACAAATTCTTTAAGAACACTACTAACTTATGTTAATTACTTTACCAATCAACTCATAGGTGTAAACTGTAGATGAAGGGGCAATTCCCCCCCACTAATAATTTAACGGGATAATGTTCCCCTTGATATTTTGTAAATTAATTAGAAAAATATTATAGAAAAGACATTTTATATTTGTAAGAATTATTTTATCGATAAATGTACATAATTTTTTTGAACTATTAACTATTAAAAAAAATTACAGATTAATCAAAATGTACTTGTTCAATAGATGTGCCATTACAATACATCATGACGCAGATTAAGTATAACTAGTATTTTAGTATATGGTATATCAACATAAAATAAAGTTTCTCCTCCCACTTAAAAATTACCCAAGTTACGCCCATGAATAAACGAGTTAGTAAAATATAGTATACTATAATTCTTTATTTTTTTCTTTTTTCTTTTTACAATTTATATAGGTTAATATAATTACCGAATTAAACCTATTATCTTTGCTTCCAATCCACACAGAATTTGATATTTTCAAACTACATAGAATCATTTCCAATTTCTAAAAAATTAAATATGTTTAAGATATTAATCATTAAATTATAATGAATTATGATAATAAATACAGTACATATATAAATTAATTTAAATTTAATTAAGTTTTTTGAACTAGAAATTAAAAATTTGAAATTTTTAGGGTAAAAAGGTCAATAATTAATTATTATTTTTGGAAATTAAGTTTAGACAATCGGAAGCGAAAAAGTGTACTAAAATTGTTTTAATATTCTCTACATATAAATAAGTCGCATTCTGCTCATCCAAATCTTAAGAAAATTGAGTGTTATAAACATTTTACAGTTACCCATTTATTCTTTTACAGTAAATTTGACACTTACTTTTTCCATAGTTATTAAATTGATATTGGATACTTTATCATCCTCTGGTAAATTTTTTAAATCAGAATTTTTGATTTTGGCTGAACAATCACATGATATATTTCGAATTAAGTGAATTTCATGTTGTTTTGTTGGAATTAAAATATTAAACAAAGCCATTAAAAAAATAAAACTAATTAATAAAGATAATTTTCAACAATTTCTTATAAAATACGTATAGGTATACTGACAAATAATGTGTAATTTAATAAAATATTAGTAACTCATAAACTGATTAAGAAACATTATTTGTTTTTGTATAATGTGAATTATTTCAATAATTGATAAAATGTATATTTATGAATTTATAATAATAATTGATTAAACGCAAATTTTCCCCAAAACCAAAAGATAAATTAAATTAAATGTACAATAAACCCATAATTTATTGTATGCGTAGGTAGAATAAAAATATTTAAATGTAGGTTATAAAATATAGATTATTCGTGTAAACATGTCATATTAGACATTAACATTATATCCAAATAATATACAAAATCAAAAGCATCCACATAAAAACTATAGCCAAATTTTAATCTATATAAGTATTATTACTGTGAATAAGGAAATAACCCCCAAAATTATCTCTGCATTTTGGACTATGGCTCCCTCCACCTAGAAAATTATATCCTGGATCCGTTATTGTGTATACCAGTGTTGTGTTCGATACATATATATATTATAGAGACCTGATAGTATCGAAAACTGAACGATCGACATGAATCGGTTTCATCCGGCTTCTATTTAGGTTCAAAATTCATAAAAGCAATTGGTCGTTTACACATTTATGGTTTAGTTTCGGTTCGGTTACGCTTTTGACAAGCGAAAATATTATTTAATTATCAATTTAAATTGTTAAATGTTGTTGTTTCCCACGAGTGATTTGTTTGATATTGACATTAATCGGCTTATTTTATCAGTCCAATCATGTGCAGTGCTGTGGGGACAAAACAAATAATAATCTAAGCCTCCGTACTTCCTTAATTTTAATTCCTTAAATTGGTATAAAATACACCAAACCTCATCGGTGTGGTAAGGATAGAGTGCACCTAGTGAAGTCGATTATTTCTTCTTCTTTTTTTTTTTTTATTATTCAGGAACAAAATGGCAAAAAATTTGTCCTTTCTCTATATTAAATATTGGTCGACTGCGATTTCATATTTAGTTGTGAAATCAAGCCTGATACGAACCGAGTGCGTGCATAGATTTTTCATTCGTTTCAGATGGCAGTCGAAAATGTATTGAAAACTTACTGAACTGAATTAATTCGTATAAGTGTGAAACCGGTTAAGTCGGGGTCTAAACATTATTTTAGCGGCTTTTATTATTTAAAAATTGATGACCGTAAACAATGATGTATGGTCACAATAGTAAGCATTGAAGGAAGATTTAACAAATCATTTATAGATTTTTACTTATTCTTATCCCAGAGTATTTTGTTTAGTTTTTTTAGTTTTTGTTTAGTATTGAAGTGGAAAAAATGTATAAAAAAAAAAATTGACCGGGATACGTGGTTTGGGCCAGTGCCCATTTGGGCAAGCTCTGTATCTTTATACGTTCAAACCAATCCGGTTTAAAACTTAACAATAACCATGACACGATTTGTTGCTAAATAATAAGGATGTAGAAAAATATCTTTTATTTTCAAACTATACGAACCAAATAATATACTAAACTAATAAATGTTGTGCTCCTTGACTTAGTAGTTTTAAAGAATCCATCGGTTATAATATATAATATACTAATTAGTATGAAACGGTACACTTGGTACAATAATAATTATAGGTGCAACGTTACACGGTGCGTGGAGTACTTGGTGATTGGTGAATACCAACAATTGGATATATTATTAAATAATTTACATTTATACGTAAATGTTTTTTTTTTTTTGAATACAACGGATAATAATGATTCAAGTGTTGAAATGAAAAGTGTGACCAACGTTTCACGTTTGCGAGTAACAACTTCTTTAGTAATTTAAATGTTTTAAGCTATAAAAAACTTTTTGATCATGATAAACTTTCAAATATATTTATAGTCTACTAATTTTTTAACTAAACTTGAAATTTATCTTTTAAAATAGGATTTTAATGGATATTTTGATGAAGTTATATTGTCTTAGGTAATGTGGCTATACTGTGTAGCTCGTTATCGGTCGTTGTCCCCCGGAACGGCTGTTGGCTTCCCGTTGCCATCGCCTCGCCCTTTGCCAATGGATCGTTTCCAATCTTCCATTGTTTACCCTCCTCGGTTTTTAGATTTACGTATTTTTTTTTTTTTTTTTAGTTTTAGTTTCTAACTTTTTTTTACAATTTTCAAGTTTTAGTTGTGTTTATCGATATCAAAACTAACCGCTTAATTTTGTGTTCTATAATTTTTATAGTTATAAGCTTACCGGTTTTTAAAATGGCTCCTAAGAAGAGGGAAAAAGAACTGGACAAAAACAGAATAGATCATGCACAAGCTGATCATGAACTATTTCTACAAGCCTTTGAAAGTAAGTTGAACAGTTATTTAAATGGATATATGAATATTTAGTTGAGACTTGGTTGTCTTGCAAAGAAAGTTATAATATATTGTTCTTATTAACATTTAATAAATTATACGATTTTTATTATAATATAACATTGTATTTATCTACCTACCTATTTTTTTTAACAAATAAAGTTAAATTAATTTTTTAAATAATATATATTAAATAATATTAGATCAATTTGAATAAATTCTCACTGTTTTATTTAGTTGTTTTTATTTTTTTTTTTAAAAATGTATATTTAATTTTAATCTACCTAACTGAAATTGAAAATGCATTATTTAATTATTTGAATTAGTTAATAATAAGTATTGATTATATAATAAACTATATATGTATAGTAAAGAGTATAGTTAATATTAGTTTATAACATGAACAAAATTAATTTTATATTTTATTATTTTTGATTTTTTTCAGGTTGGTATTATAGTCTTAGATTAAATTTAGTTTAGAATTTCATTACTTTTTAAGTTCTGTAATATCTATATAGTATTATGTTCAATGCATTAAGTAATATTTAGTAGTATATTATTAATGTATTGATCATAGTTATACATATATATCTTAATGTAAAATGTAATAAAATTCTAAACAAGAATAAGGAAAATGTAATTTAATGCTGTAATACCATATGATGCATTGAACGTGTATTTAATTAATGATACATTTAGCAATTTTAAAATATTTAAAAATTTTTTCAGAACCCACCCAGATTTACAAATATTTAAGGAATCGTAGTTTATTTTCGGTAAGTTATTGTTATTGTTTTTAACAAACTAAAAATGTATATATATATCATAGTCATTACTAATATAATGGTAAAAATTAATCAATTTGATGCACTTAATGTAGTATATTTGTTGATGTTAAAAACATGATGAAAGTTTATATAATTAGAAATTTGGTCATTTTTATGTATTATCTACATATTATTAATTATTTCTTATTTCAGCGTTTCCTTAAGTGTGTTCTATGGAACCTTAGGGTTTCTTGGGATAATGCTAAGGGTTCTGCCAGATGTATGTGATTATTGAGAAACTTATTTTATATTATATTTGGAAAAATTATTATTTTATATTATTTAAAAAAAATTGTGTTTTAAAACTAATTTTAATAAAGAGTAATCATTAACAATATTAACAGTATTATTAAAAACATTTTTGGAGTATTGGTTTTCCTATATTTTTTGTTTTTTAAAAAAATTGAGTTGAATTGGAATTAAAGACTTATTACTAACTACATATTTTAAAGTATATATATGTACCCCGGAGGAAAAGAAAACCATGTCCATTTTATAAGAAATTTAGTTAGTTTCATGTCCTTGTACATTTTTCACATTATATAAAAGTATACAAGGCAATACGTCCAATTATCAAAAGTAATGGAAATAAGGAGCAATAAAGCAATTTGAATTAGTCACGAAGAAAAACAAATTTTTAGATGAAAATTATCGAAAATTTGACTTCCTATAAAATTACTATTTTGTGACATGGTTTTTTTTACCTCCATGGTACAGATTTACGAGTCATTTTTTTAATTTATACTTATTATTAATTGGTTATGCTGTATAAATACACATATTTAATTTAACAGCAGAAAAACTTATTTTGAACAGGTACTTAGTCTTTTTTTTTTTTATATTTAACTATAAAATTTTCAGTACTGGGTGTTTAAAAATATTAATTTTATAACAGTAAGTTTAAAATAAATGATGGATTACATTATGGTACATAAACTTTTAATTCTCAATTTCATAAATGCATATAACTACAAAATACTTTTAACTTTTATATTTAAAACACTTATTACTAAATAACAAATATTATATATCATTTTTAAAATTGTCTTTTTATTAATTAATAACTTTTGCTTTAGCCTTTATTTTTAGTCAGAACATTAAGCTACATGAGAGCGAATCGTCCAAAATCAAAGCGTCCCAAAAAGAAATTGGATATTGACTCATTGTTAAATACTGTGGAAAAAAAACTTTGTGAAAAGAAAACATGCAGCAAACGATATTTAACAATTACTTATATTGGATATTATGATGAGAAAAGTAATTTTATATTACTATCACACTGAATTAAGTGTTTTTTTTATTATTTATGAATAATACAATAATAAATATTACTTTTAATTAATTATATTCACAGTGAAAAATGAAAATGAACCTGTTAAAATTGAAACTAGTCTTATGAAAATTAGTCACAAAAAACGGAAAGATACTTGCCCATTTTCATTGGTAGAGTAATAAGTAAATAAGTATAATTTTTTAAAATTTAATAAGTTTCTTGTTATTATTTTAGGTTTCTTACGGGTTATCATCTGTTCCTGTCAACCCAACGTGCACTCAATTAGGATCACAAGCTGCTATAGTTTCTATTCCAGTTGATTCAATTAATACTATGAATGGACAATTATCTAAATCCCATCATTTATTAGTTAGGGTTACTAATGTAGCTTCTAATTCAGATTCTGAAAACACTGGTCGGTTAAATATACTTATTAATTACAATAATAACATACTTCCTAAATTCTTAAAATAATTATTTTATAATATATTTCTTAAGAGTAATATACATAAGATTATTTCATTATACTATTTGACAATTCTATGAATATAAATGAATCCTATTACAGTAGAACCTTGATTTTCTAGGATAATGGTGGGGAGAAGTTATATAGATGAATGAAAACCATTATTAATCGAGACTAATTTTTATTTATTAGTACATTTTATTTAAACTATGTTGTGTCAATACATATTGCCCTGTTTTAAAATTATTTGGGCTTGATATTTGATGTAATCAGTCTTTGTTTTATGTTTGAAATAATTTTTTTTGAATTCAGTATATTATGGAAGTCAACATTTTCCTGCTTACAGAAATTCAGGATGATATCAATTCCATAAATCTATAATATAGTCCATACATTGATTATTAAATTAGTATTATTTAATTTCCTAATCTTTGGAACAATATACTGCTTATGTGCATTTGCCTTTACTTTTGGTACATACAAATTTTGAGAAGACTGACTGTGGTTAATTGTTAACACAGTTAATCAAGGTTTTACTAAATTTATGAACTATTATTTTAAATCTAATAATATAGTTGTATATTATTTATAATTATTTATTTTCAAAAATGTTATGCCTAAAAATGGCTGTAGTTAATTTAATTCTTTTTAATATATTTTAAATTTATTTTATTGACTGTAAGCATTACTATGCTTAAGAGTAAATACTTATAATTTTACTAATTTAAAATGTATGGGGTATGTTTTAATTAAAAAAAAAATGGTTAAAGGATAAAAAATTAATATTTGTATCATTTTTATTCAGAATCTATGAAGTTAAATTTCATTACATTTGTGTGATTAATGTTTCTAACTAATATGTATTTCAAAATTATTTCAGAACCGAGTCAAAAAAAAAGAAAAATGAGTGTTAAAGAAGGCAACGGAGTTACTAAAAAAGAATTTGGGGCAAATTTAATAATACACGACAAACAAAATCGTTGTTTACTTAAAGATGGTGACTATGATTGTATCGTGGAAGAAATAAATATTAGTCCTGTTTCAGCTGCAGGAAAATCAGCTTCATGGGAACGTCTTAAAGTATATATATATTTTTTTTTATGTATTTAATTTTTTTAAAATTTAAAATTAATTTAGGAAGTAAAAACTGGACCTCAATATAGTGCTTTTGAAAATCGTAATAAGATTAAATTGCGTTTAAAATGGTCAACTGAGCCTAATAACACTACTGTTGAATATCCTCTTGTTGATAACAAAGAAAATAATTGGCCAAGTATTATATAATATATATATATTAAAATGTAAAACAATTTTTAATACAGTTTATGAATATTTAGCATCCAATTCAAGAAAGAGTAGCAGTGTACAGAATGCTAATGGTTCTATGGATAATTCATCTAATAAGTTGAAAATAGTATATCAGTTTTTGTACAACAATAATAGTCGTCAACAGACTGAAGCTAGTGAAGATTTACATTGCCCATGGTGCACATTGGATTGTTTTACATTATATGCATTACTTAAACATTTGAAACTTTGTCATGCACGATTTACTTTTTCTTATGTTGTGAGTTGTCTTAAAGAATATTGTTATTTGATTTTATATTAAAATTAAAAATTATAGCCAACAGGATCTGGTGCACGAATTGATGTTGCAATAAATGAACATTATGATGGGTGTTACATTGGTTGTCCACAAGATTTAATTGCACAACCACAAAAAGATGAAGCTAAGAGTGTTGGATATCGTATAACTCGAGTTGGTCCTGTTAGACGTGCAGTTGTTTCAAAGATAGTTGTTTGTCACCCAAAACGTCTTAGACGTGCATCTTTATCAGAATTTCTACATGAATTGGAAGATACTGATGGATATGATGGTCAGAGGCCCTATGTTACTGGACATAATAGGTAAATAAAGAAAGATATACTTAAGTATTTTATTTATTTTGTAAAGATAATATAAATTTAAATATTTAATATTACTATATTAATTATTTCCTTCTATCAAATTTATAAGTCGTAAAAATTATAAATATAAGAAATTTGGTTCTTTTAGTAAATCAACCAATATTATAAAAATAAATAGATCCATCTAACTTCTTTTACTCAGAATCATTTTTTTGAAAACAACAGTACATCGGTTTCTAGTATAAAATACCAATACAGCCATACTATTCACTCATTTTTGTATTATGTCTGACTATGGAGTTTCAATCAATCTTAGAAGCTTGCCTTTTTTCATTTTTAAAATATTTAAATTTATTAACTATCATACCTATCTTGCATTGTTTTTTGAATAATATAACAATAGTTCATCAAACATAACATAAACCTTTATTTGAAAGTATTACTGGTTTTTATTTTAAATTATATTTTTTAATATTCTAACTTATTCTATTTGTTAAACAAATAAATAGTTCTGTATTTGTGTGTATATTTGTTAGTAAATGTTGGAAATTCTATCTTATTGTTATCATTAGGGTACGGATTTTTATGTAATTACATAATTTTATTGAATGTAAATTTCTCTATTACGATTAAAAATAAGCACGTTTCATAACATCCTGAATAATATAATACTTTTTTTATTTTACATATTTTTAAATATTTCACATTTGCATACCATTTCAATACAGTTTTTATTTAATTTACAATTATTATATTGGAATTAAATGAAAGTAGATATTTCAAATCTTGATTCAGATACTATAATATCTATTACTTCTGATATTATGTAAAATAATAACTTGCAAAATAATTTAGCATATATTTCCACAATTTTTTTTTCTTGGTTAAAATAATAAAAAATTAAAAACATTAAGTCTAACAATAATTGAGAGTTTTGCAACAGTGGAAAATGAAGGAATTCAATGTAATTAAGTTCAAGGAGAATTCGGAGTTATAATAAAAATTAATTAAACTACGTACTGAGTAATATGATGGTCTACAAAAAAATTAAAACTATTAAAGATAATTTTATTAATAAAAATGAAAATATGTCAAATTATATTAAAGTAACACCATCCGACACATATGGTATGAAATATGCCCCATTAACCTCGGTAGATATTGAATGCACCCACAGCTGCTATAAGTTGACTTTGAAATCTAACCGCTGTTCATTCAAATTTGAAAATTTTTAAATGTACGTTGTATCCAATTGCTTTGAAGAAGAACAATGAAGATTAAATGAATAATTATTTATTAATAATCAAAAATTAATGTAAAATACTGATATTTTTTTGTTAAATATTTTACGTTTTTTAATACAAAATTTAGCAAAAATAAGAACATAAATATTTACATATTTTGACTTTCTTATTACATAAAAATCCACGCCCTAGTTATCATTTATATTTATATATATATTTTTTTATTTAAAAATTCATTGATAACTAGGCCATTGATATGTTCAAATCAAATAAGGTTTTAAATGATCTTCCATAATATCAAATAATTCCTTTGCATATAATGAATGTTTTAGCCAAATCGGTTGAGGTACCTTTTTCTGAATGCACTGTCATCAGTTTCACTTCCAAATGTGATGACTTCTCTGATTGAAAAAACTGCCTATACCTCCTTTTAACACAGTTGAATCTTCTAAAAACAATTTTCTTACTATAATAGTATTATATAATATATATTATAATAATATTTTGCTTATACTTTTAACATTAAAAATAAATAAAAGATTGTTATTATTATTTTTTTTACATCTGATTTAAATATTATGTTTAGATTATATCATCATACATCTACATGTCTCCCTATTTATCCAAGAGAAATGGATGTTGATAGTGAAGATGAAAGTGACCCTATATGGTTAAGGAAAAAGACAGCAATGATGATTGATGAATTCACTGATGTTAATGATGGTGAAAAAGAGATAATGAAAATGTGGAATTTACACGTTATGAGAGAAGGGTATGTACAGAGATATTTTATTTTGTACATTTAATACTTAAAAATATTTATAAAATTGTCAAAATGTTGTTTCAGGTTTGTCGGAGATTGTCAAATACCATTAGCTTTAAGCATGTTTGTTGAGAATAAAGGAAGAGATATTCTTAGAAAAAACTTATATAGAAATTTTATGCTACATCTCTGTAATTTATGTGACCTACGTCTTATAAGTCCAGTAACATTTTATACTACTATACAAAAATTACAAGATATTATAGCAGTTGATTCGGAAACTAGCAATGTTTTATATGAATCTTTCGAAGCACAGCGGAAATATTGGCGTGAGGAAGGTGCTAAAAAAGCCGAAGATCGTACTGAAATCAGGTGTTTAGTGCAAAGCCCATTGCAGTCTGATATTGGTACTAGACGTAAACCAGCTGGATCATTTTATCCTTTAAAACTTCAAGATAAATTAAAAGGAAAAGTTATGAAACAACAAAATGGTCGTAAAGGTACTACAAGACAAAATCCTCCTGCCACTAAAAATGCTAACATTGTTGATGAAAAAAAATCTGATAAGAAAAGTGACAAAAAAGGAGGATCTACTACTAGATCTCAATCTGCTGTTCGGACTGATAAGCCAGATAAACCAGTTGAAAAACGCAATAGCACATCTTTAAATGGTGAAGATCATAAAATATCTGCAACTTTCACAGTTAGACGTAGGACATTCCCTACATTGACTGATAAGAAAAAACCAGTTCCTGAAAAATTGCCAACCAATGTTTCTGAATCTATTAGGCGAAAATAAATAGGTAATTATTGTTGTGATAATTTGAAAGAAATTGTAATCTATTTCCCAATATGTCTAAAATGATTTAATTTATATTGTCTTAAACATTCTCTCAAGTTCAGAGACAAAACATGTTTATTATTACTAATATAATTACTACGATAATTATTTTATGATCAAATATGATTTTTTTATTATTAATCTTTGTACAGTGGATAAAAAAATGTAGGGTCTTGTTAACATTCTTAATTTTATAATTAAGAGTGTACAACTATTATCTCATTAGTTTCATCATAAAGTTCTAAAGTAATTGTTCCATATTTCATTTAAGAATTTCTTAAGCTATGTTGTTATTTGAAAATTTTGAGTTAAAATTATTGATATATTTATGAATTAATAGAATTTAGGTGTTATTGACTTTGTTGAGAATAATAATTATATTGTGTATTATTGTAATGATTCAATTAGTAATCATATATTTATTAAATTTCAACAGTGAATGCTATATGAAATATTTTAAAACAATTTATAAGTTTAAATATTAGTAATATAATACAATTTTGTCCTCGCCCAAGTACAATTAATTTATAACTGTAAATTTATTAATTTAACATGAAATTTTACTGTTAATAGTTTTGGGTTTTGAATATATTGATACATATTTGTATCCCACCCATATTACATTTATAAATTTATGTGAGCTCTTCTTTTCTGGAATTGACTTGTAACTTTTTATTAATTTTATTAAACCTGCTGTTTAATGAATTGTAGCTACTAAGACAGGGTTCTCATTCCACTGTACTTTGATTATATAATGAATATTGTTCATATTTTTAATAATCTGATTAACTTTAATTTATCCATCATTATTTGTACAGTTTTAATACTATATTTGATACAATTCAAAATAGCAAAATAGGTTTATTAACATTTAAAGAATTTTATTCCATCTATTTATGAATGCAGTATTGTTTTTTAAGTGTTATTAAGTGCAATGTAGCATCATAGTATGTAAGTACAAATCACTCATTTTTTTTTATAAAATGTATATAAAAGTTTTATTGTTTCAATGTCAAATCTAGTAATGGGAAATCTTGTGTAAAACTGCAGGGTGTAACTATATAGTCTTGCACATTATTTTTGGTTATTTTAGGTTTTTTTTTTTTGGTGCGACTGTAAGTTATGTTAATCCTATTAATTATATATATATCATTATTTGATATTCTTAATAAATCTAGGTATTATTTAAAAATGTAATATTGTATCATTTATGTAATTATTGGAATTACTTTTTGATATAGATATTTTTGAAACAAATGGTAGTTTTTTCTTTGTTAAAATAGAGTTTTCCTATTTATATATTATTGAAAAATAATATGATGAGCTAATTTATTTCTAAAATTGTATAAAAGACTTAAATGCTTAACACCTTATTATAATGATTTTATTGAGATAAATTGTTTAACTTATAAATATATACACAAAAAATCACAGATAATTTTAATGTATGTATAATTTACACTGGGTTTCAACTAAATACTTTAAATTATAGTTATGGGTATATTCACATATTTATACAGGGTTTGTTTTATAAGATAATACTTGTATTATTTATTATTATTTTCTATTATATAATTTTGATTTATTTAAAGTTTGAGTTTTCCCAATTACTTTTATATATTTACCTAATATTTTTTTATCAAATTTTTCCAATGTAATAGTATAAGAAAAATTTTTTCGGATCTCATTTTTAATTGGTTTTTTTTCAAAATTTCAAAATTTGAAGAGATAATAAACAACATTTAATCAAATATGAAAAATATTAAAAGTCCTCATGTAATTATTTATTTATAAACTGTCCTTAACTAAGTATTTGAAACTCAGATTAAAAATGATTATTTCTATTAAAAAAAATGTTATGGCGTTTATATAATATTATAGCACTTTAAACATGATTGATAACTTATAATGTTAATTTTTATAGGCCTTTAAGTTATAGACTGAAGGTGTAATTTAATTTAGAATTAACTTAAACTTAATTTAATATCAAGAGGATATTTAATTTTTTATTTTTAATCCATAATTATGTGGCAAACTAAAAACTAATTGATACTCATATTAAAAAAATAATGACATTTTTAAATATCCTCTTAGATTGCTTAAAGTATACACATTTGTGGAAACTGATATATATATATATATATATGTTTAATGTCTTATAATGTATTCATATTAGATAATATTTTGAAGTTTAGATTTAATTATTAAAACAAAAAAAACTAAGAGTTCAAGATTAAATAATATGTAATCAACCATTTAGATACTTATCTTTGTTCATCAGTTTTCAAAATTTTAAGTAATTTTTTTTCTTTTTCACTGCCTTTAGTTCACTGCCTTAGTATCTAAATTATTTCTAGGCCTTTAATTATTATTATTTATTTATTGATCAAAAAAGACGTACTTCAAAATCAGCTTCAAATACAATTACATTTTTATTTTATAATATTTTAATGAGAATATTATTATATTAGAAATTAAAGTATATTGACTGTAATATAACTATTATCACTCTAACAATAATTTATTATAATACAATCATAATATGTACAATATCAATATGTAATTTATATGTTTAAAAATGTTGTTGTGTCCATATTATGTGATAATCACATTATTTATATTATAATTAAATTGTTCATACAATGCAAACAAACTGCAGTCTTAAATTTATTTTAATTTGTGATGTATCCCTTTTGGGTTATTAAATTTAATTTAATATGTATTACTATTCATTTTTGATTATAGTAAATGGGATTATTAAAAAAAAAAAAAACCTAACTGTTGACAAAGGAATTTGTCTGAAAAAAAGGTTTTGTAGTTAATTTTTTTTTATTATTAAATAATTTTAGTATTAATATTAATTTATTTATTTTGTTATATATTAAGCTATGATTTCAGATAAAAATTACTAATTTGGACAAAAATTATAAGATTTTTATTTCAAGTTTAAATTTATAAAAAGGTATATTTCTTATTTTCTACGATGAAGCCTTTTCTGCCCCCAACTGTCTTATAATGCGGGTGCATTAATTGCTTTCGAATTTTTCTTTTTTTTATCTACTCTAAATCATCTCGAATGTTCACAGTCGTATTTTATATTAAAAAAAAATCTGAAATAGATCGGGATACTTTTCTGTTATTATATCAAATTTATCCCAACTGTTTAATCCAGAAATGTAAATATATTTAAAATTTTTAATTATAACAGATTGATAAAGGTACTGTGGTATTAATCAATAATCATATCGAGCTCTCCGTTTATCAGCTCTCGGCAACCTACACCTTTCTTAAATCCTCATTCACGGGTATGTTCGAAAATTCAACTCTAGTTAACTACATATAACCCCCGTTCGAAAATGTCATGTTCTTCAATCTGAGTTAACTCCTGTTACCCTAGTGAAATAGGTTATTCGTTACTCTATTAATAATTAATAATAATTGATAATTCTTATCATAATAAATAGATAATAAGTAATTATCATGTATAATCATTTATTTTAAATTATTTTCAACACGTTATTTTGTTGCTTTATGGTAACTTTGTAGATAAACTTTTCATCTTAAACATTCTAGTGATAACCGAATATTATAATTTTTATTGCACAACATTATAATCTCACTTGAATAACTTGTTTGTAATATACTAAGCAATGATTTTCCCATTGAATCGAATAAGAAACAGATTTTCAATTCAACTTGTTCCATTTTAGATTCTGAGCGAAGCGAGGCATGTATTGGTTTTACAATGATGTTTATTTCTTTTTTATTCTATAAACACTTTTTCTCCCCTTAACTTACTCAAAAGTATCAAGTGTAGCATCTTTTCTGAAAGGTAATTTTCTTGAGCTGATACTTAAGAGAGCTCATTTTTCGATTTTCGAAACGGTACTCGAAATAAAAGCGGTTAAAGGACAAAAAACGTACGATTTCATGATTTTATTATATTAAATAATTACGGACGACGTTTTCTACCAAAATTATTGCTTTAAATGAAAAATTACAGGAGATCTTTTTTGATGTATTTTGGATTTTTTTCCTTATGGTTTAAAATTCGGAAAATGTTAGCTATTTTTGAGCTATTTATAGACATTTTAATTTTGGCAGTTTTTTGTTGTAATTCGGTTAAAAACATTCTTAAACACTTGAAATTTGGGTTGTTTACTTATATTATCCTTACATAGACATGGTAAAATTTTCAAAACATTTGAACGACTTTTGGACTTTTTCTTTTATTTTATATTTTTTTTCATTTTTATGATAATTTCTAATTATAAATTATAATTATATAAATTATCTATTTATATAAATCGTTCTTAAGCTGTTCTTAAAACGCTTTGTTTATCACCATAAAAACGAATAAAATTAAATAAAAAGATTCCTTCGTTCGCTAAGAATCGTTTTTTTATGGAATGTAATCATTGCATTCAAATCGAATACAGTAAAATTTCACTATCCTGTCCGAGTTATTTTTTTTTAAATAAGTATACAATAGAATTTAAACAATTTTTAAAATATATTTTCTTAACAATTTTCAATCTCTTATCAAAAAAATCTTATCATTCGAATTTGAGGAGTGATCTCGATTAAACTCTATTCTTATAAATTTAACTTTATGCATTGACTACTCTAAAGCCGGGTTTATATTGATAAAGTATTTAATATACCTAGCAGTTGTACACATAATGTGCAGTTCATAAAAAAAATAATATGATTTTAAATTATTTTTAATATTTTTAATAATTAATTTTTTATGTCTAAGAGTTTGTAACATAGGTACCATTTGACATTATTTTATTTTCCGGAATTATTAGAAATTAAGATTAAAACTACGGTATTAGTAATTTATTAAAGTCTCAATTACATTCTGCCATGAATGGTTCAATTGAAAATGTGTACTTATACATTAATTATAACTTGCCTCCCTTGTATGATGGGATCCTAATATGTCAATTGTCAAATGGATGAACAACAAAAAACATAGAGTACCTAATTACAAGAATAAAAGCTAAGCAAAAAAATTATTTCAACGGTGTGTTTACAGATGCTACAAACAAACATCACCAATTTGAATGTAGTGATACTGATGATGAAGAGGTTGTCACAAAAAATAAAAATAAATTATTTTAAAATTAGATTAAAGAAATTTATTTCAATTATTAAAATCTATATACATTATGATGTATCATATAAAATATTATTTAATATTGATGTTAGTATGTATTATTTATTATATGCAAGCGAAGTGAGCATCAATTTTTTTTTACTTCTGTAAAACAAACAGGATGTGCAGTTTTAATATTCCCTTAGCGCAAGCTTTGGTACCTAGTACACTAGTCTACTATTTTTCCTACCACTTCTAGTTTTAATAGTTTAACAGTTTAGATGTAGCTATTGATTTAGTTGAAAAAAATACAGTTGATGTATAAACTTACATCGTCACCAACGTATAATCACATTAAAATCATAATACCTTTTCATCGCAAGTTTTAACTTTAATATGATTTTTACTCTTTACTTAATTATATAGAGATCGCATGTCATCGTCTTTATTGAAAATTATTAAATATATGTCTGAGTGGTAAAAAGTGCGTTAATAAACGAGATTTTAGAAATTGTAGATAATATTAATGAAAAAAAAAAAGAACCTGCGTGCAGGTACATCTTAATTTTTGCTGAAGAGTACTAGCTCTTTCATTGTACTGTACCAAATTGTCCACCAATGTAAACCCGGTTTAATTACAAATGTTCAAACGCACCTCTCAACGATCTTAAATAAAAATTCATCAATCAAAAAACAATAAAGGAATTAAAGAAATTAATATAAATTCAAAAATACTCCTTCCATTGAGATTCCTTAGTATATCACTTGATAGTGATGCATTCGAGAAAAAAACCGATATATTTCATTATCCTGTTTTATGTAACGTTGATGAAGTGAACACGCACGGTCGTAATCCATAATTATGTACTGTTAAATATTCCGCCACTACGGCCCATTATAGTTCACGGGGCAAATTAATTATATTTCTTGAAGTATATCTTATCTGATTGCCTCAGAAAATTCCCTACTTCAATCAATCACAGTTCATCTAAAATGTAAACTGAAAACTGGCCCATATAAGCGGTTATTTAATTTTTCGATGATAAAAATCCTATCTCCACATTAACTAAAAAGGTGAAACAAAAAAATAATTTTGAATAATAAACTGTAATATTCACTCCTTTATCCCAATTACTGAGATCGGAATAGCTATACAAGAAATTGGTTTTACTGTTAGATAAGTTATTAACGTCAACATTAACAAATACGTTCTTCCGAAATTGTTTGTAGATCTTGAACCGACCGTGTTAAACAAAAATATACTTCATGAGACAACCATTCTTCACCCTAGATAATAGTTGGTTTTAAAAATAAAGAATATAAATTATAATAATATAATTAGATATGAAAGGGGTTAAATTAGTGAAAAATGCCAATACAAAATAAATTAAACAATATACTAATATTGCATATACCTACGGTGTATTTGTTTAGCAACGATATTAGAATAATACTACGACATTTATACATGATAACATGATTTTGATCATTTCATCGACTGATAAAATATTTTATTTTGCTATAGAACGTTATTTAGTACAGCAAAAATCGTTTTGTAAAACTCAATATTTGTTTATCTTTATATTAAAAGGTTTTTAAAGGTTTTAAAAGGTTTAGGTTTGTAGTGAAACATTTTTCTCTACAGGGTTCCACTCTGTATGATTTTTAGCTTCCTAAGTGAAATCACTGGAAAATGGTTTTTATTGTATTATTTTAGAATTATCAGTTTTATTTATTTGAGTTTGAAAATATTAATAAGATAGAGTTCTGAATTTTGATTTAATATAAGACAGTTTTTGTCTAATTTTATGTATTCGAATTTATATAGGTTTATAAGTCCAGGGCTGTGAATTTAATGCACTATAAAACTATAAAATATGTGCTAAAAACGATCGAAATATACATTATAATATGTTATTAAATTTATTAAAAGATGCCATAAAAGCACTGTAAAATTTAATTTTTATGAATTTTATAATTTATTATTGAAATGTTGTTAAATACATACAACGAATTTATATACATTTAAACTGATTTTGATCTGCTACATTAACATTTAATGTTTTATCTTTAGATAAATTATTGCATTGTATGAACAATGATTTTTTTTGAGATTTTCGAAGTTGAAACACCTGTTTGATGCCAATATATTCTTGTACTAAGTAAACAAGCGTTCTACATCTGCCAATGTAGGTAATTGGGACAAACTTGAAACATTTTATGTCGCTACTAGTTAGTTCCTGGTACAAACCTATATCCTTTTCTTTGCCAGTTAATATTTTTGGAATATTACAAACGATTTGGTATTCTTTGTTTTTGTTGAGACCATAGGCATGCGCAAACCTGTATTTCAGGGGATGCCTACAATAATTGTGTCCTTCTCTTAACAAAACGTGTAGGTATATTCAAACATTATATAAATAAATAACTAAATAAACATATAACTTTAATTTTTTGAATTAATTTTGTGGTAAGTATATTAATCCCAATAAATATTTTTTCTTTGAATCTCCTTGATATCTTGTATGACTTGAAAATACAAGACTAAACCTTAAATTATTTTATATTGTGCTGAAAAATTAATAGTTTTGACCCAAATTTTTTAGAAAACTTATACTTTTTACGAACATTCTGATTATATTTTATTTTTTAAATACATTACAATGCTTAATCATTGTGTTTGACTTCCAAAATATTAAAAATAAAAGCATCAATATAATGGAAAATTGGCACCATACTCACTGTTCTAAAGGGAAAACGATTTTTAATATTTTTAAATTTCTGTTAAATTTAAGTGATTTTTATATATGTAATTATTATTATTATTATTATTATTATTATTATTATTATGCGTTTATCATTGATTTTAAATCAAACACTGGTTCGGTTTAATAACATTTAATAACAAGATGGACTAAGTTATATGAATTATTTCGGACTTTTTATATTATATTATTGGTTTTTTTAAACTGTAAAAAATAAAACAATTTTACAATTTAGAGTATTATTTATTTTCAGAGCTGTAAAGAATACTTTTAAAAAGTATTTAAGTAAATACTCAAATATATTTTTTTCAAGTATTTAAGATACTACTCAAATACTTTAAAAAAGTCTTTGGAATACTTTTCAAATACATTTGTAAAAAAATATTTAGAGTAATTAGGCCATGGTAAACTAACATCTTGCAGAGATATAGTCGAAAGAGATGCATTATGCGGTTCTGAATCACTTTCATCTTCAGAATTATGGCTAGAATTGATCATATTAAATCTTGAAGTAATTGTAGTAGCCAGTAGGTTATAAACACAACTACACAAGTATTTAAATTATAAATAAAATAATAAATAAAAACAGTGTAAGCTTGCAGTTACATACGAGTATACAGTGATTAGTAGTAAAATCTTTATTATCGTTATTATATTACACGTTATTCTCGTAATCCCGTATAACCAGGTATAGATATCGTATCTGATATTAACAGTTACATATCTAATAATACAAAAGGAAATTTTTTATTGAATACTTATTTTTAGAAACCTGGTTTTCACAAACCTTGGAATAGCTTTTGATTATAATTGGCAATATTTTTCCAACCAATTATTTTGAATAAAAATAAAATGTTCGAGAAAAAAACTAAGCATTCAATACAAATAAGTATTCAATAGAAAAAAAAGTATTTAAAATACCATTAAAAAAACTTCTTTCTGAAAGTATTAAAAAAATTACTCAAATATTTTACAGCACTGTTTATTTGTTAAATATGTCTAAAATTTCAAAAACAAAAATGTTATTATTTTTATTATGTTGATTTATTAGTATATTTGTTTATGAAATTTTAAGTTCGATGATCTACTCTAAAAATATAAAAAAAAATCCAATCTTTAGAAACATTCCAGTAACTACAACGGTTAGAGTGATTCTGTTATTAGTGGATGTAAAATAAATTAAAATACTTAAAAATATTATGGAAATATGTAAAATGTGTAAATGAAATGAAAGCTGTAAGAAATTTTCGGTATATCAAATTATGAACTAGGATGTTGGATAACTTGTTGCATATAAATTATGCGTGAAAGGGCAAAAGTAAATTTTAAAAATATACACGAAATATTTGAATAATACATGTATATATTTATATTGGTTTGATTATAATATTAAGTTTACAAAACGGTCTGAGCATTATGAGTATACATACAAATAAATAAACATTTTGTTTTTTTAATCATACGATATTTATTATAATCCGTTTTATATTATTGTTTTACATGTAATTATTGGCAGTTAATTTAAATATCACTAATTCTTTAACTTTGCGGTATTGGAAATATTGTGAAAAATTACAATCTAATAATTCTACTTGACACCAATCATTATTTTGTGTTAACAGCTCGCTGAAGTATTCAAAACAAGGTGCACATACTTCCAAATCGATTGAACTAAACACATATCTGGTGAAAAAAAGTCAGTTTTAATATGGAAATGCAGGTTTAATTCAAAATGTGTGTCTTACATACCTTTTTTCCATTCCTATATAAGCAATTTTTCTGGGAGGTATAGACATTATTTTTTTTAAGGTATTGACAAAATGTTCTGTAATATCATTATCGTATATCACTATAAAAAAAAACATGTATTCATTTTTTTTTGTAAAAGTTTAATTAAAAAAAATAAATAAAATTTTTTTTTTTTTTATACTTATTAAAATTGTACGAACCATCTGCTGCTATTATAATATTGACTTTTGGTAGTTTTTTCCTTAGTGCATCAGGTAACTGAGATTCGTTGAAATTTAATGGGATCACTGTTGTACAACTGATTATTAAATCTTTATTTAAATTTATATTTTTTTCAATTGTAGATAATATATCTTTATTATTAATATCTAAAAATCAGAGTTCACTTATTATAGTTATAGTTATAACATTTTTTTATAATAAGCCTATTGAAGAGTTCTAAGTGTAAAATTTAAAATCACCCATTCTTGAATTTTTATTATTTATACATTTATAATTAATTTAATACAAAATTATTATATTAACACTTATATCTAGATATAATATTTAATTTATTACTATAAAATAAACAAATATCAAAGATGATGAGAAATTTTAAATATTTAAGCTATTTTGCTTATAAGTTGGTCATGGATTAACTTAATTAAACGAGGTACCTACATTTATGAGTTTTTTATGCATGATAATTAAGTACATAGTACTAAATGTATTGTTTGTACAGGTTTTATCTGTAAAAACTTATGCCCAATTTAAATTCACAGAAAAACCTGACTTGTTATGAATAAATATAAATTAAAAATTAAAATGATGTTTTTCTTATTTTATATACTTGTATAGTAGTACAAATTATTAATTATAATATAATTTTAATTTATATAAATTGACTCACCTGTAAAAATTACTTCTTTACAACACATGGCTGTTACAATACCAGTCAATCCAACTCCTGAGCCAAGTTCCAATACAACTTGGTCATTGGTAAAAATATGTCTGTTATCTAGTATGAAATCACCCATTAATAAAGCGCTTCGCCATACTTGCATACCAACCATATTTAATGAAGTCCTATTTATATGCTCTATAATTATATTATTAATCAATTATATTTAAACGATCCATAATTCAGATCAAAGGATTTAATTTATTCGTTTGTTAATAAATTATACAATGAAATTAATTTACCTATTGTGATACTCTTGGAGAATGGACTTCTTTGTACTATTAAATCTCCATCTTCATCTACGGATAATTGTTTCAAACAGGGTTCAAGTTCCCATTTGAATCGAAATAAACTCCTAACACCTTTAAAAATGGTCAATACTTGTATTTTAAGTTATTATATTTTGTATAGCTACATCATTGTTCCTTTGAATATATCTTATATTTGTAATAATTATACAAATTAAATTATAAAAATGTTAAAGTGCTTAATGTTTTATAAACTAGGTGTAATACATAGACACTGTTACTGAAAAAAACCATTTAAGTATAGTGTATACCAGTAATTTTAAACCTTACCGATCCTTATTAGTAGATTTCATTTTCATTTTTGAATTAATTATTTTAAAATTGTTAGTATCTTTTTCGCACTAATTATAAATTGGAATTATAATTTAATTTCCACCAAAAATATCAATGTTCTTCAACACAAACATTGCTTTTAGAAGGTAGATAATCTCTTTGTTTATTATGTAATTTTTATATTTATGTAATAAATGGATTATTATTAAAAAAAAAAAAAAAAAAAAATTTAATAAAGAGTGTGCATCAGGGGTCAGTTCTAAGCCCTTATTTGTTCTCTGTGGTAATGTATAAAGTTATGAAAGACATACTGGGCGAGTTTCCAATTGTATATGATATTTGCTAATGATATAGTTTTGATAAAAGAAAATCTGGAAGAAGTTAATAATAGGTTAGATAAATGGAGGTTAGCTCTTGAAGGAAAAGGATTGAGAATTAGTAGAAATATAACAGAGTATATAGAGTATGTATATAGAGTATATATAGTATGACTTAATGACTTGGGCATGTGATGAGGCGAGAGGAAATAAATGCAGTAAGAATTATTATAAAAATGAACGTTGAAGGGAAAAGAGGAAGAGGAAGATCAAAAAAAAGATAGTTGAATACGATTGAGAGTGATATGAGTGCCCAACGACACTGTGTGTGCGTAAAAATCAAGACAAGGGAGACCAACTCTAAATAGTTAGAAGAAAGGCGAAGGAGAAGAAATAGATGTATTAGAAGTAAGTATATACATTTATTTTAGAAATATTTATGAATTATATTCTTAGTTATTTAAACGATAAAGAAAATGAAAACAAAAATTAAGTTACCTATATTAAAACAATACGGTTGAATTATATCTTTTATACTTTTATTATTTTGTTTTTATGTACTTAATATTTTCATATTTTTCCGAATAATATTAATATTTAATTATAACATATGCACATTATTCCACTATTTAAATGTTGTTAAATGTAAGTATTCTTTTATATATACAAAATAAAACGAAATCTTGTAATTTTTATTAAACCAAAATTCCCAAATGTCAAAATTATTAGTATTCTTTTTTTTTTGTATACGCAAAAAAAGTTAAAATTTACATATCTGGTAACACGTTTTGTTAGTTGAGTAAATTTACATACTTGAAATTATATTTAAAGTAGAGGTTTTTTTTTTTTTTTTGTTAATTTTTTGTTGTTTTTACTAGTTTTATAATTCCTACTAGCTATTGCCTATTACAATTAAATTTAGAGTGTGTAATATTAGGACCTAATCTTTAAAATTGTATACTGATTACTTACAAAATATAAGAATACATTTCAAGTTAAAATTATAATATATTAAAATTTAAAGTGTTTTACATTTTACAATTTTTATATTTCTGTGGTTATCATAGACACGAAAATAACTATTCCCATATCTATGTATCTAATTTGATTTGCTTTGTAGCAAAGTTCGTGTTTTATTAAGGAATCACAATTTATTACAATTAAAACTATACTTTTTAGGGAAAATTTTTCAAAATAAAATTATTTTATTTTTTTTCAAAGTCGATACTGCAAAGTACTTGCAGGTTAGTTAGCAGTTAGCAATTAGTTGGAAATTACTTAGGTCGTTATTGGAGTTACTTATGAATTATGTTTTTTAATAAGTAATAATTAGAATTGATTAAATATGTTTTAGTAAATTTATTCGTTTAATAGTAATTTTCAAGAGCGAAAAACAATGTATTTATTATATTAATACCAATCCAACCTGCAGACACATATTATTGACTGAAGTTAAAAGTTAAAATTAATATATTTTATACAGGTATATTTTTTTTTTTAAATAATGACAAAAAATAAAAATAGACTAATATAAATTTTATACTTGTTTACCCGTGTATGGATTTTGTATTCGTAAAGTCTAACTGTACGATACATATTTTTCATTCCATCGATTCTTAAACAAAAATAGATATGTATCAAGAGTAAAGTATATACATCACATACATACATAGGCGCCAGGTTTTAAAAAACTTAAAGTGTGCTTGCCTGGCCTTTGTATCATAAGTATAAATGCACAATTTGGAGGATGGGGCTTAGCCCCTTATCAATAACTATGTCCCCCTAAAATTTAAATTCATGAAACTGCCTTGGGGGCTAGTTACAATTTAATCTTCTATAATTTTAATTTTGGCTCTCCAAATTGCGCATATTGGTGTCATGATTTTACTGCTTAACTAAAAGTATTTAAATTTTTATTAATCTATATAAATATTAAATAATACAATATAATAATATAAACCATATTGTACACTAAATTAATTAATAATCATAGAACAAAATAAATGTATACCAAATTGATAGCTTATTTATAATACTAAGTAAAACAAAAAATTAATTTAATTTGACTGTTTACATAAAAAATGTATTTCAACGTATATTAGTTGAATTTATAAATGAGTTAGCTATTTGATCAATATCTATATCTTCATTACGATGGACATGCAATAAAGCAATATCGTTAAAACGATTTTGTGTTATTGTAGGCCTTAAAGATGTTTTAATCTTCATAGTGCTGAAAAAGATTTTTCCGCAGTACAAGACGATACTGGAACCGTCAAAATAAATTTTAGAAGTTAATTAAACTCTGTTAAAATACCTCCAAGCGAATTATCCGATTTAAATCGGTAATATTAAATTGAGTCCCGCGTACATTTTTGGGTTATCGGAGTTGAGTCCCTTCAATCTATTAGCGTTACCCAGGAGACACCACGTGGAGGTTGACTTTTTTTTGATCGTTATAAAACACAAGTCAGTATAAGTTAGTATGAGTTACTATAAAAAACAAAAAGTTAATTAATTTAAAATTAAAGTTAAATATAAATATAAAAATAAATTTAAATAGTTGCTGGTAAAAATTTAAAAGATACAGATTTTAAAAACTCAAATCTGCAAATTTGTTTACTACTGTATTTTTTTATATGTTCCCGTAAAAATTGTTCCTTTTCTAATGTAATTTTACATTTTTTCGTTGCTTTGCTTTGTAATTTAACGTATATATCTGACTGTATACCCAGAAGAGTGTCAACAAGAATAAAAATATTTGGATGTCCTAATTGAAAAAATCCATTTAATTTTGAGTGAAAACTTTCACAACTGTTAGTGGTCCGATTAGTGCTTGCTGAAAAATCACTCCAAATTTTCAGGGGAAACTGTGCAACATCATCGTAAACGTAATTATTTAAAATGTAATCTGTAAACTTGTCAATTTTTTCGTCATTACATGGTTTTATTGCCATTAAATCTTCCGTGAAACATTCCACTACCTCGTTTTCGTTTAAAAATGGCAAACCGAAAAAATACTTAAGATCTACCTTTATCAGAATCAGACTTGTATTTCGAAGACAAACCCAACTTCTGAATTGTTCGCACCAGCTTTGGCCCAAATGGAATCGACGACCTTTAATTCTAATATCGGTCCAGACTTGTTTAATAGCATTATGGATTCCATTTTCAAAATCTACATACATTTCTGGAGGGTGAAATGTCATACTTAGCGATGTACAATAGTAAATAACATGTTGAAATGCTTTAACATAAATATTCGAATCTTTCGTGGGCAACAGCAAAAATACAAGAGGAACATATATATCTTTAAAGTAACCATGAATCGTAAAAATCTGGGTGAAGTATTTAGGACAGCTCTTAAACGTCCCGTCAATATATGTTTTTTTGACCTCACATAAAACATCTAAATTAATTTTCGTCGAAAATCCTACTATCGATTTTTTAAAGTAATTTAAAAACATAAAGTTTTCGTCATTATTTGTTATAATCAGTGTCGGCCTGGCTCTAAAGGGCCCAGGCAGGATTAACCTAATCTAACTCCCCATACTACAACATTTATTTATTACTCGTATATTGAAATTAAATATATCTTAAATATGTAAAATGGTCATTAAAATGTAATACATATAGATTCTATACTATAATAATGAAGTTAAAAATTCTCTTAATCTAAATTTACCGTTAAGTATTCAACTTTTATAAAAAAAAAAAAAACTATGCATGTATAAAATAAATACATTTAATAATATATATTATATCATATGAAAAATCTTGTCGTTTCTTTTGACAATTTTTCTATGTCATCTATTAGTTTTATTTTATCTACATTTAAAGTAATATATTTTTCTAAAATAAAAATCATTACTTTCGTATAAAACAAAGAATCTAAATTAAGTAAATGTTTGTTGTAACCATTGGCTTTTGCTCCATTTTCATTTTTTCCTTTGAAATATTATCAGAAAATTCTATTAATACTGCATAATTATCACACAGTGTTAAGAGATTATAAATACGCGTTATAAATATCCAATATTCTAATGGATGACCAGCCCCTCCATTATAATTTTAATAGATGCCTAGCCCCCGGGCACTCATGTACATGGCGCCTATGCATACATCTGACTTTAGAGTAATTTATTTTTATTAGTTATTAGCAAATAAGTATTACTTATGGCCTACAATAAATATTCATTATATAGACCAGGGGTGGCTCCAGGGGGTGGGGCCAAGGGGCCGTGTCCCTCTCCCAAGCTCTTACCATATTTATAAAAAAAAGTATATTGTTAACAAAAAATGCATATTATAATATGTACTATCATAAGACACGCACAAGTATATAGATAGAGCCATAGAGGTATGACAGTTGAAAGGAGTTTCTCCACACTTCGGAGACTAAAAACCTAGCTTCGTTCAATGATGACTGTAGATATACTATCAGCATTATGTCTAATTAATGTATATCATAAAGTAAATATTCTAGATCAAATAGATCATATTAATAATATTTTTTCCAATTTTAAAAATAGACGACTTGAATTAGTGTTGTAAAAAAGGTTGTTTTCTTTTTGTTATAACATTTTTTAAAATTATAATTTGGCCCTCCTTAACCAAGGCTCTGGAACCGCCCCTGATACATACTATAAATATATATAATGGTCATAAATGTGTGCAAGAATAGGCTACCGCCTGTGCCGTATCTGTAATCAATATTAATATTTAATTCCTTGAATCTCGTTTTCCTAAATATTACTATAAAAATTATACTTTTATTTTTTAATTTTTTTTTTATACTATGAAATTTGTTGTATAATATCAGTGAATGATAATATATGTCCCACAAAATATTCTGTTATTTCATTGGTAAAACCACGGTCTTATCCTTTTCTTTATTATCTATGTTGCCATATCGATAACTCAATTTTGTATAGGCCAGCGATTCCCAAACTTTTTTAGCCGTGCAGCATTTTCTCGTGGAGCTCCAAGAAATATTTAGAATTATATTTTATTTTTCGTGTTCTATAAAGCATATTACACATGGTATGTATTTATATAGGAGGAAACTCAAAACAAGATAGTGTACATTTAATATAATAAATCTGACCGAGAAATAAGTGGAATAGGAATTATTTAAAATTAAAAATTATATTTTGTTATCGGGAATTTGATATTGTTTTTATACGTATTAGTGAATTACATTTGAGTTGACGGAGTATTATAAAAATATATACGCTCGTTGTTTTAAATAACGATTAATAATTGATACGTTCAGTGCTCGAATTGGGGAAAATTAAGTTGAGGAGCTCAGTCCGACGATTCGAAAACTGCGTTCCACGTGCGCATTTATTTAGCACAAAACCGTAGGGGACTTCGTCCCTCACCTCTACCCTCCGACAACCTTACATATATTTTGAATACCACATTTCAGTTAAACAAATATTTTAATTCCGAATATAATATATTTTGATAGCAATACCAACATCCTAAATGTTACAATAGAAAATAAAAATAAAATAAAAATTAACATAATTGTAGGCGATCAAGCAGTATCACGAATCGAATGATATAATCATATATTTGGTTTTTGTTTTTATCTATTTTTATTCTTTATTGCAGACCACGGCCGAAGATTAGTCGTGGTGCGGGCATTAATTTTTTGTGAAATGCAGATATCGTCGATCGCCAATATTAATAACAAACCGTACAATGTATAAAGTATAGTACACCAAATTCACAGACATTGCTATTTATATTTTTCCAGAAATGACGACGTTGTCCCTTATCAAAACCACCATATAATCTTTAATTATGAAAATAGTTTTGATATTATAAATCGTAAAATTCGTTTTTAAATCGACGTAAATTGAAATTCACATAAAAATTATTTTGGACATCAATTAGGATGAACGTGGCGTCTACCCAAACTAACTGCTGGATTAGAAAATTTACACTTAAATATTAAGACATCGCAATAAATAAGGTTCAGATTAGGAAAAACTTGCAGTTGATTTGATAGCATAATTGAAAAATACCCTTTCTGAATTTAGATCCAAAGACAATGATTTCGAATTGATATTTTAGCAAAGTTTATGTTGAATTGAATATGAAGATTTTTAAAGTTAGGAAACGGGCAATTTCATGTATGGTTAGATGTATGGTTGATCTTAATAAAGATACACAACATATTACAAAATCTAAAAAAGAAGAAATTAAGTATTCTTGTTATTTTGTAATAGTAGATAAAATTTTAAATGGTTTAGGCCTTCTACACACGGAGCTATTTAAAAAAAACTAAACTGTTTTGTGATTGAAATTACTAATCGGTTACTAACACATTAGTGACTCAGACCCATACACGAGGCTACTCATAACATACCTACTCGTGATCGAGTAGTTTGTTGTAGTTTGTTCTGAGTGACTATGGATGAAGGACGTTTTTCGTCATCTTTTTGCTACACCATGGATGTTGACAGTGATTCTAGTGATGAAGAAGTAATAACAGCATACTGCTATTACAGAAGAAATCAAAAAAATAGAAGGTTTTGGGTTCATCCATACCTCGAAAAAAATTTTCATCACCGATTTTTTGTTCGTTCATTTTTACACAAATAACAAATTTTTACAATAGGTAAAACAGAAAAAGCTTCGTTGAGCACTAAAATATTAAAGTGAGAAAACTCAAAAGTGACTCGACAGTTGAATCACTCGGAACTTATCACTAACGCGTTAGTAACTGGTTAGAAACTAGTAGCGCCGTCTGTTGTGTTCCATTGAATAACATTGGTAGTGACTCTACGGGGCTAGTTAGTGATTTGCGTCAGTATTTAGTTTCAAATGAGTAGCTCCGTGTGTAGAAGGCCTTAAATTCACGTTTTAATCGAGAAACTTTTGATATCATTTCTACAGTTGGAAATTTAATAAATCTTACATTCACTGATAATGATCATGCTTGTATGTCAAAAACATTTGGTATTAGTTTCGATAAAGATTATTATGCGAGTATTGATGAATTAAAAACTGAAATCAGACTCTTAAAAAATATTCCTAACATAGAATTGCCTAGAAATTTATCAACGGTAACTATTATTAAGTGGCTTTAATGGCTATGTTAATCTGGCTGAGCCAATATTTTTATTAATTTCTATAAAACGATAGAATAATTTAGTACAATACTGTCACAAGTCGTTTATGTAAGAGAACTTATTCTAAACTAAATACTATAAAGTCTAAACTTCGGGATAGTTTGAATCAAGGAGCATATTAACAGCTTACTTTTTATGAGTATCGAACAAGAATGACACTTGATTATAAAGAAATCATTAAAAAACTAAAGAATCTGGAAACTAAAGAAGTGTTAGTTCCAGGGAATCGCTATATAACCATATATCTATTTGTTTCTTTGTGGCTAATATTATTATTTGTTATTTACTTAGCGTTTAATATTGTAATATAACATTTTCAACAAAATGTAAAATTTTATTTTTATTATATTGCTACAAAATTACCATTACCTAAACTCATTTCCTGTAAGAAATAATTGTGCCGAACCTGCACTACTGTTTTGCACACGTCTATAATCATGATATAATATACTTAATAATATAATAGTGTTATTTTAATTGAGCAACTTAGTATTAATGTGTTATAATTTAAATTAATTTTAATTTTAGAACAATTCATAAGCGTACACAATATTAAGCTAGAAACTATTTTGGAAGGCTTGAAAAATAAAGCCTCTTATTTGCGTTTTTAGTATTACCAAGACATTTAATTAAAATATATTATTACATATAAAATCCCACCCCCATTGAAAATTCCTGGGCACGTCACTGTTAATAATAATTATAAACAAATTATGACTCCTTTCAACTTTTGGCCCGGGGATATAACACATCCTACTCCCCCCTCCTTTGTTACAACACATATTGCCTACGAGTAAAATTTTAAATAATTAATGTACGTAAAACTGTAACAAGTATAATTTCTAGTACATTGAATTAATTTTATTTAAACAGTTGGATATAAAAAAGGTTGGTTATCATAATAAATTTTCCTACACAATATGTATTTACTTAAAAATAGGAATGTTTTATTCGAATAAACCATACGAAATAAAATGTTATATTAAAGTTAATGAAATTCTGCGATGATCTATCTAACCGTTAAAGACATTATAATCATTTATAATAAAAATTATTATGTATATAAATACGAAATAACCGTTTTGTTTAAAAGTGTAAAGCTCTTTTAAAAATGTATACATATTGTAAAATTAATACACATGTATTAATTAATAAATTTAAATAATTATTCTAGTTACTAATCCTCGTGTTATATAATAAAGAACAAAATAACTTACTTTCAAGGCAATCGTCAAGTCCTTGTTCCTTATTCATTTCTTGCAATAATTCCGATTGTATAGTGTACGTGTTTGGCTTAGTAGTTTCCATAACGGTTAATATAGATACCTAATTACAAATTCAATACAAAATTATAAAATATTTTTTTGAATACTAAAAAAAAAGAAAAGAAAATCTAATGACAAAAATTGCAATTTAATTTATGCTTAAACTTAGACATTTAAATGAGTAAATAAGTATAGCCAGGATTTTATCAAACTAATGCCAATAAAAAAAAAAAAGAAAAAACTCTCAAGGTTCGTATTATGGTTATAAGTATAAGCCAACTAACTTAGCCAACTTTATTACACTTCCAATTTTTTTATTGTACGCTATATGTTTTTGTTACATGTATTATTAATAAAGTGCACGTGAATATTATGTTATGTTATATACTCATAATATGTTTTTTATTTATTATTGTATCATACAAATTAAAGACACTCGATTTAATAACTCGATTATTAATTATAAATATTGGTATTTCATGAAATTAAAAATCTAAAATATACGAGTTGTTATACCAGGAGCGTATTTTAGGGGGGGGGCGAAGGAGGCGATCGCCCCCCTCTGAATACATGTTTAAGGAATCGATTATACGAGTATATGAGATACACATTACATTTTTTCTTAATTTGGATTATTTTATAATAAAATCAAATTACGCGTGTCTATGAATACTGTATTGGACTTTTTGTAGGGTCTATACTTAGTGAAAAATCAAATAAAACACAAGCGTAACTTTTAAAACACAGAGAGGTGTTAAAAAAAGAACTACACAAGTCCATTCTAAGTGGATCCGACTTTAGATTAAAAAAAAACCACAAATATTAAGAATTCACCCGATTTAAATATTACCAAAATTTGACTTGTAAATTTTGAACCTGAATTAAGAAAAAATTTGAGTCTCCCCCCTCCCCTTAAAAGTATAGTTACGCCCCTGTGTTATCACGAATTACGAATTACCGAATTGAATGTCCTTAAATGTTGATGAAAATAAAAATACCTAATAGGTATCAGTAAATTTTCTCGTTTGAAAAATATCTATGGTAGCACATTGATTTCTTTTATTACCTACAAACAAGGTGCAAACATACTACTAACTTATAAATAAAATATTTATCAGTATAATTTTATGAAAATAACTTCGTATTAGTTTTTTTTAAACTTTATTTAAAATTCAAAATATTTACAAATTATATAGCTTTATTATACAATTTTAAAATTTATTGTCAAATAAATATTAGATTTTCAACAAATTTTTATTTTGATATTGGATTTATTTATTTTCCTAAGCAAATTGTTACAATATAAGAATTTGATACTCACTTAGTCACTTACAGACTTTGTTCTTGATCAATAATATAGTTATAGAAATCTTAAAGTATACAAAAATTCATAATAAAAAATTTAGTGTACCTAGTCCGATTTAGTTGATGGATTGGAGTATTTAGGAGGGTTAGAGATAAAGGACACGTGAAACAGAAATATTCTGTTGTAAATGTTTATGAGTTACGAGTAAAGTAATGAGACCTAATATTTGTCAGTCATTGTTTCGTTGTTCGGATTGGATACCGATGCCCGGTCGGACATTATAAAGGAACTAGGGAGTGTAACATATTCTAAACTTTGGGTAAGTTAAACATTTTTCCTTTGCATGCAATGATAACAAAATCATTATCGTTTCAAATTCAGCAAACCTATAAATGAAAATGCGTTTTCGATGGATTCACATATCCATCTATTCACGATAATCTCGTATTATTATAAAATAAGCGAGCGCGTGAAGTATGAGACTCGAGTCGATAGGTAACAGTTTCGTTGGTCATTTCACATTTAGTGAAATTCGAAGTCATTCAAGCATTCGGACGAGCACGTCATGGTTGTATGCGCGGGAGAAGGAGCAACGGGGTCAATAGTTCGAAATAACCATGTTTTGAGCCAGGGGCGGGTTTTATCACTAACCAATGGAGGGGCTAATGGAGGTTTAAGAATTTAGTTGGTTGGGCTTTTAAATCTATATAAATTTTAAACTACAGAATATGTTTTTGAGTCCCTCATAAGTAAATCATTTTTTTCACAACAATGACAAAGTTTAAATAGTTACATTATTGGCATCAATTTTAATCTGAAATCATTTTAAAATATAGGTAAGTACATATAATTTACAACAAAAGTGAGCTATTTATTTATAAAAAAAACTATATAAAATAGGTACCATATTCATCAATGATCATTGACGATATTTTATTATAATTATTAATATATAATAATACTTTGCTTTGTAAAATAGCTTAGTCCCAATGGGAGGGGGGGGTATAATGTCTCCTTAGCCACCCCCTTAAACCCGCCCGTGTTTTGAGCCACGTGTAAATATTATGTACCTATTCATGTGGTACTGTGAACACGGTTATATGTTCCACAATCGAGTCGTCGGTCCAATTTCGAACACGAATCTAATGAAATGAACAAAAATAAAAAAATAAAAAAATTTCGCAGTAAAATCGATAGTAATAATTGACAAAATAGTCGTAATCTTGTGCAAGTTCAGTATAAGTTCCGTGCGCGAGACGGAAGACGCGGACCGAGAAAGATGGTTCGACGGACGGACGAAGGGCGAGTGAGAGAGTAACAGTGAAAACGATACGCGAGACGTACACGACAATTATTGGCTCGAATATATGTGCGCGCGTGTACACTGCGGACCGCGGACCAATGATAGCGCACCACGAGCCAGCACGAGTATTTTGTTTACATCATCATTTTATCAGCGGCTAAACGCACCGCACATTTCACCGTCAATAGTCACCATCCTTAAGCGCAGAACAACGGAGTAGCGGTCACTTCGTCCCGGGCACACGTCGACAACGGAAGCAACAGCAATAGATTTACGGTAGTTTAGTCCGTTCGTCAGCGTTCACTTATACACGTTTTACCTACCCTAGTTGTGCAGCCGCGAAGCCCGATCTCGGCCAGCGATTGACCACGTAATCGCGGTAAGCACGGACGGCCGCCGTCGGGACGCGCGCGTCTCCACCCCGTCGTAGCAATAGCAATAGCAATAGTTGTAATAACAATCTGACCTTTTTTCTGTTCTCGTACGCAGGGATCCCGTTCAGACAACCGACGAAGTCATTATGTTCGTTCACGCAGCCTTTGCAGCGTTGCTGCTGGTGCAGTCGACGATCGCCGACGCTGGTGTCGATGCCGGTGAACAGGTGGCCGTCGAGTCAGACGAGGGCGTGCTAGTGTTGACCAAAGACAACTTCGACAGTATTGTCTCGTCGTCAAGCTACTTGCTCGTCAAGTTCTGTGAGTATACGTCATCATGGCACCGTCGTTTTCAATTTTAATCTCTTCCCGTTCTCTTGCCGTTGTTTTCTTGTAGTCGGGGCGAACGCGTTTGTTTTGGTTTTTGATATTTTTAAAGGTTATAAAACTCGTCGTTGCTGCTTCCCTTCCCACCGTGTGTGCCGAACACGGGGGACGTGGCCAACGATTTTCAAATCGGTGGCGGCGGCGGCGGCGAGTATTTCTTGTGTAAGTTTTTCGTTTTCACGAGTTGTGTACTACTCAAAAAAATTATTGGGAGCCAGGTAACTGTGGCCATTTGATTATAAATTGTGAAATTATACTGCATTAGTACGCCCAGTTATAGTGAAAATGGTATTGTTTTTTCTTGTTGGAATATCGCAAAATTAGTTATTTACTCAAACCAGTTTGAAACTGTTCTGTTACTAATTACGTTCTTAACTTTGTGTTCTATAGTTGATTTCTTTTACCAATTATAAATGTCTATGAATTATTTTTTACTCTAAATTTCAATTTTATAACTATAAATATTATAAATATTATTATATAATTATAATTATATTATTTAATTATAATTTATGTGCTATGATTGCATAAAGAGAATAATATGGTACAAATAGGTACTTATATTTAGTGTAAAATATTGCTATTAATTTTCTTATAGTTGGTTTAAAAAGAGAATAGGACTGTCCAAAATCTAAAAACTTCTCACAATCATCTTTCCATCCCTCTATTTTGTAATATATTTAATATGCAAGCAAAGCTTTAAAATCTAAGATATAGAAATAAGAGAATACATTTTAAAAATGAAGTAAATCAATTACATGAGGCACATAATAAGAGTGCTAATAGAAAATTATATATGAAAGTAAAGGTGTTATATATTGTATGTTTCTATAAAAGTTTTTCAATTTATAGAGTTCCTAATCTTAAATTTGTGGGGGTAATTAAAATATTCCTTTATAATTAATTTGGTAATATCCATCAAACTCAAATTTTGCTATTTAATTTAATAATATAATTTTTATATTACGCATATTATAATTTTTTATATTTCTTATTAATAAATCTAAATGTCTGAAAATATTATATACATATAATTACATATAATCCCAATATTTTTACAATATAGAGCTTCAAACAAAGTACTTTGAAAAAAATATGTTTTATAAATCATTTTATACTTACTCAGTTGTCTAAATTAACATATTCCTTATTGCATTCTTATGATTTACGTATAAGTACTAACTTTTACCTTTGTAAATAGTAAATGGTACCTATATATAAACCAATGTTATAATAAATTGTATACTATTGTATACTATCTATTGTAAAGTTATGTTTGATAAAATAAATAAATATTATTGGTATTATATAAATTAATATTATTTACATGAAAAGCAATGTTAATTAAATTATAATTAGTGGCTAATGATAAACATATTTGTTTGTTTTTATTTTTAATATGCATTTTATTGCTATTATCAAAAAGGAATTATTTACAGTATTTATACCAAATAATTCACATTAAAACTAGATTAATTTATGGTTTATGTGTAGTTAGTAATTCTAAATATATACCTACATAATTAATATTTTTAATATGTCTTATGTTTATTCTTTATATTCTAGTTTTTTATATATATAAATATAAAAAAATTGTTTTGGTGCATTTTATAATTTTTTGAAGTACAAATGATTTTCTAATATGCAAATAAACTAAATCTATAACAGATTCATAATTAAACATATTTTATATTTTTTTATCATTTTTGCTAGTCTATAGAATGTATATTTGTGTAAATTGTTTATAAATTATAATAATAGACAACATTTTATAAGATTATTGCTGTAAATTGCTTACTTTATTTAATATTAGCAATTAAATGTTATTATAATATTTATTTAATAATATAAAAGCATATATATGTTTACTATGCAAGTCTAAAATTGACCCTTATTATAAAACATAATTCAAATTTAATATTTTTGTTCGTAATTTTTTTCTTTATTAATAACCAGTATGGTACATTTTTTAATTTATTTAAATGTACATAGTAGGGTATTTAACTTTTTGCAAATATATTTATTGACAGAGTTGTATCTGAAAAGTTGTTATGGGATCATAACTCCCTCGTAAATGTTTACTAGATATTTAAATAATAATATTAACTATGAACAAATAAAATATTATAATTAAAAAAAAGATCTGGATGTGACAGTAATAATCATATTACCATTGATAATCATATTTATCGTATACAGTTTTAATTATATCTTAAAATTATCATTTATATTAGTAAATCATTGTATTTATATATATTCATGATAATTTAAATATTTGTGTAATTGATAGAGATTGAATATTATTTAATAATTAAATTATTATGAGCTAATGTGTCAAAAAATGTTCATTACTTATTTATAGAGTTAAAAAAAAATATTATTTATAAGTAATAAACTATTATTTGTATTATGATTTATTATAAAATACTTACTAATTAATTAAAATAATTAAATACTAAATTAACTAAATAATTAATAATACTATAACTTAAAAAATAAAATAAATTTCAAGATTTTTATTTTTTGTGTATATTTAATAGATGCACCATGGTGTGGTCATTGCAAGCAATTGGCACCAGAATATGCTAATGCAGCTCAACATTTGAGTGAAAGTGAATTAAAAATTAAATTAGGCAAGGTAGATGCTACTATTGAAAGCGAGTTGGCTGAAAAGTTTGGTATCCGTGGATATCCTACTTTGAAGTTCTTCAAAAATGGAAAACCAATTGACTATTCTGGTAAAAATAATATATTTACCATAAATATTATAACAATGTATTAATTTTATTCTTTAATGTTGTCAACAGGTGGCCGAACTAAAGATGATATTATTCAATGGGTACTTAAGAAATCTGGTCCAGCAGCAGTACCTTTACATTCAGAAGAAGATGTTTCGGCATTTATTGAAGGAAAAGTTGTTTCTATTATTGGTTATTTCGAAAATGTAGACTCGAATGCAGCAAAATTATTTGCAGAATTAGCCGACTCTGTTGATGATCATCCATTTGGTCTTGTTTCAGACTATTCTAAATTCCCTAATCTAGAACATAAGGAAAAATTTGTTTTATATAAAAATGTAATTAATTGTTTAATGTAAAATTATCTACAAATATTATACATCTTAATTTTTTGATTTTAGTTTGATGAAAAGAAAGTTCCATATGATTCAGAAATAACTAACCTTGAAGAAATCAAGACATTTATATTTGTTCATTCATTGCCTCCCGTAATTGAATTTAACCAAGGAACTGCTCAGAAAATATTTGGTGGTCAGATCAAAAGTCATTTATTGCTTTTCTTGTCTAAGAAAGAAGGTCATTTTGAAAAATTTGTGGATGACATCAAACCTGTTGCTATTGACTTCAGAGGAAAAGTAAATTAACTAATAAACTGTTTTTGATTAATAAAAATCAAATATTTAATTTATTTTTAGATTGTCTTTGTTACTATTAATGCTGATGAAGAAGAGCATCAAAGGATTTTGGAATTCTTTGGAATGAAGAAGGATGAAGTACCTTCTATGAGAGCAATCAAACTTGAAGATGATATGACTAAATTCAAGCCAGAATCTCCTGAGATAACTGGTGATAATGTGAGAAAATTTGTTTCAGATTTTGTTGAAGGAAAAGTGAAGGTATGATAAAAATCACATTTTATTATTATATAATATTTGTTTTAATTTTATTTTATAAATTGCTTTTCTCTAGCAACATTTACTGTCTGAAGAATTACCCGAAGATTGGAACAAGACTCCAGTTTGGACCTTGACTGCCAAAAACTTCGATAGTGTAGCTCTTGATCCATCCAAGAACGTTCTTGTAGAATTTTATGCCCCATGGTGTGGACACTGTAAACAGCTTGCACCAATTTTTGATAAAGTAAATTTCTTATTGGAATTTTATATTACTATATTTATTATTTATATCTATGTTTATTAGGTTGGAGAACATTTTGCCAATCAAGATGATATTGTGATTGCAAAAATGGATGCTACAGTTAATGAACTTGAACATACCAAAATTTCTAGTTTCCCGACACTAACATATTATCCAAAAGGAGAAAATCCAAAAGTATGTTTTTATATTATTTTGTAATTTTAATTTAAAATACTAATTGTTTATTTATAAGTTTAATACATGTATAAACTTTAAATTATAAACAAGAAGTATTACCTTTAAGTAGTTAGGAATTGCTTACAGATTTTATAAAATTACTTAATATTTTTAGGCCATTGAATACAATGGAGACAGAACTTTAGAAGCAATCATTAAGTTTATTGAATCTGGCGGAAATCAAGAAACAACCAGTTCATCATCATCATCGGTAATTACTATTTTTTGAAAATTTGAAAACAATTTCAGCTATAAGTTCTCTAATCAATAAACATATATTTAATAATGAGATATCCTCCTTGTCAAAAAAATAAAAAAAAAGGATAATATATATTGTTTAAGCAACTCTTTTTTGTTTTGGATGAATTTAATGAACATAAGTTATAACTTATAAATTGAAAATATTATGAAAAATAGGCCTTAGAATCTTGTTACTCATTAATGAGATATTTAAAAATGTTCATGTACAAAAAATAAGTAAAAAGCTTAAATAATCTCTAGTTATGATTAAAATATATAGTTAAATGTTAGGACAGGACAAAATAGTTTTAAATTATTGAACTAATAGGTATAGAATATGTTTAGGTATTAAATATTTATTTTAATTTTATAATTTTATATTTATCCATAATTGATGAGTCAAATGTGAATATATTATTTTGCAGGTTGAGGAAGATGAAGAAGAACCACAAGAAAAACCCAAGGATGAATTGTAAATAATAATTGTGATTTCAAATTCATTATTTAATATTTTTTTTATATGTTTCATTTTATTTGTGAAAAAATTCAACACATTTAAAGATAAAATTGATCTAATATATAGAAGTGTATGTATATCTAACTTTTGGTTGTATTTACATTTATTAAGTTTCATGAAAATTGTATTATTTTTGTTGCAAACAATAACAATTTTCATTTAATTTTTGTAATTGTATTTACATTTTCTCAAGACTGTAATAAAAAGTTCAAAAGTGGACTTCTTACTAAATATATTAATTTTATATCCACACTGGTGTTTCTGTAATAAGTAAAATATAAAAATACAATTATTATTGATTTTTTTTTTAGTTACAACAATTTATTATTTTAAGTTTTAGTTACATAATTTTATTGATTAAACCACAAGTATTCTTATGTGTTTAATTTATAGATCTTTTTACTAATTTTATGTACTTATAATTAATAACATTAATTACTAAAACTAATTTGAATGGTAAAGTTTAGCCATAGTTGTACTTATACATTAATTTAAATCCATATATATATTTATATTTTTTTTTACATTTGTTACGCATGAATAATATAAACATGGGTTTATTTTTATTTATCGTAATATTTTAACATCACATAAATTCATTTTTTTATATAATTTGGATTGTTAAAATGTTATCTTATTCTAGTTAATTTCAAATAAATGATTTTAATTTAATATATTTCTTTTAAGTTTATTATGATTATTTTGTTATTTTAATGATTTTATTATATTTTTTGTCTTATTTGTCATATTAAATTAATATAATGTATAGGTCTTAAATATTTATGTGTATATATATATATATATATATATATACACACATTTATATTCTTTGATGAACATCAATATAATATATTTTATTCTTCATGTTACATTATAAAATATATATGATCCTACTTACTGCTGTTAGTAAATAAAAGCACCTAAATATTAAGAACTAGCAATGGTTATCACAAACTTTACCGGAGCAAGGTAGGTTTTGTGGTATCGGGGCAAATAAAAAATATGGGGCCCTCATTTGTATCTTCTACATTACATCCACATTCTAAATTAATAATAGATTTAGTTCAAAAGGTAATTTTGTCCATCGATTTTAAAATAAACAATTATTGTACATTAGGTATGTAAATAAAATCAAAACAATCAATGATAAATATATTATTTGTATAGAAAATAAACTTATAATCTTAATCATTATTATAAAATATCAAACACAAATATTATTATTAATTATTTTTACTAATCAAATATATAATAACTAATAAGTAAGTTATAACTTTAATTTATAAAGGAAGTTTAATAAAGTTAGTATGCTGATCATTTTATATTATTTTACATATATAATACATGGTTAAAGTAAAATATTGTCAGTTTTAATTCCTTAATTTTTCTGGCTTTTTTGGATGCAAAATCATTTATTATGTCTTTATAATATAGTTGTTCTGAAAGTTATTTTTCTTTTCAAATTGTAGCAAGTACAGTAAGTCTTTGTTGTAACATGGTACTTCGCAAATATGTTTTAATACATTTTAATTTTGAGAATGTTCTCTCTGCTTAAATGGAATTGTCAACAAAATGCATAAAACAATATTCAAGTTGCGAAATGCGTTCGTTTTTGTGATTTCAGATAGTACTTGAAATGGTGTAATATTTTTATCAATTAAATGGCGGAAAATTAATATTTATTCACATAAATCATAACCATTTAAACCTTTTTGGTCATTTTCTGACAAACGCATTTCCAAATCTTTGCAGCAATTTAAAATTTCTTAATCAGAGATATAACAAAATTTCCCACATCATACAAAAATCCAAAAACTTCATTAAATGTATTTATTTGATTGAATCGCTTTGTTATTGCACTTATTGCACCAACTACTATAATAAAAAAGTAATTGCTATTTTGGGTATTATGTTGTTAGTAGGTATATATCCAAAATAAAAGATATTACAACTTTTATAGTAGTTTCAAATTTAGTATTAAGTATGAATATTAATTTATATGAAACCAATTTTACATTAATAATTTGCATATTAAACTATTATAGTAAGATAAATTTCAACTTCAATCAATAGCATAATATATTTGTAAATAAATCAACAATTTAAAATACCTAAGCCAATGCCATAGCTTTGGGGGTAAGAGGTTCTTAAAATAGAATTGAATGATTTTAAACGATTTTAAATTACATTAAAAAATTTTAAATTTACCAGTTGAAAAACATATTTATACCCTAAACCCCCTACAAAATATTTGTCTAGCTATTGACCTGGGCGTAATTTTTTTTTTGATTTACAACAGTGTTTCTTAAAATTAGGACCCTTAAATTAAATGCAAAACTTTCAAGACCCTATTAAGTGGATTTGATCCAGCTTAATTTTTCTATAAAAATATACCTATATTTTGCCAATTGTACTGATTTACCCAGTACAAAGATTATCGCTTCCTCGTGTTGTTTTCTGGATAACACTAAATAATACACAAATATTATAATACTAAATAATCTAAAATAATCATTGCCAACTCAATTTTAAATTAATTTAAACTAGTCCGGGCGAAACGGACTACGCCCTGACATACCTACCTAAAAAATATTTTAATTTTTTTATCTTATTAATTAAAGATTAAAGATTTAAATTCATTTCTCAGTACCATTATTTTAAATATAAAATTTGAATATGCACATTTTTGCATATTTCATAAATTGCGCAGAAAAGTGTTTATTTGGACTTTTTTTTTTTTAATTTATTTTGCTAATTTTGACAAAATGTTCAAATTTAAAAATTAAAAGTTATACAAAATTCAGTCTGATCAATTCCTATCGAAAAAATAAAATATTAATGCAATCGCATAACCTACCTGTTTGCAAGTACACAATTCATAGGTTGTCATAATTTTTGTGTTGAAAAAATAACTTTCTTCTTAAAAATACAATGATCTGTATTGTCCGATGTAATTATAAAACGTTCATGTGAAACTAAAGGATTCCCGATAAACATAATTCGGACGACTGGAGGTCTACATAATGATTAAGTTATTTAATAATTTTGAATAAAATTAAAAAACTGGGAAGGTACCAATTTCAATAAATTGAGTAATTTTCAACAAGCATAAAATTAATTGTAAATTTTTAAATTTTGATGTAAGCAATACTAATTAATGATTATTAATAAAAAATATATTAAATGCAGATTTTTAGATTATTTATGCATATTTTTTCGTTTTTTAATGCATATTTTAGCGCGTATTGCTGTGTTTTTAAGTGCTGTAAGTCCCGGACCCTGGCCATAACAATAAAATATCAATATGCTCTTGGATAATAAATAATCCATGAAACCATATAAATCTAAGATTTTTTAATAAATCTATTAAAATCTAAAGTGGGTGATTCATGCATCACCCACCAATCATATACGCCTTTAACCAATAGGCATATACGTAATTAGTAGAGAGGTGTTGAAGTAATAAGCAATTTTGGAGAAGAATAAGTTCCCAATATCCTTCAAAAGTGTTAACGATTATATTTTTAGATAATAATATGGTAATGCGAGTCTCCTCCCTTCATAATTTAAGACTTAGTCACGCCATTGGGGCCCGGTCATCCCGTAAAATCGTCACTGGTTTCATACGATTAGTGGTAAATATGGCATTTCGAGTCCTTCCTCCCCGCGGTCATGACTTGATATCCGTCCATGATATTTATGTGCTATAATGCTTTTAAACAGGTAAGTAGTGACGCTAGAATTTTTTAGATTTATATACACTTCGAAGGCGACGGAATGGTGTTGCCGGTAGTTGCACTACGGGAGATGTCGTACCATTATATATTAGACTCGTATTATATAGGAGTCGAGTGCGTGTAACGAAAGCGGCCGTGTCGCACAGCACTACATCAGTAGGAAAAGGACGTCGGTAATTATCGTATTATTAGCGCGCGTGAACGGATATCGTTTCGACGGGGCAAGGAGCGGAGGAAACGAATAAATGTATTTTAGATTGGGTGTTGTTAATCAGTATATAACTCTCCTACTCAATATTACCACCAACTTGCGTATTAAAAAAAAAAAAAAAATTAATTATAATCAAAAGTCATTATTACTTTGATGACAAAATTGAAGTATTTATCAAATTTAAACTTTTTTTTTAATGTCAACGTGTAACTATTTTTTTTTTTTGGTGTATTCAAATTAATAAAATTAAACAGTAAACCAGCGACTGTTTGATTGAGTGTTAAAGGTATTTTATACTCGTGCTTAGACTTATTTGATTGACTCAATATTCAAGCTATACACTAAAATGTTGGTCCACCATTATCTACTCATGACTCATTTATATTAGATACGATTATAAAACTAAAATGAACATTCGAAATAATTTTATAAATTATTAATTTAAGTTTATCTTAAAATATGAATTATTAATTTTTGCACACTGAGAAAATGCTATTACACATTTACACATTTATAACCTCTCTATAGTTATAGTTAATAAAGAAAAAAACGGTTTGTAACTTTGTAGATGGTTTGTACTTTCTGGGTGGTGGTGGTGGAGAAATCAAAGATAGTTTGGACTTATAAGTCTTTATGGAGTGAAATGTTGATCATGTACCATGGAGCACCAGTTAAGGTATGGAAAGCAATATTTTGGAAATTCTGTACAGGACGGATGTTAGAGGGTTGGCCGGCCCCCAAATCTGAATGCCATATGGTCAATATTGGTCTAATTATTGACTTATATAAAATAATTTTGGTTTTGAGATTTAATTAGGACTTAAGACGGAGATGGAAGAGATGGAGTCGACTGTTAGCAAGATTTCTTTTGAATTAGAAGTGAGATTTTCAAGTGAGATGCTTATCAAACATTATGCCAAAGTATTTGGTCTCATTTTAGACTGCCAAGGGTGGACTGGGCGGACTGGCCACTGTGCCACTGAATATTTGCACTGTGGGCCAGTATCATACTACAACATTTATATCCATCAGGCCGGTATAAAATTTAACGTGTTAAAAATGTATTATAATTGTTTTAATAATATTTGTAAAGACAGATATAATTACTCTTATAAGTAAAATTATATTAGATTCAATTTTATGTAAGTTTGATTCCCTGCGTATTACGTATTAATAAGCTAGTTTCTCTCTCTCTCTCTCTCTATATATATATATATATATTTACATATATTACTAAAATCAATATATAAGACCTTTTTCTTATTATTATCTACCGAATGTTTCTGAATAATGTTTACTAACGAAAAACACAAATGAAAATTGTGAAAAAAGTACAATGTTATTCGTTGATAGATGACGATCGAATATACACCCAACAACCCGTACAATTCAACAGTTACTAAAATATTTAGTAAATATTTAAATATTTCTAAGTTTAAATTGTTCGTGTTGATTTTATATTTTTATTGCGCATATAATGAATTATCCATCTGTAAACACAAATATTTCATCACATAATCACTTTCAGATTCTGATTGAAGCAAAGAATATTATGGTTTTATAATGATGTTTGTATCTTATTTTTTTAACACTTTTTCACTTAGAAATACTGGTTCAAAAGTTTTTTCTAGGAAATGTTTAGATTTTAAATTGGTATGTAGTGGTACTTTAAATAGGTCATTTTTTTAAAATCTTAATAGTTTTTCTAGGTGTGAGGAAAAAAACTGTTCCGAAACGGTAAAAAAAGCTGTAAATGAGACTTTCACTTTTCAGATTTTAGTTATTTAGTCATAATTTCAAAAGTAATGTGGCTAGAAACTTGAAACTTTTACCCTGTAGTAAAGATATTTTTTTTCGTATTTGATAAAATTGTCTAATGACAATTTCGATTTAAATATAGAACTTTAAAAATACCTAATTTTTTGAAAGTCTTTTTGAGTCATTCAATATAATGATTTAAGTTTAGGGATTTCAAAATCTGGTAACCCTACCTATTACTATTATCTAGTTCGACGACCAAAAAGACGAAGGACAAACTTCTATCACCATTATTTAAATAATACATTTATACATTTATACAATTAAAACTTTATTTTTCTATACATAATAAGTAATGAGTATTTAAATGTAAATTAACTTGAACACATTTAGGGGTGCTAAGCACACACAAGCCCCCCGAATTGCGCCTATGATATTACGTCTATCTCATATGTTACAGTTTAACCTAATAATCTCATAACATAATTATGATGATCATTATAAGTTTATTGGTAACGTGCAGGGCCGGCTCAAGCAAAATAATACACTAGGCAAAACTAAATTTTTCCGCCTCTAAAAAAAAAAAAATTGAGCTCTTATTTTAACTTAGCCTCTCCCCCTATTTTTTATGTGACATATCTACTTAAAATTTTTTTTTATTTTATGGATAAAATTATATGTAAAAATACTTAAAAATAATTTTTATTACTATTACTCAAAACCCATCACTACAGCGACTATCGGATATGTGGTTTTTTATATTTTTTGAATAATTAAAAACGCCCAGCGTAGGCTGTAATATAAAGTAATATAATAACTTTAGACAATATTTTTTTATTATTTATGTAAGTGGTTTTCATAAATTAATTCATTTAAATATTTTTCTTATAAAACACCAATAGAACCATTAGAACACCATTAGAAAAAAATGTTCGAGTCAATTTTGAAAATGCCGCCCCTACTAAAGTGCCGCTCTATGCAAGTGCCTAGCTCACCTATACCTTGAGCCGGCCCTGGTGATGTGTTAGATAAAGTCGATAGTTTTAAATATTTAAGATTATTTGAACAAAAGTACGGGGGGTTTGGCATGGATGTAAAACATAGGAATGCGGTTGAATGGAACGGAGAGGAGCGTCGAGCGTTTTACGTGATAAGAGAATTCCAATGAAGCTGAAAGATAAATTTTACAGGAGTGTAGTGAGACTAACTATGCCATATGGTTTAAAATATTGGGCGGTTGACAAAATAGAACAGAGTATGAGTGTTGCGGGCGGAAATGAGAATGTTTAGAATGGATGAGTGGAGTGACAAGAGAAGATAGAATAATGAACGTATAAGTGTGAGTTAGTATTGGTGTAGCGTCTATAGTGGACAAGATGAGAAAATAGAGTGAGATGGCTGGATACGATTGAGAATGATAAGAGTTGGTATGTGCGCAAGAGATGTAAAAGATTGAGATAGACGAGTGGATGTTTAGAACAAAGGTGGTCGACCCCAAATAGTTAGAAGAAAGGTTAGGTATTTTATTGTTGATTAGTTATCGACGACGTCGTCATTTCGGGGAATAAACAAATTCCAATACTAAAAATAAACTAGTAACACCACCGATTATGATAACTACGCGTTGAGATCAGGGCGTTGAATGTGTTAAATATTTTGAATTAAATAATTTGGTTAACTTATTATTTATTAAATTATTAATGGAAAATAGTGATGTGAGTTGTACATTTTTTTTTATTGTAAAAACGTCGAATAGTTGTATGAATTATTGATAGTTCAAGATTTGTTCAAGATCATGTCATATTTAAATCGATCGTAGGTCATTAAAAAATCTACTGTTTACAGTCATATTCGTCATTAGGTAGGATAAGCAAATGCCTATAGTCTGAGTTATTAGGGGGCCTCGAGTACATATGAACCCTTTTTATTTTTAGAATACAACTTTCATGGTATAAAATAGATATAAAAAAAATATAATATTAATAAAAAAAATCAGCATAAAATGTCACATTTTTTATTTGGCCTGTATCAGGCCCAACTTATATATAAATGTATTATATTTATACGTAATAATAATAATTATTGTTATATTTGACTTCGAACAATGGAAATAGTATAGCCGGGCTACGGTCCGGGGAGTATTGAATAATTATAATACCGTTGTACCGATGCCGCATATGCCTCGTTTTCCTCCACACGCCACCTCGGTTCACCGTTACCGGCATCCGCAACCGATGGTATTCCCTCCATTCACGCGACGATACCGTCCAACTAGCGCATTCGCGTTCTGTCCGTCGGCCGGTGTGATCGTACGCGCCGTCGCAGTTGTAACCTACGCGAGTGTTTACACACTGATAACGGATCGCGCCGCAATCGAGTGATAACGAACGTGCAACTACATCAACGATTACGGTGTCTTTCAAAACTTGGATCACTATTTCGCTGTAAGCAAACAACACAGTTCAGTAGTCAGCCGGTGTCCGGCCATTTGGTCCGCGAAAATGTGACCAGCCGATCGTCGACGCGGGAAACCATGTCCAGGAACACCAAAAGATGGTTGTTACAGTTGCAGATACTCCTGGCCCTGTTGGCGCTCGCGTCGTTCGTGTTCTATCAACAGGTCGGGCTTTCCGGCGGCAACGCATTAGCCCACGGCCAGCAACAGGTTAGTCTGAACCCTAATTACGTGCCACCTTAAAGCCACATCTACAGAAGAGACAGTTTGGTTAGAATGGGGCTACTAGTTAGCCACTTACAAACTTATCCACCAGGATTTTAGTCTAATGACATTATCTGATATGTTTGTTTGAAAAATTATTCAAGACCAAATTGTTATGTCTGTTATTGGTTTTGCTTTATTTTCTATCTGCATAGGCCCTGTGTTAATTTTATCTTTTTTTCTTTTTCATTGTATCCATCAGCAATTGAAAAAAATTACAAACTCGACTGACTATTTGTTGCCTGACCAAAAAACTGTACGACACAGCTTGCCAGTTGATGATGATCTAATAGACAATGTGTTTATTACTGTAAAAACCACCGGAAGAAATCATCTAACTAGGTTGCCAGTAATTATTAAAACTTGGTTTCAACTTGCTAAAAAACAGGTACTATTATATTTTTATTATAGTTTATATTCAATGTAATTTTTTAATGAAGGATAGAGTCCAACTGGTTCTTAAAGGCTTCATTAACAATCTCTATAAAGGGCCTCCAAAAACTATTTTTAAGATAAAAATTTAATCTGATACATTTCTAGTATAAGTCCAAAACTTTTATGATTTTAAAACATGGTTCATAAATAACAATTTTTTTAGAATTTTTATTAAACTTAAGTATTTGTTGTATGATCAGAAAAATAATGAATTTTCAAAGTAAAATATTAAATGAAATTAATTAAAATTAAAATGAATAATATTTTGAAGCTATAGAAAATGTTTTTTTTTTCATAAATTTATAAGCATAGTAAATATTATTGAAACTACATGATTGTTGAACCATATTATACAAAATGTTAAAAATACAATTATTACAAATTTTATAATCTTATGGTTCTTTAGTAGATCGTTCTCTTTTGGAATGCGATCCATAGTCATGGTATTGATTATTTGTATTAAACATTGTTTCATTAAGTTTTAGTTATGGCATCAAATTCAATAGCAAATTGCTGCAAAGCTAAAATATGTACTTCTATATTACTTAATTCACCAAGTTTAACCAAGGAATTATTAGGTATACTATTTTTAATAGATTTAAAAAATTTTAAGATCTAGACTAATATAATCTTTAAGTAACTCTGAGTTACTGAAGAACTTCTTCTATTCTAGATATCTAATATATAGTTTTATGTTTTAAATTGAAATCGGTTTTTTTTTAAAAGAGAAGGTCTCTCATCAACGGTTAGTTCTCCAAGCAATTTTTTTTTTTTTGCTACTTTCTTTCCTTAAACATTTGTCTTTAATAAAGTCATGACCATATAATTCCAATGCATTGCTAATTTGTTGTATAAAGTTATGGATATTAGAATAAAGTTAATTAAATCTTTGATCAGAATTAACTCTCCTTTTTTAATTTCGTATAATAAGTTTTTAATCATGTTAAAAGCAGTGGCAACTCGTCAGGGGAGGCAAGTGAGGCTTTGCTTCACTTAACTATTGCAAATAATAAGAAAATATACTATATATGTAGTTATTTCTTATTACCTTTAAGATTTATTTTTTTTTGCTACTCTAATTTTCTCTAAACATTTGTCTTTATTAAAATCATCCCCATATGATTCCAACACGTTGTTAAATTGTTGTATAAAGTTATAGAAATCAGAATAAAGTTCATTTAATCTATGATCAGAATTATCTCTCCTTTTTTTAATTTTATATAATAAGTTTGTAATTATATTTAAAGCAGTGGTGACTCATCAGGTGAGGCAAGTGAGGCTCAGCCTTACCTAATTGTTGTAAATAATAAGAAAGTATACTATATGACTTATAGTACATATAGTACCCATTGTGTAGTTATTTCTTATCGCCTTTAAGAATATTATATTCAGTAATAATACAATTTTAAATAGAAAAGTTTTTTGTTATTCTATGTATTATATATCCAATGCTACCTATTAATCAAAAACTATGACGGAATGTTCGTGCCTCCGTGGAATGATAAAAATTAAAATCACAGAAATGATAAATTAAGATTTTAATTTAATTTTTTTTTTTTGATGAATGGTTGATGAAACCGAAATCCGGAGAGTGGCGAAGAGTTCCGAGAGGCTAAATATATTTCGCGGTTGATTTTTGGTATGAATATAAAATATATAAAGAGGGTGTATGTCAAAAATTGTATGAAGAAATGAGGCAGAACGATTTTTGTTTCCGGGTAATGTTAACATTATTATTGGTCTTTTATATATGAGCGACGTAACATTCACTAATAAAAATAGGAACGGGGAGACAGTCATAATGTCGTGTACTGTACACTTACCTGTAATGCTTTTATCACTAACTAAGGATATCAATTCTTAAGTGTCCAAGTTCAAAATTACCATCATTTAGAAAGTGGATTGAACCGTATTATAAATGGGCATGGCCGTTTTCGACCAAAAACGTACTCTTCCCTTTTCGACCAAATTTAAAATAGGTTGATTCACTTTTCGTCCAAAACAAAAATGTATGTAATAAATTTAAAATAATAAAATAATTATGTACAATTTTTGTCAATAATTATTAAAATATTAATGTAAAAGAGAACGATATTTTGTATCTAATTTTGATCTCTTATCGTATTGAAAATTGTTTGCATTGTTTTTAAAAAAATCGGAATTTTAATTTTAAAAATGTTAGGTCATCGCTCGTTACGCCTGCCGGATTCACTCATCAACTCAAGTGCCACTGCATGAAACTTTTCGAGCGGATGGGGTTTCGCCCCAAAGAGAATTATAGTGTAAGCCTAACCTAGTTTTTATACAAACCTTGATACTGTTGCAAATGGGATTATGTTCTGTATATGAACCTAAAACCTCGCTACGTGAGTAAAACCCTGGGTCGTCATTAATATATTATAGTAGTTTCCATCATAATCAAACATTGTATATCATTATTTTATTATTTTAAATTTATTATATAAATTTTTGTTTTGGTCGACAAGGCAATCAGCCTATTATACATTTGATCGAAAAGTGAATTGGCCGAAAAGGGAAGGGTACGATTTTGGTCGAAAACAGACTCGCCTTAACAAATAAGGTGAGGTTTTCAAAACTTTAAATAATAATTCATTTTTTTGTCAATATTGTAATAAAGTAGTTGTAGTACAAAAAACAATTCAATTTGATCAGCACGTTAATTCATTTTCACACGAAAAATATTCGAAAACTCCCACTTCTAAACAAACATTTATTAATCAATAGTCAACATTAGGTGAAAATCAATCAGTATTTTTCGAAGACCTTTGTTCAGCTTTGATTGCTTCTAACATATCACTGCATAAATTACAAAATACCAATTTCACATATTTTTTGGAAAAATATACTCATTTACATATACCTGATGAAAAGTACCCTAAGGAAGAATTATGCAATCAAATGTTACACAGACGTTTTAAAAAAATACGAGAAAATATAGGAAGTTCATTCATATATTTTTGTATCGATGAAACTACTGATTCATTGCGAACTTTATTGTTGGAAAATTAAATGTTGATTCACCATCAAAATCGTATCTTTTAGCATCTAAAGTTCTTGAAAAAAACAAATAATAATATCATAACAAAATTTGTAAATGATTGTCTTAGAGTATTATGGTCAGAGCAGTGGCGTCTACATTATTTTTGTATGGGGGGGGGGGGGAATCAGTTGCAAACAAATCATTATGGAAGGAAAATTCCTAAACCTAAGTACCTGTACATTTAAATAATAAAAGTTATATATATTGAATGTGTCAAAATAATAATTTATAATCAGTTTCGGGTTGGGGGAAGGGGCAGCTGCCCCGGGCCGCAAAATTTTAGGGGCGGCAATTTTTTGACGACGTCAACAAAAGTTTTGAAATTTTCTAATGTATATACTAGTTTTTAGGAAAAATTATTGATTTAATTTTGAAAAATATTAATAACAGTTATATAATATTATAATTATAATAGTTATTTTATATTATATTAAACCGCTGAGTTATTTCGTCTGTGGGTGTTGAGCATATTAAGGGTAAAACCATATTATTATTATTTAGCGTTCGGACCTATGCATTTTTATATTCATTACACTAACATAAAATTGTGTTTTTTGTATTTCTTATATATCTCTACGTGTGTATTATAATTTTAATATTATTAAATTTGATATTAATAGTTTCAAATAATTTATTTACAAAGTACTAAGTAATTGTTTTTGTTATCTCTCTCTCGTCTCGTGGTCATACTTGTAGTTGTCGTCGTTGTCGAGTTCGATTCACGAATCATGATTGATTGGAAAACAAACGTACCTAATATTTTATTTTCAATCAATACGAATGGAAAGCGCATACAAATGCATATATTGGAAAAAATGAGTTGTTTGAGTTTTTTTTTTTAATGTGGAAGGAATTGACGATGATATTTTATGAGAAAAATCAAAGCAATTAGTAAATATTTATAGTTTTTTAACCGGAACTTAAAAATGAGATTATACAATTTAAAACAATAATCAAGTATTTTTCAGAAGATGAAATATTATTTATGCACAGTTTTCTTGAAGTATTAACAGTATCAAAATTAAATGATTCATTTCCTATTGTGGAAATAGCTTTAAAACTTTTTATATGTATACCATGTTCAAATGCTAGCGGAGAAAGATTCTTCTCAGTTTTAAAAAGAGTCAAAACTATCAGAAAACATAATTATCTAATGAAAATATGTCATTATTTTCTCTAATATCTATTATAAATATTTCCTATAAATTATAAGTTGGAATGATATTATTAAAGAGTTTGCTACACAGCAAGCTAAAAAATAGTTGTAAATGTTTTATATTGAATACATTTGTATTAAAATGTTTATATTTAGTACCTACTAAGGTCTATAAATTTAAAAACTACTGGTGTTACAATATGTTTATAAATATAAATAAATTAAACAGTCTTAACTATGATGTTACTTGTTGTATATATATATTTTAGTTTATGGAGGGGGTTGAAGGGTGGAATTTTAAAATCTGCCTCCATGCGGCAAATTTGTTAATCCAGCGCTGTTTACAATAAATTCTTGCAATATTTTTTTGTTTCCTTATAATTTCCTTACATTAAGAACACTATTTTATATAATTTTGAAAAAGCCTATAGAGGGGGGGGGATCTGACCCCTGTATACGCCACTGGACCAGAGGGAGGTAACAACAAAAAAGTTTTATTAATGTTACCCGATGCAGCCCTATATATGGTTAAGGCTGCTAACAATTTAAAACCATTTTATTCCAATTTTATTCATGTGACTTGTGCTGCTCATGGGATTCATTGAATCGCAGAAAAGATTATGGATATTTTTCATGAAATAAACGATTTAATTAACAACGGAAAAAAGATATTTTTGAAAGCTCCTTATAGAATTCAATTATATCATTGAATCATTTATCATGAAATGTTACCTAATACACCATTACCGCCTCAACCTATAATAACACGATAGTGAGCTTGGTTAAAATCGGCAATATTTTATGCAGATAATTTCGAACATTTTAAAAATGTTATTCAAAACCTACAAGAAAATGGTGTCAAACATATGATTTTGGGAAAAAATACTTTTTTTTAATGTAAAACGAGTTCCCTTCTTTAATTTTGCCAATTCGACCACTTTTCTTACACCATATTAATATTATACCTACTTAGTAATTTGTTACCAACCATAAATATAGATTATATTATTTACAATTATTTAAAAATTATAAAAATATTTTTTAATTTTTTTGCATTTCCATTTTGTAAATTATAAGATCTAAAACAAATATTTAATAAATTAATAAATTAACAAGCTTTTCTTACTATTGTAAAAATAAATAATAAGTCAAAAAATAATTTGGAGTTGCGAAACATAGCGAGTGGTTATCAAACACGCGAATTATCCATTACATTAAAAATTATATGTCGTATAGATTTAAGGATTAGTATAAAAGAGTAAAACAATGTATGATATTATGGAGATGACAACTAAGAGTTCCTATTATTATTACTTATGTAGGGTTAAAGTTTCAAATGTTACGTGAAAATGTCGTGTTTCAAATAATTTCACAATTGGATTACGTTTTTATTATTATCTATAGATTGTTATCTATCAAAAATATACTCTGTACGTTTTAGCGGTTATGATGCAATTTTAATTTTTTTAATTTTGAAGAAAATAATAAGAAACAAAATTAAATTATTTAATTCCTTGGGACTAATTTTTTTTACCAAAATGTTCCTTTAATCATTGTTAATAAAAATAAAAAATATCCTCCCGTAGCCCAAGGCTTCAAATCTGTTTTTACCAAAAAGAACACTTACAGTATTATTAATTGTATCATACATATTTTGTATTGAAAACAGTTTTTTTTATTTTGTTAATATGTTAAAATAATTTAATTTTAATATTATAATTTATATTTCAGATTTTGAAGGTAGGAATTTATTATTTATGTTTTATATAATATAGGAGGTATACTTGTTATTTTTTCAGTGAAATAAGTGCTTAAAGTTTCAAATATTTTTATCACCAAATTAAAAATCATCAAGCATTTAAATCAAGTTTTTGGTGAACTTATAGATTTTTGAACATTTTAATTTTGTGATTTTATGCAAGCTAGTTAATATTTTATTCTAACTATAGTTTACTTATTCATTATTTGTGTAGTTACATTTAAAGCATATCTAGATTTATTTTTCAGACTTTCTATAAAATTCGGTACATAAGTGTCACTTGGTACTTATTTGTATTAATTTTGATAAAATAAATGATTTCTTTGTTTTATATTTTCTAGACATTTAAATAAGATTTTTATAATTATATTTATTATATTTTTATAATGATGTGTTAGTTTAGACTGATTGAATACGGAATTTTAATGAAAATGTTATATTATGAATTCATTTAAATTTTCATGTATCTACATGGCTGCATCCGAATTGGGTCCTGAATTTAAAAGTACTACATTAGTTGGGTCTTTTAAATACTACACTAGTTGGGTCCCGGATTTTTATAAGTAGGTACTACACTAGTTCCTGAATATTTTTTGGTAAGTTCTATAATATACTAACATTTTTCTTCCCATTTTAATAGACTTAAGACTGTCTATGATTTATTTAGACCACAGGTATGGTTAAAAATGTTTTTATAGTTTTTCTTTTGTTTTTTAGTTTCTTTTCCATTATTTTTTATTTATACTATATAATGATTTTAACATTTTTAATATTTTTACCAACACAATTCTAATAAATTATATTTTAATGGAAAATAAACTAAAAAACCAAAAAAAAAAAACTATAAAAACATTTTTAACCATACCTTTGGTCTAAATGGATCATCTATTATAGATTATTATTATTATTATTATTATAGATCGTCATCTGTTAAAATGGGAAGGAAAATGTTAGTATAATGTAGTACTTACCAAAAAATATTCATGAACAAGTGTAATACCTAAAATAATTCAGGACCCTACTAGTTTAGTACCTATAAAAATCTGGGACCCAACTAGTGTAGTGCCTATTAAAATCCGGGGTCCAACCTGTACACTACCTGCAATTAGCCTCAAGTACTCGGGACCCAACTCGGATACTCCGATCTATGTACATATACCTACTGCGTATCGACTTCAGTGACTTTCCCAATTATTCTTGTGTTGGTTGTGATCCATTGACAAATATTTTAATAAAATAATTTTCAAACAATTATTGGTATGTATAAATGAATATGATTTTTAATAGATGAAATGTTATAATAGTTTAAGTAACTGTAGTTTAAAATAAGATTATCTTATGGTATTTACGAACTTAAGTGTCATTTAATTTATGTAATTCAGTTGAATTTAAATAATTCATGGAAGCGTCTTAAAAATAATTTTATTTTGTGATCATAAAACTGTTTTACTTTTGAAAACCGGTTCATTGATATCGGTTATTTCTCGTAGTACTATATACATATAGGTAGACATAAGTAGTTTTTGTGTTGGTTAATATATGCAGAGATCATTTAGTTACCTAATCGATTATATTTCATCAAGTTATTCAATTTAACAAAAAAGTTATTTTTTCAATAATAGTAAAATATATTTGAAGAATTATTTAAATGTATGGGAAAATCTATAATTTTTTAAATTAAAAAGTAAAAAATATTTTTCATTTAAAATAAGATATTAAATATATAAATGATTTAATCTGGTTCGTTAGTAGATATGTCGATACATGCAATTATCAAATGTCAATAATAATATATTAATTATCAATATAATCAAACAATAATGATTTAAAACATAAAAGTAGAAAAATATTAAAATAAATGTTACATTTATAAAATATGTATAACATTTTAGCCAACCTTCTAGAATTTCAGTAGGAGGACTTGTTAGTTTTAATCTATAATTGTTTTCAAATGTCGGCTACATTTATTGCATAGAAAAATATTAAATAAATAGTTTTGTATAGTATGTAGATAAGTTAATATTGAACCATATATTCCTTAATTTTAATATTACAATTGATATGATTTTTTCTACTCGTATATTTCTGCATTTCCTTAGTTATAGTTATTAATAGTGAATACAATATGTTGGTTATTTATTTATTTCTTTGCTTTTTTGTTATTTAATTTTTAAAGTAAATTATATGTTTTAGTAAAGTTTAAAATATTAAGCTGATATTTTTACTATTCTGGGTTATTATTATATTGTAATTAAAAAGTATAAATATACAGTGAAATTTCAGTCGCTTGAATTGGAAAGTAATAAAATAATTGTGATAGTTAAGAAATGAGCATGTCTATAAAACATGTATGGTATTATAGTATATTGTATTTATTACATTTTTATCGATTTCTATATGCTATGTGTATATTACTGATATTTTTACACATTACACAAATATTACTATTCAATATGATATCGTTAACTTTGCAATATTCTAAAATAAATAATGATATTAATTTTCCTCGCTAATTGAAAAACCAAGTTATAATTAATAGGTAATAATAGTAACTAATACTCGTATATATGTAATAGTGTTTAAGTATAAAATGTATCCAGAAACGTAATATTCATTATAAAATCAAGGTTATCTAGATCTACTGTATTAAAAAAATGTAGGGTGATACGTGAAGGCATTTTCTGAGTTGTACATCTATGAATACCTATAATTATAAACATTTTAATCTAAAAATATGCCATGTTGATTATTAATTAAAATAAGTTTTCAAATTAATTTATTTTATTTTCCTAGACTTGGTTTTTCACGGACACTTACGATCAACATTTAAGTCAAGTGACGGGTAAGTTGTATGATTAATAATTTATATTTGAATATAATTTAGTTGTTAATATTCTGTGTAATTGTATTTATTGATATGAGAAGTTATAATATAATTAACCTATGTCATATTAAAAAAGTTACTTAAATATTATTATTTATTATATTCTTAATTATGTGTTTATACATTTTGATTTTTTGATATTCTATTGTGTGTAAGTTTACGGTTTAAAATTATGACTAAAGATATTTATTTATATTTTGATTTTAATATTAAAATGAAAAATGTATATCTATTGGTTATTTTAAAATATAAATATTTTTAAATTAATAAAAGTATAGTCAAAAATTAAAAATAAATTATAAACTAATAAGACGTGATTGATTATTTAAACAATCATAAATTGTTTAATTAGTATTATATCAGCCAAAATAATACTTATATCTTATAAAACTCAATGTTGTTATACGTACACAAATCTTAAAACCTTTATTTTTTACTGATCATTTAATTATAAAAATCTGATAAATTGCTTGCGTTTTTAGCAGGTGCTGTAAATGTACTTTTTTTGTTATTATTTTCATGTATCGTACCAACGATTTATGTGCAAGTAAATATTGTAGGACTGGTACTGAAATATATGATTATATACTTGAACCGCATACTTTATCGTACTACTTATTATTTTCGGTTTATATGGCTTGAATTAATGATAGTAATCAAGTATTAGTATTCATCGCTTTTTTATAATCTTACATTTCCTACCAAGTTTATTACATTTATTGAAATAGGATTTTTAATGCTTATTCTCTACACGTAGGTTGTTTAATTTACTCCAGTATATTAGATTTCTTAGAGATTATATAACCGTGTTCCTGAGTAATTGTCAGTTTTAATATTTGAGCTCTAACTAATAATTAACCAAGTAACATTCTGTAGTATAACAATTTTAACGCGTTCACATTTGTTAATACTATTTTTAGTTGATATAATAAAAAATTCAAAGCATTTTACTGCTGTAAATAATATTGATCTTGTTTTATTTAAAATTTTATTATAATTGAATAATTTGTGTTAAATATCTAATAATTCTTTCATATTAGCTTGGAAAATGTTAGTAGAAAATATTTTTTTCAGCAAATGTTGTTTAGAAATTAAATTATTAAAAATAAAAATCAATCACTTATGGAAAAAATTCACTATTTATGACCACGTATGCATGAAAGTTGTGTGTTTGACCATGTTAAAATGAAAATGTACCCAAGTACTTTAATTTTTAGAGTTAATAGAAAAAGCATTGAATATTTATTGCTATCTATACTTTTGAGGTTCTCATGATATAATAAATATATATAAAAATATAGAGTTTTCGTTAATTACATTTTATGACATTAAGTATAATACCTTTTTGTTCATAATAATTATGTATAAATTGCAACTCAAAAAGAATAAAAAAAAAAAAATTCTATAAGGTTTTCGTATTTATTCATTTTAATCTCAAGTTATTAATTTAAAAATGATGAAGATTTTTTAACTTGAATAATACTTCTTTGTATCTTCAAACAATATGAGTTTAACAATGAAGTTTTTTGTATGTGTAGGTTAATGTACACACGGGAAATAATTATGCGTATAAGATCATTGTTCATAAAAATTATTTGCTTAGTACTCTTTTCAATCTCCCAACTATTAAAAAAATTTAAATTATAATTAATAATACCCAATTTTCCTTTAATTACTGTGTAGTTTTGTTTTTTTAAAACTAGTTCATATCAATTATGAGACGAATAAATATTTATGTCTGAATATATTGTACTTAAGAGTAAAACTAAAACGTAGTTTTTGATTTTAAATAATAATAATAGTTATTGAATAAATAACAAAATAACATTTAATATTAGATTTTTAATTAATTTATAATTATTCTGATATCTAAAATCTCTTTAATGTTAATTAAAAATTATTTGAATGAAAGAAAACATAAGCAAAATCATCGAAGTGATCATCGTTTCAATTTGTTTTAATTTTTGGTTTTCAGGTGGTCACGTCATACATACTAACTGTTCGGCCACTCACAGTAGGTAAGTTATATATTATATGAACTTAATATTGTTAATAAATCGCAGTAGGATATCAATAAATAATTTTTTTTAAATTAAAAATCTTCATCGTTATTATATTTCATTCTAGTTTTAATTTGCTTTTTAGGCGTGCGTTGTGTTGTAAAATGTCTGTTGAATTAGACGTGTTCCTCGAATCGAAAAAGAAGTTAGTATATGTTTAGTAAAAAAAATTTAAATTAGTGTTCTAATATCTTTGGTATTTCATGTAGGATTCTTGTACTTTTTTTATAATATGACACTAATACATTTTTGTACGAAAATATGGTGTGTACATTTGATTTCAAAAGCTTAGTTAATTAATTATAATTTATATGGTGTAAATCATGTTATATTTGAACTAAAATAATAATAATTTGTTGCAATGTATTTTATTTTATGTATTCATATTTTATTTTACTCGTATTTGTTATTTTTTTTTTTTTTTTTTTATCGATTTAAGGTGGTTTTGTCACGTGGACGATGATAACTATGTTAATGTTCCTGCCTTGAATGGATTATTGAAAATGTATAATCCAATTAAAGATTGGTATTTGGGACGAACTAGTACAACAAAACCATTACAAATTCGCACAAAATCCCAAGTTAGTTTTCATTTATACAATTATGTAATAGATATATTTATAATTTATTGACCATTTTATTGTTTAATACTTTTACAGTAAAAAAAAAAAAAAAAAGTATATAAATAATATAAATACAAATAAAAGTTCCTGTTAGGAAGATTATTTATGTGAATGATTTTTAATAAATTATTTATATATTTTAAAATTAATTCTTTTCAAAAAATTTTTAAAATTATTTTAATAATTTTTTGGGAGATATACTAAATTTATTTCATTTTTTTCAAACTGTATTAAAATTAAAAATGCAACTAATAGAGTTTTTAAACTCAAGGAAAATCCTGTGTAGTAATTATATTTTTAACTGTGAAATTGGATGGAATTTTAATAATTATTTTTATAATTTAAATATTACTTAATTTAAAAATGTAAAAACTTTAACTAAATCATAGTTTTTTAAAATTAGTATTTGAAGTACTTTAAATTTATTACGCATTTATACTTCAAAAACACAATTGTAATTGTTTTGTCGCCTTTTCAATTGAAAGATTATTTTCATTCTTTTTTAATATTTTTTATAATTATTATAATTTTACTATCTCAGTTCAACATTAAAAAAAAATATTAGCATATTTATTGTTATTATTACTGCCTTAAGGGTTACTTATTTAAAATTTTATTATTTTTTAGAAAACTACTTTTTGGTTTGCTACTGGAGGTGCTGGATTTTGTTTGAGCCGTGCATTAGTGCTTAAAATGGCTCCAATATCTGGGTAAGTTATTAAAGAAAAACACTAAAATTATAAATAAATGAAAATAAATTTTCTATTGTCAAACTTGTTTTGTGTCACATTTAATCTCCTAATTAATTTTTTTAAATACACGTATTTTTAATGTGTTGCTTATAGTTTTTATAATGTGGAGTTATTGTGTTAGTTCTGTATTGATTTAAATCGGGAGAAAGATAAAAACAAATGAAAGTAACAATTGTTTGTTTGGTATAATACTTAATGGGCAGAAATTAAATTTTTTTTTTATCTATTGAGTTACAAATACTAGATTAATTAAAATAACATTTGATTGATTAAAAAATATGGTTGTGTTATTATTTATGATGTATAGACATATTTATACATTTTTGTTGCAGGTTATGTTAAGTAGGTACAATGTTTATGCTAATTATTTTTGATATTCTAAACCAGAATAATAGTCGTACGGCGTCAAAGAAGATGTTCTCGTGCGTGTCATGAAATTTGAATTTTTATGTGCATTTAATCTAAATTAGATATTGTATTGTTGAAGTTCCATCTCGTTCAATTTATTGTTCTTTTAGGTTAAACAATATCAACCAAAATTATACAATATTTAACATACTTTAAACATTTTTAATCAAATTGTTACCTATCTAGTTCTAAAATTTGTTCTTTATAAATTATGTTTTTTTTAATTTAATTTTTAGATTTAATTCTCAAAGAACCAATTCGTGGTTTATCTCGTTAAAAATCTAATGCTTATTAAAATACATTAAACTTTTAACATTGATATTATAAGTGTGAACTGCTGTGGATATATTTTTACTGTTTTAACTCATTTTGATGTATATCCAATATAATATCAGGTTTTTAACAGGTTTTCTGAGGTGAATAACATTTTAATACAACTATGATGACTTTTCGATTTATTTTTTTCATTTGTCGCTTTTAACAGTTGACCGATAAAAAATATCTGTTTTAATTGCTGGGACAAAACGAACTCAGTTATTTCCAATTTAATGATATGCAGTCTCTGAAAGTCAAATACATAATCATAACCCGTTTTTTTAAATTGAATAATAAATTGAGAGTTCCGATGCAGCTGCTAGTCGACACCCCTCGTCCCCTCTGTTTTCCTTCATCCTTTATCGTTAATCAAGTTGCTGAATTGACGAGTTAACCGGTTTATCACGTCAAGGCTCTCCGAAAAGGAGTTGTCTTGTTATGTGTTTTTCGCACTAATAAGCTCAAATTCCAATGGTAGTAAAATATGTTTCTATATAAATTATTTGTTAAATAAAAAAAGAAAGAATGAAAAGACAATTTCCCGCCATTGTTTAGAGAACCAAAAAGGTTTTAGATTGGTGTTTGTCGGGGAATGTAAGACGATTGTATAATTGGCAGATTTTAATTGGCTAAAATTCTTTGTGGAAGAAAAGTACCTATTTGGAATTGATCCAAATGTGAAGGTAATAGAATGAAAAAATTTAATTTCAATACATTAGATATTATGTTACCAGTTAAATGTTTGTATTGTTGATTCATTTTTAACCTTTAAGTATACGTTAAATTCCAACCAAGCGGTTTAATATTAATCAATCATAAGTTATAAACTTGTTAATTCATAGTAAAGTTTTAATTTATTTTAAAATAATTATATTATAATTTTTTTTATTAATGGGAATTAATAATTAATTGTAAGTATTTTACTATTTAACTAAAATCGTATTGAATCCTCTTTTTAGACGTTCCTCTATTTTGTTTGGTGAATGACAGGTATTAGATCAAGAACTTCACAACATTTTGCAAACTTACACCTCTCTAATTAAGTCGAGTTTATTGAAAGTTTGCCATATAATTCACCACAGATGGTCGAAAGTTTTAAAACTTGTTTAGTCTTTTGTATGGTGTCCTAGGCGTTACACTTAAAGATAAATTGATGGGATATAAAAACTTTTTAATTGGGTCAGGCTTAATAATAGTTGAGTAAATTTATAATTAATATTTGTGTATAATTTATAATAAAAAAAAAAAAATTAAGATAACTTTAGTAATTATTATACTTGATTAAAAAAAAAAAAATACAATGAGTGGTTATGTCGCTTAAAAATGATTTTATAAAGAATTAGTTTTGTTTCATTGAATGTTCGAGAATCAGATTTTTCCTATCAATATTTTAGGTATCTCATTATATTAAGGGTGCAAAAACCGTTTATTTTGTAGATTGTTAACTATTTACAATATTTTATACCATACCTATACTATTATTATAATGATAAATTATATACATTATTATTTATTCAACGTTGTAAATAACGTAATTCTTCTTTTTCTTCTCCTTCGCCTTTCTCTCAACTATTTGGGTCAGCCACCCTTATAAATAACGTAATTATTCAATGAAAATATACTTTTCATTAACAATTTTAAGTGTAAATCCAAATGCGTTTCTCATTAATTATCTGCGTTTTAAGGAACTGACGTCCCATAAATAATGAATATATATTATAATGATTTACTAATAACATTAACTGTATATTTTGTTACTATTTATATAATAAAAGTGGGGCTTAACTCTTTGTGTAATTCCTAGTGTTTCTAATTTTAAAACAAGTTTTTTTTACAATTAAAATCTTACGACAGTAAAACTGTTTTGAGTTTTCATTCATTCGTGAGTTATATAAGAAGTACATTTAATCATACTATCATATGGCTTAGTAAGACATTTACTTTGAAAACAGAAAGATGACGTGTGAATGATCGTTTATTAGACGATTTTATTTTTTCACATGCCATGTGTCACACACTTACATATAAAGAAGTTTATTTGTCAACCATCCAGAAAATATACATATTTGAACACTTTAAGAATAACAATGTATAAGAGTTTCCTAGATGAATAATTTAAATCATGGCTCTACGTTTTTATTATGCAGACACAGTAAACGTCTCAAAGTGTTTTATTTAAAAATTATTTTGTTTTAATTAAATCATTTTGCTTTTTGTTTTGTCGCAGGAACGGGAAACTTATGGCGATTGGTGATCGTATTGGTCTCCCAGATGATGTCAGCGTCGGTTATGTTATTGGTATGAATCACGATATAATTTTTAGATTAACACTATTGTTATTATAATTTTAATTAATTAATTTCATTTTTATAGAACATTTACTAAAAATACAATTGACTAGAGTAGAACAATTTCATTCTCACTTGGAGCCAATGAAACACATTAAAACACATATGTTTAGTGAACAAGTAATAACAATAAATAATAATAGTCAGTGGCATCATTTGGGAGGTGACAAGGTGGGCATTTTCCCCTGTCTGGTTTTAAAGCACCCCAAAGAACCGGTCGTTGTCGTTTAGCCATAAGCCGTTATTTGTGAAAAATCAAGCATATTTTTATAATTTTGAAAATACTGCTTACTAGATAATTATTTACTGCCACAATATTTGGTAATTGCCAATTGGTATAAACTATAAATAGACATATGAGCATTTTGCAAGAATATTAGATTTTTGAATGAACTTAATCATTGTTTCAGCAATTCTAGCAATGAAATAATTTTTAATAGTAATATTTTCTTATCTTCCAGTCTTCATTATTTTAATTTCAAAAGTCCAATTTCAAAATTGTCTTTCCATAATCATTAGTAGTAATTTTGAAATTGATAATTTAACACTCTAAACTGAATTCTTATGTGCAAAAAACTTAATTAACTTAAATTATTCTAATATAGAACAAGATGATGTAATTCATGATTTTTTTCTATTTCTGAAATTTTAAATGAACTTTATAAAGCTTTAACTGAAACTCTTAAAATTATAAATGTTATTTTAACTTTGCTTGTAACAACTGCTTCCAATGAACTTTTTTTTTCTTCCCTTAAATTAATTAAAACCTATCTAGACTTGATAATGGGCAATGGTCGGCTGAGTGATTTTTTGGTTATAGTTGTTGAAAATGATATTACTGCAAAAATCAGTTTAGATGATGCATTAAATGTATTTTCAAAAATGAAAAATAGAAGATATCAGCTTACAGCTTAGATTAATTTAGGATTAAGTTAGATTAAGTTAACCTTGTTTAGGTCATGTTAATAAAATACAAAATTATATTTTGCAAAAATTTAAGTTGTATATTTATATAATATATAAAATATGTGCTTTAAATATTAGTTAAAACGTGTGAGCGAAACTCCATATTTCCCCCGGTAGTATGGTCTAGTCAAAAACGTGACCCCCCCTCTATCAAAAACTGAAATGACGCCACTGATAATAGTTAATGGTAATTACGAGTAATTCACATTCATAACGAGCATGTTTGTTTTATATAGCTGACGTTCAGTTATTCTTTGGACAATGAACCAAATACTGTTGACGTGAATGGATTCAATGAAATCACCGACCCTACGAGGTTAGCATTTAGTTTTTGTAATAAATGTATACTCTACAAGAAGTAGTATAGGTATATTTCAAATTGTATTTTTAATTTCAGATTTTTTTCATTACATTGCTTTTTGTTTCCTGAATCTTCGTGCTGTGTTGAGAAATGAATTATTTCATCGTTCTTGATACAGTGAGAGTTAATGAAATCAAATTTAGAATCGTTTTGTAGTATTGCTCGTTAATTTTTAAGTTTTTTTTTTTTTATATTATTTGTCTTGTTTGGCCTAACGTTTTATTAATCTGAAATATAAAAGCCATTAATCATAAGGTCTTCAAAGAAAGCGCATGTCATGGTTGAGCATAAGGTGGGAAACCGTCATATAACGTCGACTTTAATATTCGTTATTTTACAGTTGGGTACTCTTTTTCCATAATGCGTCCAAATGGTAGGACCGATAACATTCCCTCATTACATCGTTTGTTGCCATACTGACAACAATAAAACAATTTTCGAGTAACTTCGTGTTTTCCTTAATCAAATTGACAACAAACACGGAGAATACGGTATATTTTAGGATTTGATTCACTTCAGTTTTTGAAGTAGAAAGATCTCGGAACGAACATAATTGTAGTGTTATTATCATGTTTCTGGTTTTATTATTATTTATTAATTAACAGTACAATAGTATAATATAACATTTTTTAAAATAGTTAAATAATATTTACTATTTTAAATAAATTTTAAACTTAACTTGAATATACCCTATTTATAAAGAACCTGAGAATATTAATTGTTTCTTATGTACACAAGAAACGTTGAAACAATAAGAAATATTTAGTCAAAAAAAAGCATTAAGATATCAGATGGTATACTTCCCTATTGGTCGTTAATTTACTTATGATTCGAACATAGTAAAATGCAAAAATAGTGTGATTTTGGTCTATAAAAATTAATATATTAATAAATTCGCGTATTATTATAATAGAATTGTATAGTGGTATTAAAATCACTTAAGAATATTCGTCTGTTACTAATAATTTGTTATGTTCACTATAATAGTTTACTTTAATTGTTATTTAATAAACGAAAATATACTATAACCTCAGAGAGTTGTCTATAAAACTCATTTTATTTGGTGGGACTAATATTAGATAAATAAAAGGTTTCAAGTTAATAACGAATCGTATAAGTGTAAATGAAGGATCTGATCATAACTAGCTTGTTTTCATTGCCTTGTGTGTCGTCAAAAGTAGATTACTGACGTATAATGTAACTATAAGTCAACAAAGTGATATTTTAATTTTAATGTGTGTGTATGTAAAGTTTACACGTTATTTCAAAGGTTTCGCATCGCAACTCATTGATCCCCTTGTTTTTTTTTTAAAATACTCGTGTATGAACTATCCAAATACATGTTTAGATCGTAGGTTTGTGGTACGTGATTTATCCGACGGCACCTTGTTAGCGTGCATGTCAATTGTTTAGTTTTAGTTTTTTTTAAAAAAAAAAAATGAATGTCTGTGATATAGAATTTTAAGCCATTATTTCTACGTAGATATATTATTATTATACCTTATTTATTTGTTGTTTAATCAAAACTTGTAACATAAAATAACAGATTTTTTTTTACCTTTTGTATTTTTTTAACAGTTAAAATATTTTTATTTTTCGTTAATTTAAATAAATTGTTCATTTTTTTTTTATTATACTTTAAGTGTCTATTGCTGATGTATTTTTAATGACAATAAAGGTTTTTATCAACACTTCCATTTTATTTATTTTGATTTTTTTCAGCTGTATAACAAAGCAGCTCATTAAAGTCGAGTTCTATCATCTGATATTTCTAGCAGATTATTATATTATATATATGTTCCAGTTATTTTTTATCATTTTAGATTAAATAATCATTGAAAGATGGGTTTGGAAATAATATTGATTAGAAATTGAAAATAAAAATTATTTTTGTTGTTTGTGTTTTTAAAGCTTTTGTTTTAGTTTTTACTCATACATCAATAATCTACAGAAAATGTTATTGTATTCGAGGAATGATAATTGATTTATTTTGAAAAAATGATTAATATTATGCATCACCGGCCACAAAGTTTACAAGGTTTAGTGCCAGGATAGGAGAAAATTGTGATTCAAATCTGTATTCATCATTGCGAACGCATCTCGACCGACGGTGTACGTCGGTCGAGATTCGTTCGCATATATATTATATTATATAATATAAAATAATGATAGGTTGACAAAAGTAAGACTAGCGATTTATTCGTTTAAATGGTTTATTTTGCGTGAGAGAAAAATAAAATAGAAGAAAAAAAATTTCGACGTCCGACGATGAGGGAACGTCTCGCGCGATAAATGCTGTCATACGCGAGTGTCACGTACAAGCTTCGCTTAGGTTTTTATATATACCTACCCTTAGGACATCAATTGCCTTCATATCTATAAAGGACTTCCCCATCGATGGCGGTATAATATTATATATATGTATCGTATTGATTCAAATAAAATTTTTCAATCTCTCGGGTATATATATATATATATATATATAGATTTTATTATCATTTTTCTTTATACCGCTCTCTCTGCATCGTCTTTATTGAATATACATGTATAATATTTGTCTACGATTTTGGTTAAAAAGGGTTGATAATTATTTGGATCATTAAGAATTAAACGTGTTTTTGTAATTTAAAATATCGGTATGTAGTAATTAAAATTTTCAAAACTTGTAATGATGGCTTAGATATGCCTTGTAATACAAAAAAAGACACTGAGTTATAATTTATGAATGACACAAAGATTTTTTGTGTTTAAAACGTAATTGGTCCATGATAAGTTATAGATATTAAATATAACACTTAAGATTGTAGTAGGTACCTTTAATTTTTTTTTAAGTTACTGTATATCATATTTTAATATAATATAGTAATCATTTAATGAATATAATACAATTAAATGAATGATTGACAAAATAACGTATACTGTTAAGTCAGTTAGGTAAACATATTGGGGGTTGCAAATACATTTTTTAATCCATATGTAATTCGTGATTTCTTATATAAATTATTTGAATTTCCAAGTTTTCTAGACATAATCGCACACACGCTCATAAACAAAATTGTTCTATGAATATTTATCAGAATAATATGTGTGCTGTTAGGTTAAAAAATCCATCTGTCTTAATGTTTATATATATATGATAAACTATAGTAAAATGTATATGGTACAATACGGTCTATGTACTCAAGCATATATATTTATATTTTTTACTCATGTTTTTCTCGTCTCACGTAGTAAATAGAATAACACACATTACACGCGGTTTAAATAACAGTCATCGGTTTGTACTATAGGTACAAAATAATTAGTGGGTCTTGTTCCGAGTTATCTTACACGTGTTTACAACGTGCAGCTGTATTGCAATAATACCGGGTCTTTGCCCGTCCTAAGTAAATTATATATTTATACTACCCTTCTCGTTATATATATATATATATATATATATATATATATATATATATATATATATATATATATGTGTGTGTGTATTAAATATACGTATTAACGTCCGTTAAACGTTACCTAAACGAGGCGAACGTTTTAATATATATAACTTACATCGACGCCTCGGTAGTTTATAGTATATCCGCCGGTGGAAGACATAAGCGCCAAAATGAAATAAGAAAAAAAAATAACCGTATCATACGAAAGCATCAAAATACTATTTTGTTTGGATTTTCTTATGTGCACCGAAGTATCTAATATTTTTACAGATTAAATGTCCATCGCATCTGAAGTTCAAACAATTAACAAATTTATTGATTACATTTTCGAAACATACATTAATCACAATATATTTCTTTCTAAAACGTGTTGCCAAAATTCCAGATAATGAGATTATGCGGACTAAAAATACAGTTGAATCTTATCATCGACATTTAAAAAATAAATTTTCTGCGACTCAGTTCTGTTCATATATTAATTGATGTATTATTAAAATTACAAAGCGAAACATATTCATTTATGAACTCTTCTGCTAACAAAAGTTTAAGGATATCTCGCGAAAACATAATTGTTCAATGAAAGACACCTACCAATATGGTGACATTCGTCGTTTAGAATATGTGAAAAAATTTTGATATTTTTCCAATTTTTCCAAATTTTAACCAATTTATTAAAACTATATTTATTTTCATTTATTTTATGTATATTATATTTGATCGATTGTTGAAAATTTTAAATATTGATGTATATATAAAATATAAATTTCGAAGCTAATGATCTAATGATATATCCTTTTTGCACCTTTGGCACTTGTACCATACAACCAAGGCGTATTTTAGGGTGGCGAAAAGAGCGATCCCCCTCCCCTTGAATCCGTAATTAAGGAATCGATCATATGTGAGATAAACATTTCAATTTTTTTTAATGTGGATCATTTTATAACGATACTTGGTGTCCATACGAGGGCACCAAAACGTTTTTATAACGTTAGAAGTATAACGTTAAACTATTCAAAAAGCAATTGAAATCGATAACAGATAACGAAACGAAATGAAAAACGATTAAAATTAATATCGAATAATATAACAGAAAACGATTAACGATTGAAACAAAATAAATTGCCATCGAAAAATATTTATAACTATCAGTTAAATAGATTTGGAACATAGTTATTTTTGTAGAATTGACTTAAATTACTAGGTAATCTAAATAAAATATATATATAAAGGATGTTTAAAACAGCAATACATTTATCAACTAATAATATATAAATAAGCATTACCAATTATAATTTATAAATATGATTTCTGAAAATACGTCGGATATTGTTGGCATGGAACCATTTGGCCTGCCTCATCAAAAATAATTTCGATGAACACCAATGAAACATTAGTAGTAATACACCATACATAAGTTATAAATTGACAATAAATACATATTTTATGTGGTATGTGCATTTTATTGTTGTTATACAACAAATATGATTGCTTAATTTATAAGTTATGAGTTATAAGAATTACAAAAAGAAAATATCGTTAAAGGCAGGGATGTATTGGTACCAGTGTTGAAATAGATAATGCAAAATTTATCTAGATAAAGATAAAAGATAATTTCATTTTTATCTAGATAAAAAAAAGATATTTTCAGAAAATGTTATTTTTTGGTCATTATTTCATATTCTAATAATATCTAAGAAGACTCAATTATAATCATTATTATCAATAGGTACCTAGGTTTTTAATGTTTATTGTAGTAATGTAGTGTACCATTAAGCAGTATTTATAAATGATGTACAATATTTAATGTTAGTTAATCACTAAAATGTTACACAAAAAAAAAAAAAATGAAAACTGCTCTGTACGTATCAGGATGAATACAGAAAACATAAAAAATTATTTTATGTTTACAATATTGTTTTCCATATAATATTAATTAGATGATTTTCATTATTCTATAAGTAGTTACGACTTAACGGGTTTCAAGAGTGAAGTAATGACTATTCAGTTACATGTGTTTACTAAAATCAAATACCTACTATATTTGGAACTTCCATGGAAAAATAAGAAATTAAGTTTAAAAATACCAAAAATATTTTCCCGACATGAAAATACAAACAAAATGTCATATCAAGAAATAATAATTACTTATTAATAATACACGAATTATGATTATGAATCTATACGTATATAAAAAAGTCAGGTTATTTACATAATTTATAATTCAAGAACGGCTAGACCGATTTTGATGATCTCTGATTTGTTGGATTCGTCTCCGTACAAGAATAAAAATAACTCTAATCTTGGCAAGAATAGAGACAATTAACTAGTTAAGTAAAAATTTTATCTTAGATAAGTAATTAGATAACTTGGCGTTATTTATCTAGGTAAGATAAAAGATGACAAAAATTTATCTAGATAAGTCCCAACACTGCCTATAATGTTTATAATTATTATACAAAATCATAAAAGATTATTTTTCATTTTAAATTATTCTTTTGTAATTTCCACGTATATAATCCCATTGATTAATATTATAATATTAATCAGCTACCTAATTAATAAGCTCGACCTTTACATAAAAAAATACGTATGCATAACTAAAACATTTTAAACTTTAGTTTTTAATCCAATTATTTTTTTCAAAACAAACATTGCAAAAATTAAAAATAGGGGTTACAATATTTATAAAATATTTAAGAAATATAACTACGGATTATAATAATATGCTAATTTATTTATATTTATATTATCTTGTAATTTTCAATTCAGTGGTATGTGTCTATGAATTATTGATATTAATAAGTTTCAGATTTAATTTATAGGTAATAGTGGGCATATCCGGATTTAACAAGCTCAAGGGGGAAAAACGGTCACTCCGTAACCCTCCCCCCATAAATCCTCCCTTGCATCATATAAAAAATCATATTGTTTTATATTTTGTTATTCGGCACAAAAAATCACCCGTACAATTATAAATATTTAATGGATTTTCCTATTTAGAAAGAGTACGAATTCTAGAACAGAATTTTCACGTATCAGTTTATATTTTAACAATCAGTGCTTAATTATATACATTATGTCACCTAATTAGTAAATTTAATTACTTT